CAATTGAAGCCAACTTTTCTCTTCCGAAATAAGCCATGTTTTCCTTGTACTTTCGGTGTGGTATTTAGTCAAAATTAAGATTTTGTTGATATGATTGTGTTTCCTTTGATTTTTATACCCCTTGTCCGTTTCTTTAATCTGACACCGTAATGGCTTATCGCTGTCTCTGGAAAGACATAGTCGTGCTTCCTTGGGTACCTGTCTTTTGTCAGTGCAAATAGGCATGGCTAAGGAATCACATTCGAAGGACTCGGTAACACATCATATATTGAAATCAAGAAGCCTGTAGCCTGCCATCTTCCAGATGACGCTCCAGGACACATTCAACTACCTTTCACATCCTTCCAATGAATCCAGCCACCATATTGCTTTTTAACAGCTTTCACTTGCCTAGTCTCTTCTTCCCTCACTGTAATATCTGCCTGAGCCATGTCTCACCGTGTCCGTTAGTTAACACTGCTTTGTTGTAATCATGAAACGGTTCCTTAAACAAGACGTTCTGATGCACAATCCACAGTGTTTATCTTGATCTTCACCGTCACTAACCTGATTGGAAGTTGGAATCTGGTTTCTTTCCCAAATAATTGCGATCCTACACTATGAAAGCTCCGAGGTACATTCAAATCATGCTACAGATACCCAATGAGATCTTCTTCATTGCACGAGTGGCACTTTGTAGACCAGCAATTGCCACAAAGACATTGTAAGTACTCCATGCTGGTGTATCCAAGCATTGAAATTCACTGGTTGGACACTTCAATCCATCAACTCCATAGAGTACCCACTGCTTTCTCCTTTCCATGACGCTTTCTCTATCATTCGTCATTCAGATCCACGTGTCAAGGTTCTTCACTGGTTTTTCTGCGACTGTATGGTTATAGTACCTTCATATTCACTTATTTAAACCACTCATCCTTCACCATTTCTGCCTTCATGACGAGATAACGGGACTTCACTGGCTTGGTCTTCATCGATTGTTCCGTGTGACTATCTCTTTAAGGTCTCTAACGACCCCCACCTCATTTCAATCACTGCCTCCGTCATATCATCTATGAAATATAATTATCTAATGTCCGTCGCCATACAAGACACTATTTTTACCTTCTCTAAAATTTAACCACCTGAATCATGACTGCTGCAGAGAACACCTAGTGATTACCCAATCTTCCATTCTCAGCAAAGTTGTCTTACATGAATCGCATATGGAAAGAATCTTTTTACAACTTAGTGAACTTCTCCGGTACATTTGTCAGCTCATCAGGTCAAGTCAGTATGCTTCAACGTCAGTCTTGTTCAGCCTTGCCTCTTTAGCACAGTGTTCCACGCATCCAGACAATCCGAAAATACCCCGTTCTGTATAGAAGTATCGATATACTTTTCTAGTATGGACTTTTTCAACTGAATGGACACTTTACTCCTTCAAGAAGAGGTATCAGGCATTCCTTGAGGTGTTCCAGTTGTCGCCAATCGTCCTCTTCCGCAAACCAATCGTAGTAGTTGCCACTAATTCGTCACTATATGGAGGGCTGTCCTTATAAACTTGATAAAACATGCTTGGGTTCAGGTGACGTTCCCGCCCTTGTCTCCATGATTTTCTGATTCGCTCTTGTAGATTCTTCCATATCTGAGAATTTTGTAAACTCTGCTAGTACCAGTGTCTTCTCTTTCCCGATCACTGTGTTCCTCCTGTTCATAAAAAGTCTCTTGGCGGTCTGGAATGGGATTTAGACCTAATCCGCCCTATTTCCATTACTCTCCTACCTATTCCATGGGTTTGTTTTGGCATTTCTTACCCTTATCAATTAATATGTCAAAATCTTCAAGTAAATCTATTTAATATTAATCATAGTGACATTCTTCATAAAATCATTTTTACTAAAAAAGATCCAATACAGAAATATCCCTGTCATTTCATAAAATTGCTTGAAGCTTATACCGCAAGAACATTTGTATTTCAAACAAATAACTGAATATAGACTACTCCCTCGACATGTTCTTCTCCTAATGATAACCATGGTACAACTGGGCACATACTAACTGACGACTTACGCTTTCTTCAAAACGTTAAAAATGAGAGTTTTTCATGAAGGACGAGAAATATTGTGAACCCCCGTCAATTTATTGGAATGAGAATTTCGTGATATGTACGGATTGTGGAAAACTATGTCAGAAAGTGGGTGAAACTACAGCATAAGCATTGAATTTACTTTCCGAGTGTATTAAATCATTTCTGTCCATCATTCTTAAAAGAATAAGCAGCTTGAAGCCTAATAAGAGTCTGTAACCCTTGATCCTGATGTTGATCGCCACGATTTACATGATAGGCATGTTATTGTGCCTGCAGACAAGGTATCCAATGACTCGATTCTTACATTTCATTCCTAAAGGAACTAAACTGCTCTTTAATGACGTAAACCCTGCTTAGATATCATTGAATCTTTCTAAGGAAAAAATACTGGTTAATTTCACTTCACTTTTATAATAATTAAGATTATCCATTAATGAAAAGGACCTCGCTCATTTTTTTGGAATCCCAAACTTCACAAGAATCCAAATAAACAGTGTTTTATTGATTGTTCATAAGAGTTGTTCCATCAAACACAATATCGCTGCTTCTTGCTTCCATTCTCAGAATTATTGAAATCTCCGATTCAGTTTTGTTAGGATACTATTTATTGAAGAAGCACAATTATAGTATGTGTATTTAAAAGAACTCCAAAGAGTTTTTGAACAACCTTGAACATCTTCTTCCAGAAGTCAATTCTGCTACAAGAACATTTGACACTGTACACTACCATACACTGTTCCAAAATAAAGAGCTCCTATCATTTTCTTGTTATGAGAGCTTTCTTTTCAAAGAAAGAGGTACAGCAGTAAAAGTATATAACTGGGAACTAGACTAAAATGTATGTTGTGAAAATGCATCCAAATCAAAGGAGTGATATACGAAAGAAAAAAATATTGCATTTTTGGTTGACAATATCTGTCCAACCTGGTGATACATAATACCTTCCAACAAATATATAGAGGACGAAATCATAAAAATCATCTCGTTTCTGGTCGACAACATCTCTGTCAAGCATGGTGGTAAGATCTGTGACAGACTATTGGCATACCTATGGGAACTTCTTGTGCCCCTCTGTTGGCTGACTTGTTCTTGTTTTCATATGAGGCTAACTTATGGAAGAAGAGCTTATCAAAACAAATCACAAAGACTTTACACAGTCCTTTAATACACTTTCAGATATACATGTATCGATGATGTCATTTCTTTAATTAACAAAAGATTTGTTGTCCATTACCATTGTAGATACAACAGACTCTTCCATTTTCTTCAATTTTCCAATTCTTTTTATGAAAACAGCCCTGCATTCCCATCTTATGATGTTTATATATCAGAGGTAATTTTCTGGAGGGTGTTCCCATTATCACCAATGATAGACAACTAAAAACACGAGTTTCAAGAGATGCAGGTTTATGAAGATTATGGAAAAATTTTAAGCTGTCAATGATCTCATTGGGTTATATTCTATTTCTAGAAAGAGTTTGATGCTAGATGTTTGGTTGTTGTTAACTTTGTTGTCATTTGGGAATGTGACATTACTTACTTAGAATGACTAAGCTTTATATGGTAGGTGTCTTTGATGAGGCAGAGGACATTTAACCCTCCTGGAACACGTTTACTTTACATCCTCTTGGAGTCTCTGTGTAAATTTTTCTTTTGTTCATATTTTGTGCTCGATTCAACAAGTTTGAATCAAGATTGTATTGATGTTGATATTTCCATTGTTGTTTTTCTTATCACAGAGAATGCTCTCCAGCTTGCTAAACCTGAAACCCCCATTATGGTTCCTTCCAACTGTTTCTCATCTCTCAATGTTGTCCCTATGCTAAATAGCCACTGATATCCCAGAGAGATGATACAATAATGTACTGGTTGATGCCTCAACTGAATAACGCTACTTTCAAACTATGAGATTCAAGTCCTAGTAAGTTTTCATGTCAAGATTTTGACTTTTTTAAAGCTCCAACAAAGTCCAAATATTTTCTGCCATTCTGGAGTTGCAGTCTTCCAAAGAAAGTTGAGAGCCTGCATGGTATGGAACACCTACACTGGCTCAGCTTTTACTTACAGCATGTGCTATAGGAGATTATCTCAGGCGCTTGACAAAAGAAACAACAACGGCTGTGCCTTAGCAATATATCACTATTTATCTATGAAAGTGTGACACAACAATCATTCAATATTCAAATAAATATCACTCACAACTCAGCACTTCAATTCTTAAATTCAGCATCAACAGTTGGTAGAAGTTGAGACAGTTCAGATTTCTTGTTATACACCAAAATTTTTGGATTTTCTTTACACATTTACTACATTTACAATTCATCATTCTTGTATAATTACAGGAAAAAGTGATAACTTACAGGACTAATATCATTAATAAATATTAATCAAGTTCTTTACTTTCCAATGCAAAAACTGAAATATTTGAGGATTCACTTTTCCTTTTGTCTTTTCAACAAAGAAATTTATCACTTATTTCATGGTGGAATCATTCAATTATGGTTTGACTTTATACTACATGAAAACTTATAAATTATATATTTATACAATAAAATTGTTGAAATGAAAACTTTCAATAATTTACTGTTACCATACACAGATCTGTAGCATAAACTTACTCTTAAAGCTTATAGTATATAAATCATCTGTCATACAACAAAAAACAAAACAAAAATTACTGAGTACCTATCCAGAAAACTCCTAATTCAGATGATTTTGCCTGGAATCAACGTGTCTAGACTTTCGAGGGTCCAATGTATATGGTGGTGAATCTTTCTTTTCCATGAATTATGAATTTCAAAAAAACACTTTCATCATTTGGTTTGTGAGTAATCTAGAATTGTACAAAATATGTATGACTCTATAAATCATTGATTGAACCATCTTCAAGAATATGATTGACCTATACGCAAACATCACAGACATTTCACAGATATTTCACATGATATTAACACTAACATCAATTAAATCAGGCTAGAACTACTGCAGACTAGAAGAGAATTAAGAGGATGTGTACCTTAAATGGCAGAAAAAATATTAGTAGAGAGTCAAAATATTAACTGAATAAGCAATGTTGAAAAAATCTCAGCAAATAATCAAAATATTAACAGATTAATTATATTGTGCATTGGCTATATATATCACAGTCATCTTAAAAACACTTTGCTCATGATAATGAATAGGATTATCTCCCTTGATCTTGTTTATCTGCTGCCCGAATCATGCACACACAACTTCTAGGAATGGATCACATGTTCATTGAAGCAAAAACTCGCGGATAGTTCTCAAAAAATCCCTACAATAAAATAAGAAAATGCAATAATATCAATGTCATCCAAGTTTTGATATATCTATAAGTTTTGATATATCTATAAGTATTGATATATCTGTCTATAAGATATTTTGTAGGTTTCACATGGCTTGTTGAGATAATTTCTAATCGTAACAAGATCTTGAATACATGTTATGCAAATGTAGCAAATCAATTTGACTGACACATTATTCTACAGCTGCAACCTGTCTAAAAACAATTAAACTACCTTATCAAATACTCAGCATACAGATTCAGAGTTGAGAGAATTTGTTTTTAACTGGTGGCATTGTTGAAGTTTTAATCAATTTTCAAAGTACCAAATTACTACTAATTGCAACCAAGTTTGAATTATTTCCAAATAAAAATGAATAAAATGTACTAAAAAGTTGTCATTTTACTATATCCAAACTGTGGTAAACTTCAGTTAGTGTTAGTCATAGGAAAGAAAATGAATCATTTTCACACTCAGAATACTATTCCATCTATGTATTATAGTATTTGATTCCTGCAAAGTTGCATGGATGTGAAGGTTTGACCTCTCCCGTCCCTAAAATCATTATAGAATCGAAATGTCATCTTAAGGTTATAAATTTGAATTAATTTTGTATTATTTCCAACTAATAAAGAATACAATATACTCAGAAGTAACATTTTCCTATACAAGCTATAGTCAACTTCATCCCCTCCCCAGGGGTGAACATGATGCCCCAGGGTCATGCATTCAAAACTTTGATAAAGCACCTTAAGATTCCTCAATCTAGAACATGTATATGTTTCCTGTATATCAGGATCTGAAGAAGATGATTGTGGAAATAATAGCAAATTTGTCCCTTTTTGGTCACCCCTCAATGATCCTGGTGTTGGGGAGCATATCCTTCACAATTTTGGTACATCTATTGGTATACTTGTCAGAGATGAAAGTGGCTGGCATTGGAAAAGGCAGAAATCCGCCGATCGGCGGAAATTTTTCATCTCTGTTGTAATTCAACTATAGCTTTCAAACGTTTGACTGATGTAAGAGTTATCTTCCTTCGTATTATCGATTTGACAATACCGGAAACTCAGTGCTCGTAACTGCTCAATGTTTAATTTTACAGTTTATAAGGGCATATAAATCGAAGGATTTAAAATCGGAGTTGATGAAGATTGCTTAAAAATAAAATGCATCATCAAGACATACCTAACCCCCCAACCCCTGAAATTTTCTCACCGGATTTGTATCGATCTCAAAAATGACCAAATTTGTCATGAAAAAGGCAGAAATCCGCCGATCAGCAGAAATTTTTCATCTCTGACTTGTACAATAACAGCAATGAGCAAAGTCCTATTTAAGTGTAAAATCAATAAGATCACTGCTAAAATAGGATGTTTACAGTGGGATATGTGTGCTAGCTTAGGAATTTTAGCTTCCCAGTGGACTTGTTCCATCAAATTAATGGTTGTGCATTATTGTAAATGAAATAAAGATTTCTTTTCATTTTTAGTAGACATATGTATCTGTTAAAAAAAATAGAAATGTTATCAATTTTACAACAATTGTGAAACAAGTTATTTCAAATTATGCTAATCACTCGGCCCGGATGTAAGCACGCAAGGGGTGTTCAAAAGACACACACATGAATATCACTATTTAATACAATTTCAGAATCTGATATATTAGAGATATTGTAGAATTAAACAGCATCATACAGCTGACGGACCAATTAAAACCTGGTAAGGAAGATTTTTCTTTATGTTGTTTTTCTTTCGTTATTTTCTTTTTCTGTATTGCGATGTGTATCGTAATTTAGATCTTGTATCAAATATGTATCATTTTGTGAAAAAATATAGCCCTACTTGGGACCTTGACTCAGGTGGCCCAATAAGCAAATACTTTTAGCACAAATGTACTCAGCATTATGTTTATTCATCTTTCAGGACTATTTGTCCTGATTCCTCTAACCTGTCCCCACATGGTGAAATGGGGAGATGAAGTGTTATGTTTGGATTCAGACTTACCTGGAATAACTGAATACCCTGGTAGATACTAGAAGTACAGCACATCTCACGGATAGAATGCATGCTAAGCTGTGGTGACCCAATATCAATGGTTGGCATCCCCAACTTGGCTGACATGATTGGGCCAATGGTGGAACCACATGGGGAGTCATTCCTCACCACAAAGTCCTAACATATAACAGAAAAATGTCATCAACACTCGGAGAAATGTTGCTTTAATCTTTTACATTACATCCCTTAGTATCAAGAATGTGCAAACACATTAACAGCTACACATACAAAATAACTTAATTATGGTAAGATACTAAGTGGATTACTCTAATTTCACTTGACAACAAAAAGGATTTCACCCTCACAGCATAATTACTAAGCAATAAATATCACTCAATGTTCAGATCATGGTGTCCTCTTTATACATTCAAGGTAATTTTTTACTAGATTTGGGTAGCATAAGTATTCATACAAATAACCAGCACATAATTAACTTTTTTTAAAAAAGATTTTGTCTAAAAAAGTCAATTTGATTTTATCATTGTAGTCTTTCGATATTACTGACGGTCAATCATAGCTATGTACTAGTTTAGTATGTCTCTCCACCAAGAGTCTAAGATTCCTCTGACAACCCATAATCAGCTGATAACACACAGATAATGTAAAGTTGTGGATTTGAGCTAGGTACAGGTTTTATAACTTTAGATGTTCCTTTGAAAGATTTCAACAGAAAACCACAAATCATATCCACATAGTTCCAAGTTCCAAACATGACATAAAACTTGTACCAAAACAGAGTAAAATGTGATTTCTGTGTCTGTGACATTTATCACAGGCTTATTAATGGTCTCTTACCTGTAATGGCACCCCAGCAGTCTTAGCCACCTCTCTCAGAATAGCGGTGGTAATGGCAGTTGTTGCATAACGCTGATTAGAATTAAACTTTACCACATATCCCTGTTATAGAAAAGAAACCCACGTCATTCTGTCTTTTATCTTGTATAAGGATGAGGAGGGGAACTAAATTAAACATATTATTAAATATAGCGTATGTAACTGTTTACAAATAACTGTGAACTCTTGATACAATATTCAACTTTGAATTTGTCATACGTCGATGTAACTTGATAAAATCAAACTTGTGCTGAGGATATAAAATGATTCATTGACACTGAAAGCTTGTAACATCAATACATTATTATCATTTTGATCTTTAAGTCTTAAAAAAATAACTTACCACCTTGTCCATCACTCACATAAATGTATTATGGTAGTTATATCATGTTCTACACTGCATGTCTGGGAGATCAATGTAACATTCTCATAGTGTTTGTGACAAATATCAATATAATGTATTACACTGCAGGTCTCGCAGATCAATGTGACATTCCCATAGTGTTTGTGACAAATATCAATATAATGTATTACACTGCAGGTCTCGCAGATCAATGTGACATTCTCATATTGTTTGTGACAAATATCAATATAATGTATTACACAGCAGGTCTCGGAGATCAATGTGACATTCTCATAATGATACCCATGTGTTTGTGACAAATATCAATATCAATAACAGGCTAAACCTTTGATCGTAGAATATAGACCTTACCTTGTGTAATCCTGGCTGATGATTACTCTCATGCTTTTCACTGAAATGGGATATAAAGTGTTCTTTCAATCAATTGCAAATTCATAGAAAATCAATTTCTCAGAGCAATGTTCCCAGCTGCTATATCAACTTTCACATAAACAACATCAAACTGAATTATTTTAATCCTTAGTTTTGTAAATATATCCAGCGGGAGGTGTGAACAGATAATCTAATTTTGTTGACAAGTATTAGTATTCCTTACGCAAATTGATGTAAAAAGTGGAAACAGAAAATATTACAGGTTTAAATACTTACGCATAGTTGGGATGAACTGCATGGGCCTGGTCTACACTCATCATGTAGGATTTGGGCATTGACTCTTCAAATGCTGTGCTGCTCCCTCCAGCACTGAGGCGGCGGAGAACAAGCTCCTGGAGAGTGGATGCTGCACCCTGCGCACTCTGGGACCCCACCTACAGATACAAATTAATAAATTATAAATTGACTTGTGTTTACATCTACAGCCACTCTATGGCTATAGCAAAATTGAGAATATCAATGTTTTGCAACTGTGTAATTGGGAATACATGTAACATCCATGCACTGAGGCTTCAAATTGACTGTGATATGGGAAATTCAAACTTGGTTCAGAAAATGTGAAATTAACAAAAATTCACACCATAAAACATGTACACATTGACTTTGGGCCCATCGTAAATAACAAGTCCATTGGTTTGAAGAAATTTGAAATCAAAATATTACATTATTGTATACATTTAAAAAAAACCTGAATATCAATTCTGACAGACTATAAGAAAGTGAAAACTGTCATACAGAGCCCCCATCAATCACTTGCAGTGGTGACATGTACAGCTTACCTCTTCGTTGTCAAACAAACAGATGAGACGGATGTTTGGGTCTTCACTCAGGCTGTTCCCAATGCATGACTCAATCAAAGCCTACAATAGAGGAAAACAGATGAGCCATATGACAGCTGTACATTTACAAAAGTGTATCGCGCTGTAGATTTATTCTTTGTTCTTAAACTTACCCCCCAACCACCCACAATGGAGTAAAACAAATTGTATGTCCTATTAACATTCACACCATCAATCATTTAACAAGGTAGAAGTATAATTTACAGAAATTCATGATGAAGTCTCCAGGAAAACATCCTGCTAATCAATGGCTTCATAACATTTTGTTTTATTTATTTGTTTTTTTTTTAGTTGCTCTTGCTTGTTCAAATTTATGGTCAAACCAAATTCGGAGTATGACTTTCATTTCATGAAACTGACCTAAATATTTCAATTGCATGAACTTAGCTAATTACTAACCAGATGCCAAATGGGCCCTTTTCTAAAATCATGGCTTGGGGATTTGGTCATTCAGAACTGAGAAAGTTTTAATACACTTGACCCCTGTGACCCTGAAAGTGGTCAAGGCCATTCTATAGTCCTTCACTAAAGAATGCTCTTTGTCTAAAGTCATGACACTGGGCCTTCTCTTCATTTAGAAGTTGAATGAAAAGCGAAAAACATTTTACTCCTTGACAAATACAATAATTAATCTAGACTTTTTGTGATTCAGAAAAACCACATTTGAAAGCCCTTCATGCCAGCATTCTACTGATGCATTATCTCTGTTGCTTGCATGGCTTACATGGATCCCAAATGAAGAAACTGTTTTCCTACTCTTTTTTTTATCCATTGCTTCATTCTGGATTCATTTTAATTTCAACTTGTGGAAAACATTACCTCAGTTGCACAATAAGCATTTAGAAGGTTGTCCAGTCGTGGTGCAAAAATGAACTCCTCTAGAATTCCACCGATGGCCTGTAATATCAAGTCATTGTTAGTATGAGATCATTAATGAACTTAAATAGTTTAAATCTATGTGTCATTTTTCCCCATCTATATTTATTCTTTGTTGCCCTTGATATCTATGAAGACCACCTTGAAACTATGGAGCTCAGGGAACAATCTGATCATAAATATCAGAGAAAACCTAATACATGTATACCATCTGGATACAAGGGTAAGTGACAATACTTACAATACTTTGTGAAAGGTTTCTAAAAGTAATGTTTATCACTTAAATCTATGACATTCATTAAAGTAGACTTGCTATATACATATTACATAAACTGATTTCATATATAAATGTTTATTTGTAATCAAGGATTAGTTGCTAGATGGTGTTGTTAACGATGGTGCTGAGATGATCACCACTTCTTTACACAGGCAAAAAAACTTACAGCTGGTTGTGTGTCTGCGAGACAGAGTTCAAAGTCCAACATTTGATCTGGCTGGATATCGAGTTCATCACAAATCAACTTCACTAGTAATGGCTGATGTTTAAGGCACTGTTAAAAATAATGATAAAAACTGGGCACACTTCTACTTTGTATATTGCCTCAATGTTGATATCACCAACTTGCTACATCTCTACCTTGTGTGTTGTTTCAATGTAGGAAGCACAAACTTGATAATCTTCTACAGTGAACGATATTTCAATGTAGATAACACAAACTTGGTATTTGTCTTATTTGATAGAATTCACTTTACAAGTTAAATGGGTGATTACAGGTGTACTTTTATCAACAAAGGGAGTTAAGGTAAAGCACACCATTCTTAGGTGTGTAAGAGATACCCCTCTCATCAGTGGACATACAAAAGAATAAATGTAATTATCTGATTTGACAAGTAGAGTTTAACACAACAGTATACTATAATCCTGTGGATATATATCATAGCTATTTATGTAGTTACAATATAAACAATTATCAGAAAGCAGTAGATCTAAGAATTATTTAATGAACTTTCTGGGGAGAGGCACTGTAGGACTTGTTTTGTGAAATCAACTGAATCAACATATCATAAACAAACAAATCTGGTATTCATAGAGACAAGAAACCAGAACTTTCGACCTTTGGACATTAAAGAGCAATCCTATGTAAGTAATTTTGGTGAAGAAGCACTGTATCAAATTTGTGTTGAACAGGCCACCCAAACCAAAAATTGAAACAGAAGTTGGATGAATGGATACAAGTTATTTCGTTTAACACAAATCTGGTAGATCATGTCACACCCAGTCCAGTTTCTGCTTTTGTACTGTGCTTGACAAATTTAAAAGCTACATTACTCTGCTGATATAAAGTACCTGGTTGTCACTGATTTACATTCTTGCTTCACTTATCAAGTATAATAATAAACATTTGAAGGCAGCAATGTATCAAAATGTTTGATTGGTTATGATTTTGAAAGTGACCTTTCAAAATAGTTGGTTTCTCTAGTCAGGTCCTTCTGTACAAAGAACTGTATTTACCTGGGGAGTGAAGCCTGGAACATTAGTCTCAGAAATCCCAGAATCACCTTGGAGTTCTGCCTGTACAGCTGTAGCAAGGACAGGACATCTGTAGAACAAAGAACCCAACTTCAGCGAGAGCAAATAAAAAGATATTGATGAACTATCATGACTATGAAAATGGCACTGTCTATAGATCCTTTGGTTTTCAAACAGGCTCCAACTCTTTACATCACAGAATTAAATCCAAAATGACACATAAGTTCTCCTTCTCATCCAAAATGACACACAATTTCTCCGTCCTATCATTTGGCTGGATAACAAAACTTATTCACGAATATGACATTGTACAGTGCTTATCTTCTATTCGGCTCCAGTGGTGTACAATATTTGAAAAAGCCCAACCAATTTTTGGTAATAATGCCCAAAATCTCTGACAACCATGTAGAGAGTACTTATCCCATTACTATAAAATCTGTTATCAAAGCGTATGTTCCATAACGTTCAGATATTTCAACAGTTGAAATAAAATTTCACATCATTTAAAGCTCTTCTCATTAAATGAAACTCTTTTTAATTAATTAATTGATTTAAAAGGTTTTATGTCCACTGTCCTAATTCATATTTCTTCCAATTATACCCCGTTATGTACCCCACTCTGATAAAGAACCCTCTGATTCACATACACACACACACACTAAAATGGTGGATATTTGAAGCAGAGAATAAGGTAGTCATGTTGTTCAGGTTTCTAAATACCATACAAAGACAATCAAATTATACACCATAACATCGCTTACACATGCGTTTCCTTGTTGGGGCCGAACTTTTCGTTGTGATCTCTCATCAGGTGGATACATATATTGGGCACACGAAGGATTGGACGCTCAACATGTATAAGGCGATGATCAATCTTGTCCTTGTTCTGATGAAAGAAAAAAAAATCTCAGTAAAACCAATCTCTTGGTGTGTCATCAAAGGATAGCTCTTATATTTCTGTCAATGTAACAGAAAATTTGTTAACCCACACCTGGAGTTGTGTTTAAATATCACCAACACAGAAAGATACAGGTAAACTATCATACCCTTGCAGGCAGTTGGCCAAACACTAGTCATATTTTGGTGAAAGTGTATATTGTCAGAAATAAATGCCAAGTATGATGATATCTGATAAATGCAAATACATTGCAGGTAATGGAAATCATGTTTATATTTATTTTGCCTGTGCAGTAAATGCCATTTGATATCCTCTAACCAAACAAACTAAATCTCAATATCATCACTCAAGCTATGTTATTTAATAAACATACCCTGACAAGCACACGTCCAGCAATAGTTAGGTCTCGGTCAAACCATGTGTGCCAGATACCTCCACCATAACACTCAACACCAACCATCTGGTACCCAACCTTGTTCTTTTTAGAATCAGGTTTCACCTGACAAGAAAACAGTTTGGTTTATTACCTTTTTTTTCTTACATAAGTACGTCAGAGAGTTTAATCAGTTTAATTTAGGAAAAGGTCGATTCTCTGACGAAAAATCCTTGATACATATTCATTATCATGGCATTTTTTTCCTTTTCAAATCTGAAAATTAAAAAGTTGATGGACAGTTTGCAAATCTGTGTATTGTAGTTTGTTTGCTATGGAAGACATACAGTACATATTCGAAATAAATACAATCACTGATCTGTACTTTATACCTTCAGACAAGGACTATCTGTGTGAGCTCCAACTATACTGAAACCATTGCCTGGCTTAAATTTTCCACCGACAGCAAATGCAATGATAGTGGACTTGTTTCTGGTCAGAAAATACTGCAAGACAAATTTATTTACATGTCACCAACACAATGAACCATCTAAACAATATTAAATACACAATAATATATCTCATTAACTGCATTATCATTATACTCTACCACATATCATGAAGTGCACTAACTCATACATTTCCATTTGAAGATATGAGATGTAAATGATGTGGATTTTTTATTTATAGTTTGAAATCATCGATTAATATGAATTTATGAGATTTTATAGCAAAGGGAGATAAATTTGATAGAAGGTCTTGTTTCTATATATTACATTCTTGTACCAAAAATCAATGAACCATGACTATCATTCAATGGTTCCTTTTATCCTGATTTTGTATAAAAATAAACAAAAACAATATTGCTCTGCATCACTAAATCATTTATTACATGCACTAAAAACATCCTTCCTGGGGACCCCACTTTTGAAAAATCTATATGCAGTATTATCATTGTTGTTCCGCTGACTCCTACAAAGTATATGAATACATTGTGCAATGTAGTCAGAATAGAATGCATTATTTCTCAAATCCTCATTAGGTAATAAGATCAACCAGTGGTGAGATTTTGGTAACTTTATCAAAAAAAGAAAACAAAAACTGTGCTTGTCTTCTTACCTTCTGTTGTGGTTTAATGTCCCATGCCTGAGTTTCTTGTAATTCCTTAAATCCAGACCTCAGCAGCATTTTGGAAACCTCATCTACAGCTGTCAATAAAGACAGTAAAAGGCAAATTGATCAGAAATCTCTTGATCTTCAAAGTCACTGCTTGAAATTCCATCACAGTCAAAAGTAAAGATCATGTCAAAAGATTTTTTTCCCATATCAAAAATGATGTTTACTTCTTTTCAATATTGCAATATCAAAAAGCACCATCAATATCTGTACTGGCAAATCACTGCTTATTCTGAAAACCAATATCAGAGATCAGTCAGGGATATCCCTGTTGTTTCATAAGAATTCTCTCAGTACCAGAAGTAAATATATCATTATTTACCATGAAAAGGGGACGGACTCTTGTTGATGTAGTTGATAAATTGCTTGGCTGCACCCAACACAGTTTCCTTGGAGGCCGCCTACAACAATTAATTATGTTTTAATCATCTAGCATCTAGCTGTCAATTTAAGATTTGTGGTATAAAAAATTACAATTTAATTAAGTGTCTGATATTTTCTTGATACATAACATTAACAGCACCACACATCAGCATACAGCATCTAGCTTCAAAAACCTGATCAATTACACTATCCCAGTCTCCATTATCAAAACAAGAGGCCCATAAGGCTTGTATCACTTATCTGGTGTTGGTTGGCTGGATTTTTTTTTATTCAAACTCAAGGAAAATGAATTTGAATGGTTTATATATATTTCTTCTATTAGTTCCCACCCCTCTGCTCTCATGGGGGTCAGTGAAACCAATTATAATAGTCTCCTTCACCTAAGAATGCTTCAGACCAAATTGGGATAGAATCCTGTCATTCTTACGGAAGAAAAAGGAAATATCTTGAAGAATTACTCTGTTTCCCCATTGAGTACCATTCCTCCTACACCTGGGGGCAAAGACCAATTGTTTACACAAAGCTGATTCCTCTTCACCTGAGGATGTTTCGAATCAAACTGTGACAGAATCCTGACATTCTCACAGAAAAAAAGACTTAAAAGAATTTCACAAGTTCCCTTTTTGGCCCCACCCCATGGGGTCCAGACACAGTGTATATAAAATTGATTCTTTTCTTCCAAAGCGGCACAGAATTCTGATATTGCTACAAAAGAAGAATTTTCAAGAATTTGCTCTGTTGCCTTGTTGTGCCCTGCCCCTCTGGCGCCAGGGGGCCAAGACCCATAATTCATACAAAATTGATTTCTTTCATTCAAGGGTACTTCAGACGAAATTATGATAAAATCTAATCATTCCTACAGAAGAAGAAGGGTAAAGAATTTGCTTAATTTCCCCTTTTAGCCCCTGTTCCTCATGCCCCAGATGGTTCAGGCTCACCATTTATACTAAATCTGGTCAAAATCTGCTTGATCATTCATAACTAATAACAATTTACAGAAAATATTGACGGAAAAGCTCACTTGGCCCTTCATGACAGCCAGGTGACTTAAAAAAGCAACATTTAAGAAATATCTTGTAGTTCAACAACACATAACTGACTATGCCTTACATGTTTTTATTTTTTCAACTCTTGTTGTACTACTTTTGACACTGTCACTTAGAGTCAGAGGTTTAATAAAATTACTCAAATCGCCATAACTTATCTTACTGGTTATCTATTCATTCAGAAGGGCTTGTCTAGATGAGTTAATTCAATATCCACTCTGATAGGGGCATCATATTACACTTCAATATATGCCCAGTAGTCAATAGGTATTTATCTAGACATGCTCCTGTGACTGATAATGTATAACAATAACAGACTTACAAATGTGTAACTTGGTACCAAAATTTGTTTTTTCATCAGTACTGACAGAACTTTCATCAGTACTGAAACAACTTCTGTAAGTAATGAAACTTCCTAATGGGTATTGTACCATACACACAGACACCTAAGCATCATACTTTGTTTGCCAAGCTCTGTCAATGAATTTCAACCAATCGTACATAAATCAATTGAAATGTGGATATTCTATAAGATTTATCAAAATTAACTAGCCAGTGAAACAAAGCATATTTCTAAAAATGTATCAACAGATACGCCATCAAATTCGCTCACCTAAAAATGAGAAATGTATATTTGAAATGTGACTGCACTTTCATTTCTGATGACATCACTACACCAAATACTTCAGCTTATAGTGGCCAAGAAGTACACATATGACAAAAATCATTATTTGAACAGGAATGATTTTGATTAAAACATTTTTGAAAAATCAAAATCAAATCATAGTGCAAAAGGAAAATTTTTTGTGCACTGAAAGTGCAATCTTGTTAACAAAGTTGCTAAAAATGCAGGAGGTTGAAGTTAGAAATTTAGTAGGAAACAATAGCTGACAATTGTATCATATGTTCCTTTGTAACTTTATTTTTATTTTACTGGAAAGCTAGACATCCTTGCAGCAAAATTCCACAGTGAGAGCTATAATTAGATGCATGCATCTATTTCTCAATAAAACAGGATTGGCTCAATAATCTGTAATTAATTGCTCACACAAGAGCCAGGACATAGCATGTCAACAAGTTTATTAAAAAATTTCACATATATTTATCATATGGTGTTAATTACAGCTATTTGGAGGTGTACATTGAACTTTTTTTATGTATTTCTCCTTATCAGCCTGTAGAGATGGGTTAAGCCATTAAAAATTAAAAGATTTCGTACATTGATTTACATGACTATAATTAAAATTTGATTGTCACAAGTAGATTAACATTATTGAAAATGCTAGTTTGATGAAATTCCAAGTGTTTTAAATTATACTATGAACTGTCTATGCCATATCCAGACAAAACAAAATGCTAAAGAATCTGTGTTTTTGGCTTCACTTGTCTAAAATGCAAAGCGTGTCAAAAGGTTATTTGATAACTCCCACACAGATTAGGTGTCTGGTGTTAGTTACTATATAAAGACTGCAAGTTGCATTGTGTAAGGGAAGTTGTCTGAGTCATGTCCTGGTCATGTGCATTTCATCATTCTGCTTGTCTATGCTTGCATTACATAAAGAGATTATTGTGTTTAGTTCCGGTCTATTCATAGGCCAAAACTTGTTGATTTACTCAAACTAAACTCTTTGTAAAGTGTCAAAGACCTGTTTTTTTTTTTACATTTCAAAATTAAGTTTCGTTTTTTTTATAAGGACTTTTGCATCAAGACGAAAATAAATTGCCATCTAAAATGCCATTGGCATCTTTTTCCCTGAATAAGGAAATATTTTTAGGTAAACATCTTAATTTAACAAACTTTTAAAATAAAGTTTTTTCATCAGTTGGTCTACAACTCGCTAGTTGCTTCAATCCGTGGATGCAGGGTCACAATGTTTTTTTTATAATATAATTATAGAGCTTCTGTAAACTAAACGGAAAATGAATTTTAACCATAACAATATAATTTTGAGTCTGGTGAAGAGAAACACTGTGTGTCCCTGTTCCGGAAACATTACTATACTATACTATACTATACTATTGTATATTTTGTTGTTTATCCCACTGGTACCCGATAACTGGATTAATTAATTGATTAACTAAAAAAACACCAATTTATTGACATGTTCCCTTCGTCTATAAAATGTGAAAGACATCAGGTACCCGAGAACTGAATTAATTAATTGATTAAGTTAAAAAAAAAACACCAATTTATTGACAAGTACACTTAGTCTATCAATTAATTAATCCACTTCTCGGGTACCTGTGGTTTATCCCTACCGACTCCTAAATACATAGCGGTCGCGAACCGTTGTCTACACGATACAGTACAATCATTTCTACATAAAGTATGATGTCTAAGTTGGTGGTTTAATCAATATCTTTCCGATCAGTGAACGATCTTAATGCAACACGACTACAAGATTTCAAAACTAATTCTAACACACTGAAAATTGTAACCATTGTTGCTTGTAAACAGACGCCGCCCAACGTCATGTGACACAACAGAGGTAAGACTGGTTCCAGCAAACTCTGAATGACATTTGTGAAACCGAAAATAATTTGAGTTTATGAGCGAACGTATTAACGTGTTAAGATGTGACGACATTGCAGTAGGCTAAGATAATTAATTCTGTGAATGCTATAAAGAAATTAACAGCTTACCATTTTCTTGTCCACTCTTCTGTGATGGAGATAATTTCCTGGAAATTGATTTCGGCGTCATCCAAACGTTTTGTGAAATTGTGTTTATCCAGGCACACATTAAAACCTTTAGACGACGCTTTGAAAGTTTGAAGATGGCGCTCAAATTGATTTGCGGTCAGAGTTCAAGGGGCTCTCGTACTGGGATGTCTATGATGTTTGTTGTGTGGACGGGTTTTCTATTCTTAACTATTGTATCAGAATCGGACCAATCTACTGAACAAAAATGTAAGATGTCGTCATATATCTTTATATCTTTCCTTTCAAACACCTATGACAAATATGGAAAACCCGACTATTCCCGAATTGTGGCCATTTCGTAGAATCGTACTGAACCCAGTAGGTAGTTTCGGTACTTATGAAAGCCGTTTCGACTCTTCATGAAAACAAACTTCGATGGTATCTTGAAAGTGCATTTTAAATCCCGATGTTCTTTGTAATATATTGAACGATATTTTATTAAAATCTCATAAAGAGATTACAGACCATGTCCAGGAAATATGTTTTTCAACATGTAGAGGCATAACTGTGATTTAGACATTGGGCATGGATAATCCTATAGCTGATATGTCATATCATGATTGTGTAATATTATTTCTGGGATATGTTTTTACGAATATTTCTATGGTGTCACTTTCTTTTAGGAAAGTTTAAGAAGAACACGAAAGTGGAAACAAGGCCCACTGGATACTTAGTTGGAAATATTTGTGTTTGTTCACAGAGCTTTGAAGATCTCAAAACCCACTCTCTTTCTATTGATATCTATCTTTTTTTCTACCTTCATCTATATAACCTTGCATTGGTGTGACAGCATCAGACTGATCATGACTGTCTTACCAGACTCGAAGAGGTCCCTGTAGTTACGCCATTCTCCAGACATTTACTGAAACCTTATCCAACTCTGACAATATTTTAATTAGCACTACATGGACAGAGTCCAAGATTCATAGATGTGGGGATAAAGACTTATGGGGTAGATATTGATTCTAAGAAAAAAAATCTCCTTATTTTGGGCTGACAGTGGTTAACAAATATACAGTAATATTTCTGTTGTGGAAGACATTGTTCATCATCAAAGAGGCCATGTGTATATTGAAGATTACTGTTTCTACTACTGTTCGCTTCACAGGGACTTGGCACAAATTCTCAACCCACAGTCCATTTCATATTACAGTCACTATAATACTTGTAGATGTGGATTTGAAATTTGTGCAAATCCCTCCTTGTGGTTAATTTTGAAAAGGTTAGTAATGTACTTTAAATCATAAAAACCTTAACTCTATCCTTTGATATTACTGTGCCAGTACTTATTTGATCAGAATTTGAAAACAACAAAATATTTTTTGAAGTTTGAATAATCAGATAATGTTTAAACACTGATTGGAACATCATCTGCAACAAGCCCAATACCACCTTACTCAATTAATCTCTTGGCAAACACAAAATTTACTTTATTTGAAGTTATCATCAGTATTTCTGCCAACCAACAATCTCGACACTCTTAGACAAACCAAGTATGTGTGTGTGTGTCCAACTTAGAGATATTTTTTGTATGTTATGTTTGCTTTGGGATGATGTTTCTAATGCCATCTTATCACAGTACAGAAACTGTAATCCTCAATCAGACAAAATCATATTCTCTTTCAGGCTTCTAAAGTGAGCAATTCTGATTCAGTGTCTTGCTTAAGGATACAACACTATTTACAGACCTTGAACCCCCTACTTCACAATCACCAGCTAGTTGATAGCTTTACATTTATCATTACATTATGATGCCCACAAAGTTGTGACAATCTGTTCAACAGTTAGTATGTGTACCTAGAGTAATGGCTTGACTAACAATAGAAGGGACATTGGTAAAAATGTGTTGTCATTGCAATTGAAGATAAAGGATAGAACAGCACAAGAAGTAAAAAAATGATTATAATGTTATTCCAATGGGACAGCCACATTTATGGAGCTGTACAGGACTATTGTTACTGACAACAAACACACTTAATGGAAAGTATTTGTAATAATAACTGAAGTCTTTTATGACTCTGATTCCAAAACATGCCATATGTAATATATGTGAACAGAATATGGTAAAAATGTCTGCAGAGCGTTATTATCATGACAACTGCAAATATAAAGACAATAAATGATACAATTTTCCTGTTTGATTAAGTAATTTTAAATTAGATTAACTTTAGTTTAGACCACATAAAGGTGCACTTGTAAAGGGTGCATTAAATTGAACTGCATTTTGGCTGATGTACTCGTAGCACAGATGTTTATGATAATGTCTACAAGTCAAACATGGGATGGCATTTACAGTCAGATGGTTGTTGCGCATTGCAACTGTAGTATTAATTTGTATGTATGGGAAGAAGTCATCATGCAAGTGATAATGTCACATTACAAAATTTATATAGATCACATTAATCTCAGTCAACTGTAAAGTATACATATTTTTGGTTGTTTCAGGTTCCAGTCTAACTTTGGGATATAAAGAAGAAGTCTCATTTAATTCTAAAGAGCCACAAGAGGCTGAGAGATTTGCCAATCATTGGCACTGTTACTGTTACGAAGGACAAGTACAGTATCTACATCTTCTCTGGTCCAACCCAGTGGTATGTTAAAAACACATTTAAAGTTTGTCTGCTCTGATAAATACCATTTGATACATTATCTTAGATTTAACATTTTTCGGTTTCTCACAAATATTACCTTATGAATGAAAAGTATACCAGGACAAATACACTATGCTTATTTGAATTATCAGCATTGTTTTATGTGCATGTTATGATAGAATTATCAGTTTAATGGAGAAAAGAAAATATTACAGATGTGTAAGAAATGACGGTTTCTGTTTATTTGATTATTTATGAAATGTTTATTAATCAGAGTAATTCAAAGTTCAGCAACACAAAATTTACACAAAAGCATGTTGATCATAATTGATTTCATGACAGGCATGGGACAGAAAATTTTGTATGGAACAGGAGATCTGGTGGTGTGGGACCAGGAATTTTGATGTATGGAACAGGCAACCTGGTTGTGTGGGACAGGGAACCTTGATCACATATGGGACATGGGATAATGTTATTTGTGGGGAAGGAAATTTTGATTTGTTGGACAGGAACTATGAATGTGTGGTAGAGGTAATCGGGATGCATTGGACTGGGACAATGATATGAAGGATATGAGACCTTGAGATGTAGGGGCCTGAGTTTCTTGATGTGTCGCACATGGACTTTGATGTTTGGGGCAGGACACTTGGATTCATAGGTCAGGAGACCTGGATGTGTAGGATCAGCAATTTGGATGTATCTGATAACAGACCTTGGTGCATGGGACAGGAGACCGTGATCATTTGTAAAATACAGGACCAGATTGTATCTATGTGTAGGACAGAGATTTTAATTTGTGAGGCTGAGAGAGGGGATCTGAATTTGTGGGACAAGAACCATGATTTTTGGCAGGGGACCCTAGATGTGTGATCTTGAAATATCTGGGAAATGGGATCTAAATTGGTCAGGTGATCTGACTATCAGGTTGATATCTGAATAGTTAGTTTTGATTGTTCTTCTTTTTCAACAGATCAAACTTCAGTTTGCTAACAACACAATACCAGAACAGTTCTTCAAAATTAATGGGGATTCTGAGGAGGAAATCTGGAAAAAGAAAGATGCCCCCAACCCATTTCTCAGCTTAATTCAGCGATTCAATCTTATCTTCAACAAGGATAGAGAGGACGTATCACTGAAAGCATTTAACAAGAGTTGTGTGGCAGTGCAAACAGATTCATCTTACAGTCTCTCTTTCAGTGTTAAGTGTGAGTACACAGATTCCTCTTATAATCTCTCTTTGTGTCAAGTATGAGTATAAATTTCTCTAATAATTTGTTCATTGATATCAAGTGTGAGTACACACTCCTATAAGATGATAGTACAAACTCCTGAAATCTCCTCTTTAGTGTTAATGTAAGTATAGTCTCCTGTTAACTCTCCTTGAGTGTTAGTGTGAGTAGAGACTCCTATTTTCTCTTCTTTATTAATGGTCAGAACATGCTCCTTTGTGTTCCCCTTTAGTGTCAAATATGAGTTCAGATTCCTCCTACAGTCCCTTTAGTATTAAGGGTCAGAGCACATTTCTGTTATCTCCCCTTAAATACAGACTCCACCTTTAATATCTTCTTTAGTGTCAAGTGTGAGTTCTGATTCCACCTATAGTCTTTCCATTAGTATGATGGGTCAGAACACATTCCTGTAATCTCCCCTTAACTGGTAAATGTGAGTACAGACTACTCCTATAAACTCACCTTGGGTGTCAAGTGTGAGTTCATACTTCTCTTATAATCTCTCCTTTATTTATGTGTAAGTATAAGCTCTTACTATCATCTCTTCTTAGTGTTAAATCATCTCTATAATCTCTCCTTTAGTATTAAGACCCCACCTGTAATTTCTGTATCATCTAAATCTAAAAATTTTGTAATTCTTCATGATTATACATTTAATGTGTAGTAAATCCTCCTTATTGTTGATTTGAACTGTACAGTTGATTATCTCCTTCAGTAATGTGACTGTGAACTTCTATTGTGTTAATCTATCATGTCTGATGTTTATTTTTAAGATTGTAATGTGATTATTTAATAATTTGTTTATCAGGAAAAAAAAAACAGAAACTTACCTGTAATTTGCTTGTACACATCAGGATGGTACAGCAGAAGGCACAGATGTTGTTTATAGTCAAAATGAATAACTGGTGTCATCATTGTGTTTTAAAATAAGTGTATCTACTTTAACTAATTTACTGAGAGTTGCCTGTTGTTGAAGGGTAAATATTTGTTATTGTATCAGCTATTTGTCCCCAATCACATTGTTATATGTGAATGTTTGTTCTCATGCTATGGCAGATATTGTAAAATTTACATGTGAATTTTAGTGCTAAAAGAGAATGTATTAATTGTGCTCTCCTTAAATATTGTGAAGCAAAGTTAGATTAATTACAATGGCTACAGACACATTGAATTTTAATAGACTCCTTCATGTTACATGTATGTTAGACAAAATCAGTATTGTAGAGGAGAGTTTTTGTTTACAGATGTTGAACTGTGGTATGTAGCATACCTGACTGCTGGTATCGTTATCTTCTTATCAGGCAAGAGCTGGAGTCAGTAAGTATTCACACACACAGACAGGCACGCACGCACACACACACACACACAGAGAGATATATATCACTGATCATTTGATATACTTCCATAAAAAACATGATGGACTAGAGCTGAAGAGCCAAATGTTTTTAGAATATATACATAATGCATTGTCGAGGATGTTATTTTATGTAATACCTATACTATAGTATTGTATGCCTGTGTTACAGTAATACCTATCTACACTATAGTACTGGGGTAACTATAGGTGTAATGGCGTCCATTATATTCCTCCTGATATTTCTCAGAAGACTGTTTCCTGAGGTAAGCATTAGTATATTTAAGCATATTTCAATTCAAGGAAATATCAGTGAAATGGATATTATGAAATTTCTTTTGTACTAATATATACACTTGTAAATTTTGATTTATTAGTCAGAATGTAGAACTACAACAGTGAAATATGATTTTATTAAAGGAAAGCATTTCTTAGTTGTGATTACTGATACCTATTCACATTTGTAATTTCAACAAATGATGTATGTTTAAATCAAATGAAAAAATACTCAGTTTTTGTAACTTGGCTGTCGAAGCAGGCTTACAACCATCATTGCTCTTGATAGAAAGTATAGTACATGAATACATACAAATTAACTGTTTTTGTTTTAGAGTCTTCGAAAGGTCAGCTACCTTATGATTGCAGCTGCTACTTCAACATCTGTCTGGTTCTGGACATATTTCCTGAATCAGATTTTTGACCCAGTTACGGGTACACTGATTCAGTATTGGCAGTATATTTTGGGCTATGTCATCTTGACAGGCCTGATTAGTTTCTGTGCCTGCTACAGGTACGGCCCAGTGACAGACACTCGCAGCCTCAATCTTATACAGTGGTTTATACAACTGATTGGACTGTTTCTAGTGTACCAGGGAACACAGATCCCTGAGTTATCAGTGGCCATCATCGTTGTGTTAGTGACACTGTACAATATTCCTAAAGGATTTTATCGAAATAGATTTACCTACTATCTTAGGTGAGTTGGAATAGAATCTAATAGAATCTTACAAAGGTCTGTTCCATAGACGAGGATATCTGACCTCAAGTATTAGAGTTTGGCTGGTCAGCAGGAGGGCTACTTAGTGCTGACCAGCCAAATTCTTACTCCATGAGTGAGAGATCCCTGTCCACAGAATAAATGCTTGTATGATTATTTTTTGCAAATTCTTAAAATAAAAAACGTAAAATTGATGTAAAACCTATTCACATCATGCCATCCTCAATGTGCCATTAAATTGATATAAAAATTTGTACTGTGAGCAGCTTCATAGCATTTGTCAGCTGTCATCCCTTACCTAATGTCAGATAGCATTATCCAATTTCTGGTAGGAATCAACTTATGTGAGAATCGTAGAGCTTATTAACACTGATTCATGAATGTTTCATGTTTATAGAAATATTTGAATAGTCACTAAAGGTAGATTCAACTTTTGTTACATGTAAAACTACCAGTATATGATTTTATTTTGTAAAATCGATACAACAGTTCAGGTATATTTTAAATGTTTCTTGTTGCAAAAATTAATTATCTGACTTGAATACTTTATTGTGACAATCTACATTCAAGTTGTTTCTTCTTTCCTTGGTAGATGTTTATGTGTTTCCTGCTCATCTTACTGTACTTTAATCGAAATTCTCTTCTTTACAAAGTATACATTTTCATGCGTACACAAAGAAATATTATAATTACAACTTACTTACTGTAACCTATTTGGAACTATTGTGATATAACTGTGGTCTTTCCCTGTTTCTTTTTAATTGTGAAGGACTTGTTATGATTCAGGTTCAAGTTTTTCACACCTAAACGGAAGTTTCTGACTGAAGAAGAGTATAACAAACAGGCCAATGAGGAGACTAAGAAGGCACTAGATGAATTGCGTAGCTTCTGTCAGAGCCCTAAATGTGACACGTGGAAAGTTGTTAGTCTTCTGTCCACACCAACAAAGTAAGTCATAGAGGGAAAGTGGAGAACTGTGAATTTTAAAATATTATATCACTCAGGAAAAAACTTGTTCAGTCAGTCTTGTAAACATATTTACATTTCTGGAGTTGATCACATCAGGAGGCAAGTAATAAAAGACAATCATATTTATTAATTGAATTCTGTGGACCCACATCACAGTCACAGAGGTGGAATGTGTAAAAATCTTCAGTATTCAGACAAATTGTTCTGAGTGACCAGATGGCCCAAGGTCATGATAATTTGCCCTGTGGCTTGTCTGAATTACTGGCTATTATTTATGTTGTTCAGTTGAATTAATTTGACCTACTTTCTAAGTGAAATGGTTAGATATGTTGAAATCTTAAAGGAACTTTGATAATCAACAGGACCAGATCTATGGTAATTGAGATCTGTATGGGATAAGCATGAAAGTCACATGAATAAAAAAAATCTTACAAAGTTTTCTTATACTATATAAAAGATGAACAATAGAGGCCCAGTTAGCTTCTTATTACTCCAGTGATTTCTGTTGCACAACTCCAGAACAGATGCTTAAAGCATTATTAAATTTGCCTTAAATTTGAATTTATGTAAGGAATAAAACTAGTGTTATGTTAACAGGTTTGCCAAATTTGTGGAGGGGGATTCTTGGCACGTTACAGATGAGGAACTACTGGAATACGACAGTGGGCCAGAACCATTACCACCAGGAGACCTAGATTCTTCAGATGAGGAGGATGAAATGGACTTCATACTGAGTTCACCTTAAATTTCATATTCCAAATGCACAACATGATGTATTAGAAGTATTCATGAAACATGTGGACTCCCATGTTCAACTCAAGACACCTTACCACCATTGTTCATTAATTTCCTCAGAGACGAAAAAAAATGGAGTGGTTCTCCAAGGCTTTGAACTTCATATCAACCTTTAGCTTTTGTACTTGTTAAGATAAATGAAATATGACTTGGATGTGATGAGAGGTAGCTGTTAGTTTTGAGAGAAGAAATTTGTCAGGCAGTAAGCCCATGCCATGTATTAAGCCCACCCAAAGTAAACAAAAGAAAAACAGCTCCTTGTTTGTTAAGTTTGGAAATTTCTTTATATTTCACTTTAAAATCATGAAATTTAATTTCTTGTAGCTTTAAATGTTATGTTTGGAGTATTGTACATATCTAGCATAAGGCTGCTCAGTAACATTGATGTTGTATGGTTTATCTACAACTCCAAGCTTTAACCTTACTGTTTATATATATTGATATTTAAACAGCTAAGTGTATTAATGACTAGGACCCGGGGTGGGGGTGGGGAAGGAGGCACAGTGTCCCTCAATGTCTTAATCGTTGCAATCCTGATGAACCTGCTCTCTTTGGATAAAAATGTAAACAAGAGGTCTTACTTGGGTAATCCATGTAATAAAGCTGATAGTAGTAAGTCAGACACAGGAGGTTCTTTTCAAATCAAGGGCAAGCTGTTATCAGAACCATAAGTGTACATTTTATTGTTTAAGTATTTGTTAAATAAGGGAGTGCATAAGTATCATCACATCGTCAAATTAGAACTGAACTTGAACAAGAATTAATGATTATATAGTAAATGGTTTACATATGAGATTGATGGAATAAACCGTCCCCATGTTAAGTGTGTGTAGATAGAATGTAGGACTCACTTATAGGATTAATAGATCAACTATCCCCATAGTTGAGTGTGTATTATAGCATATAAGTTGTGTTAACATCATGTATAAATGCTTTTCCTATACAGTTTTTGAATGATTTTTCACTAAATTGAGTGTGTGTATATAGCATGTGTAATGGTTGAATGATTTTTCACTTAGTTGAGCGTGTGTAAATAGCATGAGTAATGGTTGAATAACTTTTCACTAAGTTGAGTGTGTGTAAATAGCATGTGTAATGGTTGAATGACTTTTCACTTAGTTGAGCGTGTGTAAATAGCATGTGTAATGGTTGAATGACTTTTCACTAAGTTGAGTGTGTGTAAATAGCATGTGTAATGGTTGAATGACTTTTCACTAAGTTGAGTGTGTGTAAATAGTATTAGTGTAAATGGTATGTGTGTGTATATTGTTTGCCTTGTCATTGATAGTACTAGTATCATTACTCAGTTTGTGTTGATAGTTCACTAGCTATTGTTAGGAAACATGTCGCCCCTTGTGATGTTAGAATTGTTTATCTGATTATTAATATTATCTCTGGCAGAGTGCTGCTCTCCTATTTAAAATTGTTATCCCCGATTTCAAGAGTGCTTCTTCATATTTTTTTCAATTCAGAAATGCTTTCCCTGGGTATAGTTCTTATGTTTTGTCTATACCATTTTTGTTATTGATAATGAATGAATCTTAGTACTGGTAGTCAGTAATAGTCAATGTTTGTAGTGGCTCCAGTCACATCGAACAGATGCTAACTTTCTGAGGTGACAGTATTGGGTGACAGTATGGTGGTGACACTGGTGCTATGTAATGATTTGTAGTGGTTCCTGAGCATCTTTTACACCTGATAGACTCCTTTGAAGACTTGGGTTTTGTAGTCAGTAATGGTCACAAGAATCAAAAGTCCATATATACAATCAGTATAAGATTTAAGTATGACGCTTCAAATGATTACAAGGTCACCTTCATCAGACAAATGACCAGTGTGATGCATACTAGCACTGATGTACAAAATCATAAAGAGTCTCACTGGTCATTTGTCTGATGACCACAAAGTCATCAAAGCATCACACTTAAATCTTCTACTGGTTGTGTTTTCGGAACTTCTATTCTATTGATATTACCAATTTGAAGAAAAATTTTCCAAAGTGATGGTCACTTTTGGTGGTGGCTTCGGAGTACCTGCCACATCTGACTGATGCCAACTTCCTGATGTGACAGTGGGTAAAGACAGGGGTTTTGTGGTCAGTAATTGATTCTTCTCCTTCATCATATTCATAGCTCCAACTTGTCAAGACATACTAGATTGATCTCTTTGGAGAATTTGTTTTGTGTATAGCTCCAACTTGTCAAGACATACTAGATTGATCTCTTTGGAGAATTTGTTTTGTGTATAAAGCCATTGTTTCTTTGAGACAATAATTTCACATTTTCACTCAGCGCCTGTTAGAGTTACCGTGAATGTACTTACTATAATACATTTCTTTTTGGTAAATTGGGTCAATAATTAATTTGCACACAGTAGTAACATTTTAGTGCAAAATTTTCGCTATGAAAAGTGCTAATATAAGATCATTGCTAAAATATGTGTGTTTACAGCATAGATCTTTTGAGCAGATGTGGCTCAGGAATTTTTTAATGCTTCCCCGTGTCTATATAGCAATGTAAAGATCTCAGCATAATGTTTCAGTATTTATATTTAACACAGTTTTTAGTACTAAGTCAATATTGAACTAACTATTTCTGTTTTAGTGCTGTAATCAGTATAGTGTTTACATTGATTTTTGAATCTATAAGTTACCTTTTCACTTAAATCTGTGTACAGAGTAGATTTGTTGTATTCATGTGTAGAATATTTCAGTATATGTTTATTTAGTCTTTTCCCATTAAAGCATTATTGAGTCTAGAAATGATTATGTAATTCATGGCAGCTATGTGGTGAATGCTTACATTTATGTATCTAGCACTCCCTAAGACAAAGTGTGTACTGTTTTCCTTCTCTGTGTTTACTTTTATGGAAACTGTTCCAGAAAATGTCTTCAGTTCAATAGGTAAAAGATACATAAGAGACCTATTATTTGGAGTCATATCAGACATTATTCTGGATAAGAAACATTCCATTATTGTTTTTTTTTCTAGAGTTATGGGGTGACAGCTTTATAGTCCATGTGCCATTCACTTGCTCCAGGTTGTATCTGAACATCAACATGTCACCAAATTTTGTATGGATTGACCTCCTTTGATGATAAATGTGTGTGAAAAATGAGTTTTGTTACTCTATTATGTATAGAGTTTTGGTCCTTGTATGTCGAGGACCATAGGCAATATTTTAGAATGTTTTCTAAAGGAGTGGCAGAGAGTTTAATACCTAAATTAGGTCTTGTACCCAATGATTTCCAGAGTTCTGGCCTTTTTTTGTTTTATTTTCCTACAAAGTTTGTTCAGAAGGGTGGAATTTTTTATTGGTTTCAAAACCGTTTTGAATATCATGTTAATATGTCCTACCATGGCGGCTTTCAATACCCTTATTTCACAGTATAACCGAGCTTGCGTGTGCTTAAATATCACAAATTAATTGTCCTCAAGGGCAAAGGTTGCATTTCAGCATATTGCAGGACGGTGTTGTGTGACTCAGAAAGACACTGATTGTTGTACAACTCCACATGACTGCTAGCTTCTGTACATTGAGATTCAGGTGATAAGAATAGCTTCGGAAATATTGATATTTAACATAAAGAACACCTATACAACCATAGGAGCATGAAAAAGGTTACAGGGTAAGATGATGGTCTGGTATGCCATCACTGAATGTTACGCACTTGGAATCAGTTTCCTGAATATTAGATAAGGTACTATAGAAATGGATTATGGTTGTGAAATGTTAATCAGAATCTAGAATATTTTGTGTACATTGTAAATCAAAATTTTCTTTTTATGATTACATTTGCATCTTATTTACAGGTACTAAGCTTTAAATCATGTATGTTTGATTTAAACCACAAAGTACTGATCAGTAACCTCCTTATATAGTATTTGATTTCATTAAGAACAGAAACATAATAACTATCAGTTTTGACTTTTAACTACGCAAAGTTCCAGGGGTTATAATCACTCTGCATCAGATTGTTAGTGATTGTTACTCCTGGAATTTCAAGGATGTGGCTTTTAAGATTAAACTTTATTATGGAACAATCGGTTTGGAATGATGTGCATCAAAAGTTAGATGCAGCAATCAAAATCAACATTTTGGAACATTGATATCAACAGCTACACATTATTCTTAAAAGCCTAAAAAATCCTTCTTTTCAAAGTTTGTTTCAATGGAAGTTTTGTACTCTTTTGCCTTTGCCTTGTATTAGGATTGGTAATTTTTTAAAGATTCTTTAATGAGAAATAATAGTTAAATGGACTCACTCTGTTAAATAAAGTACAGCAAATTGATGTTACATTATGCAACTGAATTATTAGAATTTCTTACCGATTTGAGCTGTGTGTTGCCATGTGTGTTTTCAAATGAATAAATTATTTTTAATTTCCTGTTTTTGACTTTATTTTTATGAACTTCTTAATGGTTGTGGATTATAAATTGAACCGAAAATTTTTGCCTGGGCATGTTGTCTGTTGCTTATATAGCAAAGTTGCTGTCAACTGCTGTCTGTCATTTGGTAACTACCTAGTCAAAACCAAGAGATAAAGACTTCAGCCAGGAAATATCCAAGGTAGTACTCATAGAACCTTAGTAAAAAAAACTCGGGTATATATTTTTTGACAATTTCTTTATTCTCCTCTCTTTTCAGGATGTATCATAGGCCCGCGTGTACTAGTGTTTTTGTCATTGGTCGCGACACTGTATCCTAGGTATTGTATGACATTTAAGGGGCCTCCAATGTTCATTAGGTACAAACCATCAGAATTTCCTCCTTACTCATTACGTTTCAAATAACAATGGACAGATTCACTACATCAACAAGCATTTGCGCTTTTACCTAGCGAAGTGCAGAATGGTTGAGTCTAGCCTCTTTTATATTTCATTCTCTGAAAGCTACGCGCGTCTAATTCTACATCATGTTTAGAATTATCGCCCTTGTGGTCCCATGCAATTTCCTGCAACAACTCCATGCGTTCGAAAACGTTCAAGACACCACTTATTGTTTAACACCGCAACAGGAACATTTTTGTAAATGCCTTATATACAAAAAATCTGTCATTTTAAAACTTGATGATTCTCTGAATTGTGTGATGACAAAGTAGTACCGAGACGGAAAGTATTTTCCAAAGAAATGGCAATGGAATTGACTTTCTTAGGCACAGGATCGGCCTATCCGTCGCCTACCAGAGGAGCGTCATGTATAGCACTTAGACTAGGTGAGCCTATATCCTTCTCTTACCAGTGAAATACGTAGTAAAACTTTCATTATGAGACACAGACTGTGTAAAACTTCAGGCTCATGGGATCAGGAACATCTCCAAGTTTAGAAAAAATCCTACAGTACTAGACCAATAAGTAATAAATCATAGTTCGAGAGCCCTGACACCTGTGTAAAACTGACAAGTTGAGACTGTGTCCCTCCCCAAGATTGGCTTTAATTATATTAAACCACAAACAAATGCAGTTGGTCCTAGTAAAGATAAGCAATCTCTTAAACGTCATAATGTCCGAGAAATAGTAGACTGTGGATTTTTACTTTGGTTGTTAAATACCAGGTGCCCGTGGAAAAATTCAGAAAGTACATCTAAAACTTTATCACTCCCTTGACACTGTGGTCGCCATTCTAAAAATCAGAAGTTAAGATGTCCCTCTTTTACGACTGTGGTTATGCATATAAAGCTCAGATGGTAAGATGTCCCTGCCATACGACTGTGGTTACCAGGTACACTTCAGTTCAGAGTTAAGACTGCCTCTCTCCTGCAACTATGGTTATGCATATGAAGCTCAGATGAGAAGACTGTGTCTTTTCCTTTTCTAGGGTTAGCTATTGGTTTTTTTATACAGCATTAATTGTGTTGTCTGTATTGTGCATAAAATGATATTTTGCTGAAATAAAATTGTCGAATAAGTATTATATTTACAGTATTGAAACTCAGAAAGTAAGACTATGTAATAATGAAACTAAGATTGATCTAAAAATTTAAACTATGATTGACTAGTCATGATCCTAGGAAAAATAAACAGTTATTAATTAAATTAATGACATTGGAAATTGATATTTTAGAAGGGTTCCTTTTTGGAGGATGGAATAAAAGGAAAAAAACACATTGTAACTAAAACGATTAAAGAAAAACAAAATTCTATTTCATGAATTTGACAGAAAATGTGTCTGTTTTTCATCAAGCTTTAGGTAAAATTGAAATCATTTGTACTATTTAATAAACAACCTTTACAGTAGCACTAGGTAAAACCTAGGTATATTCCTTGCTGTCTCATTTAAGCCATGTTATGTATTGATGTTTTCAGAAGAGGCTGGTGTATGGCTATTTGATTGTGGAGAAGGTTCACAGGTACAGGTGATGAAGAGTAATGTAAAACCAGGAAAGGTTTCCAAAATATTCATCACTCATCTCCATGGAGACCATGTAAGTTTTTTTGGGAATGTTTGACACCATATTGATCTGTTTCCTCTGTCACCTTGAATATATTACATTTATTCTGTTTCCTCCATAGATGTTTGGACTGCCTGGCCTAATGTGCACGATCAGCCAGAACAATCAAAGAACTGATCCTGTCGAAGTTTATGGTCCAGTTGGCCTGCGGAAATTCTTGCGGGTCAGTTTGGAATTGTCAAGGTCACTGCTTGGGTTTAGTTACACCGTCCATGAACTGGAATGTTTGACCAGTCAGTATCCAGATGATTGGAACGTAAGTCCTACAGATTTAGCTGATATCTAGAGACTGGATGTTTGATGTTCTTAATGGTCTCCTGTTAAAAAGCAATATATCTAATGAATGTAGGAGAATTTTAAGTGCAGACACAATGTGTATTGCCATACCAGAAAGTATCAATGTACACTTGCGGCATATAATGAATGTATTCAAAATGGAAATGAATAAAACTTCAGTATTATTTTCATACAAACTGGATTTTAAACTGATCAAAAATTGATTTTAATGCTGCAGCCATGTTAGACATGGCTGATGGACTTCCATTTTTATCTGCATTTTGAAACCATTCATTTATTAGTAGTTTTTGCCAGAATATGTTTGATCAAAACATTTGGCAGACTTTTGAAAATGTATACCTTTGTACTATGGTTGGGTTAATTGATACAGGCTTTTATTCTCCTTGACTCTTCATATCACTTGGCATTGTCTCATTGACAAACAATGACATCATGTACCAATTTATCTTGCATTAAACCTTTGCCTGATATTAAGGACAGTATCAGTAGAAACAGGGATTAACACTGCTCTACTTTAAAGTCAAAGGTTATGTATTGTTTCCCTATGACTCATATGTAATGGTTGTGTATCAGAAGAGATGGAAGGTGGATCATTCATCTTCAAGCTCTAGATGTCATCCCAATGAGATAGATGGCACCACATTACAACCAGATCAGAACTCAGTCTGGCATCTGTAAGTGTTACTTCAAATAGGGGAAACTGTATTTCACTATTTACTTGACAACATATTGCTATTGAAACATATAAAATTCTGATTCAGAATAATGAGGTATTTTTATTATGAAATAGCATTTGGTAGGGTTATCACTAGGTATTGGCTTGTAATGCCTGCCACCTTGATCAGAAACTGACCACATGTATTAGAAATAAACAATTTTAGAAATCATCAGATTGGCCATTTGTAAATGTTTTGTTGTTTCATAAATTTTGTTCTTATTAAAGTATTAAAGAATTACAATTTCGCTTTCTTTGGTTGCTTGCCTTCCATCCACTGTTATCTGTCAGGAAATATTTATGGAAAATGATAATTCCAGGGTAAGGTTTCTTTTTCAGTTTCTCTGATGATAAGATGGAGGTATCAGCAATTTGGCTAAAGCACAGGATTCCTTCATTTGGTTTCATTATTCAGGAAAAACCACTTCCAGGAAAGTAAGTTTGCTTTGAAACATAGTCAATTTTACTCAAATGCTTTATATAGTTTATGAAATAAAGGAAGAGGGAGTCTCAATTTTACTAGAAATACTTTCATTCCCAAGGGATTGAAGATCAGGGGGCATATTGTTTTTATATGCCGCCGGAGGCGGTTGTATATTGGCATCATCTCCGTCCGTCCGTCCGTCCGTCCGTCCATTTCTTGTGAAAGATTAGTATTTCTGTTTTAGTCAACTTTGTGGGGATTTGACAGGAGTCAGTATTTCAGCAAAAAATCTGTTAAACAAATGGTGTACATAGTCTAGTCATAGAATGACAGTTTTGAATACGGTAAGTAGATTCTGTTGCAAGTTTCCTTACTTCCTTAATAAAAATTAACAATCTCGAAATTGAACAGTTTCTCACATAAGAGCACCAAATATCTTTATCAAATAGATTAAAATTATTACTTTTGAACCAAATTTGGTACAAAAACATTTGTCAAACTTCCAGGTCTCAGGTAAGTGTAATAGACTTTAAAACTGTGGAGGGAAATTATATCTTTGGTTCTTTCAAACAACTTTAATTTTTACTGAAAAATTTGAACAATATTCAGTATATTGTTTTTATTTATGTTCAATATTGGTAAAAATTTAGCTGTCAATACAATTGTACTTCGCAGAGCTTTTGTACTTTGATAAGAAACTAAAAGTTAGAAACAGGACAGAAAAAATTCCCACACGTGGTATTGTGGATTTAAATGTATGATTTAGTTGCATTTTCCTTTCCTTCATTCGTAGAGTGTGTTCCATGTTCTCTGTCTCTTAGAACCTTTTAGAAAATGCCTTCTTATTTAGCATGTGCATTTCTAATGCCTTTTCCTACACTTTCAATGTCTTGCAAAAATGCCTTTTAATTGAATATTGTAGCCCTCATAGTTGATTATCCTCTATGAATGGCTATCCTTCAGGGGTATAGTGTTTTTCAAGAGTATCTTGTTTCAAGTTATAGAATAATAGGGAAAGGAGTCCCAAAGTCAGGTTAACTGAAGCTGTGATAGGGATGCACATAGTCTCACAAATAATGCTATATCAAAGATGCTGAAATGTTTGTAAAACTTGCCTTATCCAGATTGGACCCAGTGAAACTGAAGGCACGAGGACTCAAGTCTGGCCCAGAGTATGGAAAATTGAAGCAGGGGTTATCTGTCACTCTTCCTTCAGGGGAAATAGTAAGTGTAATGTTGATGGTTTACTAGGCACTTGCTTTTCCTTATGGGGAATTGATAAGTGTTGTGTTAACTGTTTATGAGACCCTTCCTTAGGGAGAAATACTAAATATTGTGTTAACTGTTTACAAGACCCTTCCTTAAGGAGAAATAGTAAATGTTGTGTTGACCGTTTACGAGACCCTTCCTTAAGGAGAAATAGTAAGTCTTGTGTTGTTCGTTTATGAGACCCTTCCTTAAGGAGAAGTAGTAAGTGTTGCGTTGGCCGCTTAAGAGACCCTTCCTTAAGGAGAAATAGTAAATGTTGTGTTGTTTGTTTAAGAGACCCTTCCTTAAGGAGAAGTAGTAAATGTTGTGTTGACCCTTTAAGAGACCCTTCCTTAAGGAGAAGTATTAAGTGTTGCGTTGACCGTTTAAGAGACCCTACCTTAAGGAGAAGTATTAAGTGTTGCGTTGACCGTTTAAGAGATCCTTCCTTAAGGAGAAGTATTAAGTGTTGTGTTGACCGTTTATGAGACCCTTCCTTAAGGAGAAGTATTAAGTGTTGTGTTGACCGTTTATGAGACCCTTCCTTAAGGAGAAGTATTAAGTGTTGCATTGACCGTTTAAGAGACCCTTCCTTAAGGAGAAATAGTAAATGTTGTGTTGTTCGTTTAAGAGACCCTTCCTTAAGGAGAAGTAGTAAATGTTGTGTTGACCGTTTAAGAGACCCTTCCTTAAGGAGAAGTATTAAGTGTTGCGTTGACCGTTTAAGAGATCCTTCCTTAAGGAGAAGTATTAAGTGTTGTGTTGACTGTTTATGAGACCCTTCCTTAACGAGAAGTAGTAAGTGTTGGGTTGACCGTTTTTATGATTGTCATTGTGATCTCATTGAAAAATATTCTTATTTCTTTGTGCGATATGCAGCTGGTCATGTTTGATGCTTGCTAGTTGGTTCTGTTGTCATAAACTTTGAGGATGTGATATTGATTGACCAAGATTTACTTGGTGGGCGTCGCTGATGAAGCAGAATATGTATACTCTTCTGGAACACCTGGCCTTTTTCTCCTTGTACTTTTTTCAGGACTGTCCATGTAATTCTACCTTTTGTTCATATTTTGCCATGTTGACATGCTGTTATTTTCTTGTTATTTTTTTTCTTCCTACATAAAGATCCCTTCCATGTGTTGTGCTGATGTATAGGATTAAGCCTTTGAGTCATTTACTTGTTCCTAGAAACTGAATAATCTTTGTCGTTCTTTATTATTTGACAGTAGAAGACACAACACATTTAGAAAGTTGCACAAAAATCTGTTTTCAGATAAAACCAGAAGAAGCCTTAGGCCCCCCACGACCTGGTCGAAAGATTGTTATCATGGGAGACACTTGTGATTCATCAGAGCTCTACAAAATCGGTCGTGATGCAGACGTCTTGGTACATGAGGCTACGTTGGAGAATGAACTTAAGCACAGTGCAATTGAAAAAGGCCATTCCACACCAGGTATGTAAGCATTTTAACAAATGTCTTCAGGGCTACAATGTACAAACCTTACATCCTGGTGTAGTGTGTAAGTCTGTTCAGAAATAATTACTTTCTTAAAAATAATTTAGCCTGTAATATTCTGATTACATAAGTTTGAGCTGGCCTTCAATGAAGGCGTTACCTCTATTGATTTAGAGGGTACGGACATTTTGAGGATGGATAAGTCATTTATGGTCAGTGTTTCCAAAAATAGTTCTAGCTCTGATGGACTGTCAAATTTTCACAAATTTCACATCACAATCTGTCCTTGTTCTGATCTGTTGAGTTTACCCATGCCAGATCAATGACCAGGAGACTAACAGGGTGTTCAATGTCAGAGGGATCAAGTTGACATTTCAAATATTTAAATGGTGTCTCAGTTCTAGATGCCTTTTGACTGTAATTTATAACTGGTACGTTTTCCTACAATTTGAGTTTAGCATCACTTGACATGAGTAGATCAATAGAATTTAGATGTACTTAATATGTATACTGTATGTACAATGGTCTCCAAGGATTAGGTCATTATAGAAACCTACCAGCAGCAAAGGAAATCTCTTTCATCAGAGTTACAATATTTCTGTTTACATTTTCTGTTTGTAGGTGATAATTTTGATAAGTGATTGATTCTTATTTGTTGGTTATCATACCCTACCATAAATATTTTATTCAAGAAATACTGCATGAGTGCTGCCATTTCATGATTTTGTTTGTTTTGTAGATATGGCAGCTAGACTTGCATCAGAGCTCAAAGTTAAACAGTTAGTTCTTACTCACTTTAGTCAGAGATATAAACCAATGGCTGCTGAAATCAAGGTAAGTTTGACTTTCTGAAGTACTGCTTTAATATGAGAGATTGCTGGTTGGACATTTTATTATCTTACATTACCAAGGCATCTGTAAAACCATTAATGTTGTTGGACTTCTCTCGGAAACTTTATTTGTATTCACGTTTAAACAACTTTACCAAACATACTTTTTACTATGTATGTTGTTTTCCTAATATGCTTGTATTTAAGAGCGAATGAAAATTATACTATTGGTCAACAAATGTAGACAGTGTAGAAAGTCCAATATTTTCAGGTCACTTTCTTAAATGATTTTTGTTTTATGTTGACAATACATACCATAACATAATCTATTATAATTTTATAGTGTGATAATATTTCTACTTGTGTTGTTTATGCTCCCCAAAATTTTTGAAGGAGCATATAGTCGCTGCCTTGTCCATCCGTCCTTTCTTTACCGGAGCATAACTTTGCCCACAGTTCAGCAAGGATCATGAAACTTGGTGTATACATAGATTATACTAAGGGGATGTGCAGTGTACCAAGTTCAGGGCCCACAAATACAGAGTTATTGACCTTTATTAAAGTTTTGTGTCTAGAGCACAACTTTAAATTGCTTCCCATTAAACAAGGATAATAAAACTTGGTGTATAAATTGATCATATAAAGACCATGTTCAGTGTACTAATGTTCAGACTCGCAACCCTGTATTGCATAGTTATTGCCTTTCGTTGAAATTTTGTGTCTGGTACATTACTTTGCCTTATTTAGGATAGTGAAACTTGATGTTTTTATCAGTCATACATCCCTCAGTTACAGAGTTATTGCCCTTCATGTCAGGAGCATAAGCTTTGCTTACTTGAAAACCAGGATCATGAAACTTAGCAATTACATTGGTCATAATGAGAGAATGTGCTGTATACTAATGTTAGGTCCCACAAAACCTTAATTTTAGGAGTATAAGCCTGTGTTAAAATTTTGTGTTGTATTCATACAGGAAGGAGATGAGACTGTGAAAAAGTTACGTCTTGAGGCAATGGAGATTCTGAGAGACGACCAAGTGGTGGTGGCTGATGACTTCATGTCACTAAATATCCCAATGAAGTCTGCTGCAAATTCCTAGCACACCTTGTTTTATTTCGAAATGTGTAGGATTTACGTACCAGGATTTCTAGGCTGGATCAAGGCATTATGCTGGTATACAACAATATACCACAGTCCTTTTGTTTGCCCAAGCAATATATATTAAGGGTAAACAATGTCATCATCCCAAATTCTAGTAAATTGTTTGATCCTATCAATGAGACTACTCAACCATGTAAATTAACATGGGTATGGTCCATCCATCTGTGAGGTCAATCTTCTCAGGGATAGTATCAAAGCCAACCAGAACTCAATAATGGACAATGAAGCCCAAGGAAATATCTGTCAGCAATCACTGAGTTTTGTTTTTGGCACTTTTGATGTAACTAAGGCAAAATTATTACAATTCAAAAGCACCCATGAGTATGGCCACCAATATTATATTATATTGCTGATATTTTGGAAGGGTCAGATAAAGCTTCATACTAGGTACCCTAGTATTCATTTTACTTGAGTGCACTGTGACAGTTCCTATGTAATGTCATGTTTATATAAGACAGTTTAGTTCAACCTCCATGGGAGTAGATAAGTGGAGGTAAAGTTGAACAAAGACAAGATTTGAAGAATCATCTATGTATAATAGGGAAACTCGTCCATTGTGCCTTTCTGGCCATTTGGCATCAAGTTCTAAAGGTTAATATGGGAGATAAGAGAATGTTTTAAGACAAAAAAAAAAAAAAAAAACCATGGAAAAGTTTCCTCAACAGTGTTAAAACAATGTTTTCAATTAAGTACCAAAATTTGATTTTGCTATCCTCACAAATTTTCAAGTTCTTGTATGGCTGTAAAATATCAATTTCAAGGCTATGGTCAAATGGAGTGGAATCAACATGCTTAATAAATGTTACAGGTACTTCTTAATCTAAACCGGTTAATGTGTTACTAGCAGATACATGTATTATGGAGTAATTCGATATAAAAACATTACAAGGAAAATTTGTTGCTAAATATTGTTAATTGATCATTTTATATATTGTTGTATTAAAAAACTGAGTGCAAATCGTACTTTTTGTTCTGATTGCTCTATTTTGTGTACTGACTGAAAAATATGGATCAAAATCATTTTGAGGACATTTTGTGTGGGTTTGCGTGTAGGCTGGCTTATTGTACTCATGTCCTTCTAATCTGCCATTGTGTTCGTCCATATTGGTGTCAATGTGAATCAATGTTATATGTTGAAAATATCTAATAGATTTGATTCATATTTACCCCATAATACCATAATGGCAAGTTCTACACCAGATCAGATTTAGATTTGTATAGAGTTGGGCATGTCTTCTACACATTTCCTAGTTTTCATATATATTAAACATCAATACCCCTCTTCCCCTTAAGATGTATCTATATATTTTGTAGATTATCTATGATTTTCATAGAACTTCTTTATTATTGGTTGACAACTAGAAATGTATGATTTTGATTGTCATTGCTAATGAATTATCTGAAAAATTTCTTTCTGGGGTATCCCATCATAGATATGAAAATATTTTGAAGTGATTCCACACCACAATACAGTTTTTGCCCTTTACAGGCCACGATGACAAATTGTCAAATTACTAGAATGCTTATCAGTATCATTATTTCATGACTTTGCAGAAGATGTCAAATGTGACCTTTGACCCTTAAGCTTGTCCAACATAATAAATATAGCATTATGGAGTAAACATGGAGCAAATCTGTTGTCAGGTTCTCAAGAAATGAAAAATTACGGGATCACCTTCGCACAAAAAATGAAAATTTGATAACAGGTAGTGAAAACTATATATAAGTATCTCTAATAATTTCTGGCATATTATACATCATTCCATGATTCAATGCAAAAATAGCAATATTGAAATAATACAAAGAATTTGTAAAATCAAAATTTTAATTTAATGTCAACAAAATCCAGTGTAAACAAATAACAAATATAGTAAAATATCTGAAGGCAGACAGCATTGTCTGTAAACAGAGTATCTATTATAGCACAATGAACATCTTATGGTAGTGTACATGTAAGTTTGGTAATCTCACAACTTTTTTTATTAAGTTAAGAGGATTGCCCAGTTCAGTCCTTTATTTTTTTCATTTATTTTAATTTTCCTGTTTGGTTTGAATCTTTTACTTCATATATCCATGCTATCACCATTTTGTGAGAGTTCATTGCCATTGTGATTCTCTGAAGAGCTTGCAGTGAGCGTGGATGATGTGGTGGAGAGAGGAGTTGATACAGACACCTCAGATGTTACAACAGACTCTGGTGTTGATGCAATAGTACTACTTGTGGTTGGTCTGGGACTAGTTGTAGCTAAACACACACGTGGACGATTGTGAAGATTAGTAAGGTCTACCTTCCCCTGCAAGTGCTGAAGTAACAGTGGTCCATATGCCACCTTCTTTTCTTCTTTGGTGTCATCTGACCAGGGAGAGGGAGATGATGATGAAGAAGCAGATGACATATTTGAAGAAGACTGTTGTTGGTCAAGATGAATTTTGATACTGAGATCAGAGTCAATTAAATGTTTTGAAGGCATCAGGTTCTGTAATGAGTCTTGTCCAAAGGACATGGGATGGTCATCGGGCTCTGAACCAGAGAAAATTGACTCTGGAAGTTCCGGGTTTTTGGACAAAAGATGATGAGCCATTGCATCCCTGGCTTGCAAGGCATCTAGATGAGGTAGCAAGATGTCTTTAGGCAAAAGCTCTGCTTCATCAAGGTCAAGCTCATCATCCGTCTCCTATAACATACAAAACAAGTCAATTATAATAACCATGATTGAAGATCACAAAGGGGTATAATGTTTTAGTGCAGCTGCCACCAACCAGCCATCCACATCATCATTTCTCAGCGACAGTGCATTTTTTCAGTGGACTTATTAAACAAACTTCAAAAGTCAACTTTCAACTCAAAACTTCACACACTGCTTTCTTATAAAAACTGTTCTTGCTACTTTTGGACAACCTTTCAAGAGAAAATAAGGTCATCATTATTTCAAACAGAAAAGTAATTTCAAATCTTACTTGAGTTCTGCTCTATAACTGGAGTTTCCCTTGAAAAATACAAACCAGTCCCTGGACATTGTTGTTAATGTTAAAACAATTTACATTACATGAGAACTTAATTTACTTTTCTGTAATGAAAAGATATTAATTCCTTGTTAGGAACTGCTTACCTCAGGTTTGAGAGGAAACCTTGTCTCCATATCCTTGAGTGAGGAGTGGATTGGACAGCGGGCATTGTCTTCTAGAGTGACCACAGGCTGACCACACCTACCTCCACCAAACTGACAAGGTCGGTACAACACCTGATACTGGTCAGTCAGAATGTCTACACTGAAGTCAAGTTCTAATAATGGTTTCACATCTCTTTCAAACACAATCAGTATAATTTTTTGGACTGTTCAAATTTCATACATATGATGATAAAAAAAGTTGCTTTGCTTCTGTGTTTAGCACCAAAAACACATAATTAATGCATGTACTGTGAAATCAAATGATGAATAATGAAATTCAAACACCTATGTAAATTATTAATTGTAGGAATGTAAGGAGAGAGGTCTCAAATCAATTTTTCAATTATGCAAAAAATAAATATGTTATATTAATTTATAAATAATGACAAAAGTTCTATTAACTTTCCAAAGTTGAAGGATTTTCAGGAAAACAGATGTTAATAGTATTAAGATGACAGTATGGTCAAAACACAATTTAACAGAAGTTCTGAATTTACAAGGATACGTTGTGAACAGTACTTCGACAGTGGCAGGGCTCTGTGGGAACACTTATTTCCATCTTCAACATATACACACTTTGGATAGGATGGCGGTCGGTAATTGGCCCCCTCAGACACAGCGATTCTCCTCTGCTTTGACTGACGATGTAGCAATGCTTCCTGGAAGGGAAGAGGAGATATCCTTTATGTCCAATTATATATTTCTTGTATCAATTTAACTTTCCTAGGATATCAATCATCAGAGTTTTGTAATATTACTGATAAGAAAACAATGCTGTACCTTTCCATGCCTTTTGTGGTATCGCTTGAGGGCCTTTAGTTTAGAGTATTTGTCTCTCGTCTCTGGACCTTCTTTGTAAACAGATAAACTTCCTGCAAAATAAACAAGAGGCCCAAGGGCCTTAACAATCACCTGAATCACAATGCTCTTCTTGTAGTATGTAAGAGAAGTAGTAAGATAACTTTAATTACATTGTACATGTAATACAAATGTAAGCTGTACATTACATTAACTGCCATCCCATGCCAAAGCTTCTACTTTGTTTGAATTTGTTTGAATTAATAGAAATTACAATCAGACATGAAATTTTCCTATACAAACTTTATAGTAAATTTTATCCCCTTCCCTGGGGAAACATGAGACCCTGGGGTCATCAAATTTACAATTTTGTAGAGAATCATAAGGTCTTTCCATCCATGAAAAATATTAAATTCTACCATACTTGGGTATTTTTGATTTTTGAAGTTTCAATCAATCTGATTCTTTTTAGGCCGTAACTCTATCCAATTTGGGGTGGGGACCATTGTATTTACAGTTGTGGTGGCCATGGTAGCAATGACCAAAGCAAGTTGATTTATTCCAAATTTCAAATAAACTGAAGAGTTGTTTAATTTTGTGATGGTCTCAGTTCGAGAGAATTCAAAGGTATTAAACTTAGTGCATTTCTATCAAATGTATCAATGTATACAAACATACTACATACTTGTAAGAATCTAATTCACTGTAAAAATGTTTGCTGCATTTCTACTTTTAGCAAAATATAATCCCTGGTGAATATTACCCATTATACAATAATGCTACTTGTACTATTTAAAGGAGGATGGCATAAAAAAGTGATAGTGAATAGTACTTGAAACTTCCAAATGCCATGTAAAGCTCCAGGCACACATGTTTTGGAACATGACCTGCTTCTTTCAAGTGGAAGTTGGTACTCTTGGGGAAATGTAATGCAAATCATCATGAATACTCATTGATCATGTTAACTCTTGGGCGGTCATATGGTCACTATGTTCCATTTTGAACAGTTTAGAGTGGACATGGCAGCATTGGAACAGAATGCAATAACGTTCTTTCTGGATTGCTCTTTCATGGTTTTTCATTCTAGATCATCTCAAAATGTTGATATGTGACTGGGGATTTCACAAATTCTGCTTGTGAATGAAAATTTACTTCAGAAAATCTAATCACATTCATTTGTCATTTACTACATTAAATCTTTTAATCTTTAACCATTTGTGCTTGGGAAGACAATACGGTCTTTTACAAATACCATCTGTACTTGATAGACAATAATCTCACAAAGTCCTTGACGTCAAGGGTCATCCATAATGACCTTTTGCTATCCTATAAAGGGGATAATATAAAGGGTTTTTTTCATTCTTTAAACAAAGCACAGTTCCACTTGGTTATATGTTAAGTGTATATTACAACTTGGCGCAGTTTCATCTGAAAAAATTTGAAGTGTACATGATATAATTCTTACCGAGAGATTCTTTCTCCTGTTTGTGAGTGTGCAAGTATTTGCGTCGTTTTTCCTTCATGATGTGTTGAAGTCTTTTGAACTGGTCAATGTAGAGTGACTGTAGACGAATGAGTTTATCCCGCATTACCAGGGCCACCTCCTCTGCTGTGTACACACCAGCATGTCTTAAAACAAACATGAAAGTAAAAATATTTAAATGTTTTAAATTCTTTTTTAAAATGACTACCAGAAAGTGAATATTAATAATGCACATCTTGACAATAAATAAACCAATGCGTTTTTGCTTGTACATTTCAATATCAAGGTTTACTTAAATCAGCAAGAATCGTTCCACTATAATCTTGCCAGTTAAAACATAATTTTGTTAAAAAACACACTTTGATTAAAAATTAAAATTTAAAATTCTGCATCATTACTTTGACAAATCAGATGACCCTTATCAAGTGCTGATTGTTACGATTCATGAGTAAATAGAGTTATGAAATGGTGGTCTTACTTGAGTAGGTCCTCCTGATCACTGTCTATACTCTCTGGGTCACTGTCGCCATCCCCTCTCCAAGCCTGGTCCACCAAAGGAGGCTCAACATCAGAGTCCTCAGAACTAGCATACTCTGCACACAAATAGTAATTTACTTTAAAGGTTAATAGCAATAGACAGAAAATATTCCAGCATACTCATTAGTAAAGCATAGTAATAAGAGTAAGTCATAGTAATACTGCAATACACCATCTACCACAGAGTAATAATAACCAGGGAGAGAATATTGAATAGTAAAAAAAATAACTAACAAAAGCCACAGAATTTCAGCTTTTGCTTTTTAATATAAATGCTGCCTCAGCAGACAGTTAAACATTTTACTATTTGCCTCAGCCTGACGTGCGGTGTCCACATTAAATTCAGGAGCAAATCAAATGGCTTCATCACTGGCATAAATGCTTTGAATACATTACAGTAATCTTATTATCTAATGTTATTATGGGGATTTTGGCAACTACTACAGCATGATTTCTCTTAGTTACCTAACTTACTTGTTGTTTGGGGTTTTTGTATTCTTTAACTGAAATTCAGTAATAAAACTACATAAAACTGCTTTTTATGATGGGTTATTTTAACCATCATATACCTCATATGTATGCATAACCAACTGGATGCTGCTTTCATACATAAAATAATCTAATCTATAGTTGTATAATTTCACTGGGTTCACATTACATATCTTGGATAGTGTTAGTTTATATACATGTCTATACATTGTTACCAATAAAGAGATAATTTGTTTCAACATTAATAACTGAGATAATGATGAAATGTAAAACTCTATCAAAGTTATAGATCAACTTAATTTTTTTCATGATGTCAAGAATCTACCATGGAGAATTCTATGACTATAATCACAATAATTAAGTAATGACTAATGTGTTGAAAACTGTGTCAAATTTATCGGACAGGTAAACTTCTAACAAATCATGAACCATTACCAATCTATTCATGAAATCCTTCCAGCCCTAAATGCAATCAGGCTTGGGTTTCAAATACTATGTTTTCTACTTTCAAATTGCTCAAGCAAAATCTTTAAGTGATATTACATGATACAAGTTTGCCTCAGCCTGACGTGCGGTGTCCACATTTAATTCAGGAGCAAATCAAATGGCATCATCACAGGCAATAACAGATTTCTATAAATAACCTCAGCTTAAACAAGAAATTCCAGGTGGCACCCACCATTGTATGATCCTCACTAGTTCTATTTATTTACAATGATATACCTTATTTGTTGTAGCCACAGTACTTTGTATTTTTGGTACACTTAGGTTTGTGTATGATAACATAATGAACATCCCTGACATAACTTCAGAACAAATAAGATCATTTAAGACAATAGTATCAGTGAAAATGTTGAACGCTCCTTGACAATGATTTTTTTGGACATAAATTTCAACATTAGACATCCTGGATTGTGTAAATTTATACTCAAGTATAAAGTTCTGCACATGTCTGTACATTGTTACCAATGAAGAGATAATAGCATACATTTTTGCGAGATTTTGATTCCTAGTACAAATATTAACGATATCTGAATTTGTTTCATCATTAATAACTGAGATAATAAAGAAATGTAAAACTCTATCATAGTTATAGATCAACTTAAAATTTTTCATGATGTCAAGAATCTACCTTTGAGAATTCTATAACTATAATCACAATAATTAAGTAGAGAATAATGTGTTGAAAACTGCGTCAAATTTATCGGACAGGTTGAAAACTGCGTCAAATTTATCAGACAGGTAAACTTCTAACAAGATTACGGCAAATTATGAACCATTATGTACCTTTGAAGAATTCTATAACTATAATCACAATAATTAGTTACAAGATTACGGCAAATTATGAACCATTACCTAGTTATTCATGAAATCCTCCCAGCCCTAAATGCAATCAGGATTGGGTTTCAAATACTATGTTTTGTACTTTCAAATTGCTCAAGCAAAATCTCAAAGTGATATTACATGATACAAGTTTGCCTCAGCCTGACGTGCGGTGTCCACATTTAATTCAGGAGCAAATCAAATGGCATCATCACAGGCAATAACAGATTTCTATAAATAACCTCAGCTTAAACAAGAAATTCCAGGTGGCACCCACCATTGTATGATTCTCACTAGTTCATTTCTCTTATTCACCCTGATATAACTTGTTTGTTGTAGCCACAGTACTTGGTATTTTTGGTACACTTAGGTTTGTGTATGATAACATAATGAACATCCCTGACATAACTTCAGAACAAATAAGATCATTTAAGACAGTAGTATCAGTGAAATTGTTGAATGCTCCATGAAAATTGTGCATTATGTTTAATCTAATGAAAAGATTTGCTACCATGTTTTACCACATTCTTCTGAACTTTCACAGTTAGATAGAAAAATTAATTCATCACTTTAATTACCTAAGGGCTATTATTGTCACAATTACTGTTTAATGATAACACAGATCAACATTTGAGAATTCTACAGTTGTTAAACAGATTACCAACTAAAATATGAATGTTCTGTTGTGATTATCCCTTTCTGCTATTTGCAGATATTACAATGTTTCTGACAGACAATTAATTATATATCTAAATATTCCCAATAATATGAGAAACGAAAGTATTGAAATCTGTGTCAATGATATCTGATAGGCAAGCTTTGAACCAGATGATAGCAAAATGCAATGCCCAAAATGTTATCAGGTTTGGATTTCAAATACAATATTCAAAATGTTCATGCATGAAAGATTCCAAAGTAATTTTACACAACACAAGTACACAAGTTTGCCCAGTCTGATGTGCTGTGTCCACATTCTATTCAGGAGAAAATCTAATGGGTTTTACACAGACATACACATAATATCAATGCAATGTTTTTTTTAACTGAAAATACTGAACAATAATGAAAATATCATCACGAACTTAGTAATACAGATGATTAATAATGACATTTAATTAGAACTAAATCTGAAAAATCAGAATTCCTGCCAGCTCTTCAGAACAATATTCCAGTGTATTTTCCCCCCTTATATTTCTGCAACATGTCCTCTTCCCTGATGGAAAAGAATCAGACTATATGAAAAATGTAACCAAGTCAGCTGGAGCCAAGAAGACAGGTCAAATGAATGAGTGGTATTCAGTAATTTCTGAAGTTTGGTGTTAAACCATCTCAGCACTTGTCTGATAACTCTGTGACCCATATTTTAAGGATTCCAGGTTACTATGCTAATAAAGAATCAGCTGTCAAAATACCCAAATGCTATGCTTTCAGAAGAATATGTGTACATTTTAATTAATAGGAAACATTTTTTGAAATAAAATGAAAAAAATACGAGTATTGGATGCAAGATTTGCTTCAGACTGACGTGCAGGTATCCACATATTGTTCAGGTGCAAATCTTATCTTTCATCATCAGCAAATCTTCAAATTCGAACAAGATACAATTGCATTATCTATAAATATTGATAGTAACTTCATTTTACAAACAGTATGTGACCTAATACTTACCTAGGACTTTGCTGGCCACACTGTCAGAATAACCCTTGATTCTTCGGCTGTCCTGCACACCTTTAAAGTGATCCAGGTCCTCTAGCAGACTTTCAGCGGTCTCTTTGGGTTGTGCCTTTCTAGTGGATCTCTGCCGAAGCAATACTGCTCTTCGTGAATGTTCTGCACAGTACCTGTAACCATCCATTTTAGACCTTATTTATTAAGTCGTGTTAAATGAACATTCTACATGATAAACAAAATTCTGGAATGAACTCTTTCATGCTATATGATTCAATATTGCAACGAGTTGTAATTATTCTAGAGGATATTTGCATGTTGAAATACAAACACACACACATTATCAAATTGGACAATACAAAACTTAACATCAACATATACCTATAAACATATAGAAACTTCATTATCAAAATTCATTATCAGACTTTCTTTTTCAACTTCCCATGAAATCATACAGGCACACTACACTGTCCCATATTTACAAGTGTTGATTTAACCTACCACCAACTGTACATTTATAAAACAAATATTAATTGTGGCTGTTGCAGGTTTGTTGTATATTTGCATCATAATTTTCCCCCCTATATGAACAGTCACCCCACTGATTTATAATGGAATAATCTGATACATTACTAACACTACTAAAGCTAGTGCTAGGTATAAGAATAAATGTATACAGCAGTAGTGTTGCCCTGCTAAACGTAACAAATATTTAAACACATAGGTTAGAACTGACCAGTATGCCAGCATGTATAACTAACCTATCAAAGCTAAACTACTATTGCTTTGAAAATAATCTCTACAAATGTATCTTAAAATAATCCTCACAAGTCATCTGAATATTTCCAAGAGCCTTACCCATCTTTCCTATCAGCTTTTGGTGCTGCATTCAGACACCGTTTTCCATTTTTGCTTGAAATAAAAGCACACTGTTTGAATGGTGCATTTTTGTCTTCAAGAATGTGTCTGATGCAATAATCATAGCTATCAATTCTGTTGTGCATACAAGTCCGATGAGTGTAATTACAGAAAACTCCTTCTACTGGCTGACGAAGGCGTCGCTGGCTTGGAAGTTGACTTTTGGATTTCAGCATTTTGTTTCAACTGACAAAAATAAAAGTATATTCCAATTGATAAAACATATAAGAAATAACAGAAAATATATCTTGTTGTTGACATGTGTTGGCTATCTAGGCAAGCCTTCATCAGAATGAAATTAATAAAATTTGTCCTTAGGTTAAACTTTTAACTCAGCCTTGATATCAACTGTATGTATAGAAATCATAAACACATCTCCAGATCAAGGCAGACAAGCATTCAGTCCTTAACATAACACAATAATTGTAAATCTTTATGCAAGCAGATATATCGAAGAGCTTGGAGTTAGCCCTTCACCAGCAGGGTAAACATAGTATTTCTCTTCTTCAATTGCTTGAATCCTCACAGTAGTCTAGTAGGAGTTTAATGTTGATGGCAAATGTGTACTTACCGTTTGGGTATCAATTTCCCCAATCACTATCATATAGTATATCACTATCAGTAATTATTCATCACAAAAGAAACTCTAGGTTCATGCTACTGCTGAGCTGACCAAGTTGTCAAACACAGCTTCAGTAAATGCAAAATACAAATGTAAGCATAAGTCTGAAATGAATAATTTCATTTCTTTACTATACTGTATAACAGGCATTGCATTATCTCATTTTTCTTCAAAATAACTTTTGGCAAGTCAGAGGTTAAAAAGCAACTGAGACGGAGTTTTTCATCATGGGATCCAGTAATTGTAGCAGCATGAAGCAACGAAAATTGACCAAAGATCTGTTGCTCCTATTTGCAACACTTGGGATCTCCCTTCTTCACCACTGATTTTAAAGGACAAAATATTTTATGACTAGAGAGCCTGGTTGGCATACATGAACAAATAGACATTTACAATAATTAATTTGATATGATATACAAGTAACTCTATATTCAATATTTTAATATACAGTATATGAACTGAGGTTTTAAATATAGTAGTAGTAAACAAATATTATCGGCTTAGTGTAAGATACTGTATATTTTTTGGAAAACATACGTGAAGATGGAGAAAGGTAATAAATATGTCTGTTTGATACTTATACGTACACTTTTCAAAAGTAAGAGAAAAGATACGAATAATATTCTTGAATAATACAACGCACTATTTTTCTCGGCAATGCGCAATCGTAAACACCAGGCAGTGAATAGGTGTGTACTTTTCCTTGAAGTTGATCATGCTTTCAGACGATTTTCGAATCCTATTTACTTACTATTGCTAAAATAATGATGGAAAACGATAGCAAATGACTATTTGCATGTTTCAATATTGAAAACAAACAAAAATAGCAACAAAATTTGCTCAAATATACGTACATTAGTAACCACTTCTAGGCCTAGTCGACCACGCACATGTCACCAGTTTTCGTATAAATACACCCGCATTTCTAAATATCAGTATCAATTATTGTATTTATACAGAAAGAATTCTGTTTTATAAAACAACAGCCTTAGAAAATTATGTTTTGAAGAAATATTCCACTAAATTCTGATATCTATACAGAGCTGAAATAAAGTTCATTAACAAAAATTATCTTAACAAATCATGTGCTTGTAAAATCTCCGCCCGAGCTATAATTTGAAAGTTGAGCATGCGCTCTTGCGGTATTTCCTTGGTGCTGGGTAAATGGCGGGGGAGCGATGGATTTTCACCAATTCGCAACTTTTGGATACCCCCAGCCGAAAATGTGGGATAGATAACGACAAAGAACTGGCATACAGACAACAAGCTGCCAACCTGATCCAGGAAATGGGACAGAGCCTCATAGTGTATCCTGTTCAGGAGAAAGTTGGCAGTGAAGTGGTGTGGTCGAATCGTCACCGGTTTGGTCGCACCATTTTCTATTCTGTTGTGCTATGTTGTCTAAAATCGTTCTTAAACACATTTAACGAGTTCAAAGAAAGCCAATTGAAAACCATTCATTAATTTCATGCAAATTAAAGAGCTAAAACACGAAATAGTGTGAATTATCATACATTTCTTTGATTTCCCCAATGCGTAATATAGTAGCCTAACTGATGACCTCATTTTCGTCAATGGATACCGGCGCATTGATTGTAAAATTTCCCATAGTAAAAGACCACGTGCTTCTCCGCTAATTATTACTATAGCAGTTGACTGTGTTATCCAATATTGACATATTTTGGTGTATTTGTATAGGAATGTAAAATCCGCTCGCACATCAATAGTAGAAATCTGCATATTTTTTATATAAACTGAAATTCATGCACTTTGTTAAATTGATGCATTAATGTTCGGCCAAGATTGTTTAACTAGGGTCCACCCAGTAAGTAATTATGTGAATCTCGAAAAAGAACAGTTTTTTTCCTGTTTCACAATTTTCTGAACAAGTTGTCTTCTAGATCTGAAGCACAGCAACATGCCACATTTAATATGACAAACAGTATATTAAAACCTTAACCAGTACCAGAACCCAACTATGTATCAACACTGCCATCGTGTACATGCATCGGTTCTACATGTTCCACTCCTTCTCCAGGTTCCATCGCAATGTAAGTAACAAGAAAGTTACAGACCTCTGAGAAGTAATATAACCTTGTTAATATACATTATCTGATGTGTTTGATTTGGGAATATTAAAAAAATGTGGTTCAGAAATTGATTCTTCAAATCTTCACATGGCAAAGGGTATCCATCTTTCCAAAGATGCCTGTCAGTTTACATAATGTATCTGAATGTAAGGTTTCAAAATCCTGACATGACTTCTAGATTTCATATGGAGACTTAGAATCCACTTAGAATTGTTGAAATCTTTGCCAAATGGTTGATACTTTAAATAGGAAATTGCACAACTTGGTGAATTGGTTGAATCTCTTCTACTTTTAGATAAATGTAGTAAAATACCAGTTCCAAAATGATAAAAGGTTAACATTAATTAGAACCACCAAATATGATTATATTGATATGATTATCAGATTTTTTCCTCCATTATTTCAGTCCATGGCACCTGTTTGTCTGTTTCTTGCCGCAAAAGTAGAAGAGCAACCTAGAAAACTGGAACATGTTCTCAAACTAGTCCACAAGTCACTACACAAAGATGGCCCTTTTGATGCCAAAAGTGATGTAAGTAAACTGAAAAAGCTAAACAGTGACCATTTTGGCACTGTCCATCCAATTTAATCATAATGGTGCTATGGTCAACCTTTTTCATCATTTGTTTCTTTGTCATTTTAAGAGACTTCATCACAGTAAATCTAAAGAAATTGAATGCAGTTTACATCCTCAATTATGTCTTCATATATCTGTACTCATAATCAAAACTGAGTATCCAATTTGACTACTCAGATTGTTTCCAAAACACTTACATAGCACTCATAATATATTGCTCATGACAAATTTCAGAGGCATTTATAGTTGATAGAAGTTATTTGCATCAACAGCAGTGATCACAGCTATGTTGAACACTTTTTGCTTTGAAATGTAATTTTGTTTATTGAATATAGTTTATAATGGCAGTTTGCTTAAACTTAATTAAGTACAGGTTTGTCATTTTGCCGTCAATATTTTCCTTTTTGGTCTCCTTTACAACACAGACTTGCTTATCAGCTTTGAGTTAGCAGAGGATGGGGATGTTTCCTCATTCCTACAGATATGGATTCACTATTTGAGATATTTCATGGTTTATACTGACTTCCTGTCCTAATCATTGGATTATTCTATGACTATTTTGGCGATTTCTGACTTTGTAGTGACTGTTTTTGTTTGCCACCACTTTCCACAGGACTCTTTATCGTTCATAGTACTTTAACAAATTCTATAATGCATGCATTGACAGTTCCTTCTTGAGCATTGTTGAGAAAGAAAAGTCGTCCTGTTATATCTTTACTTGACAAATGGGATTGCCATATATTGTTTAATCAAATATCAGTTTTTCAGGTTATTTCTTAGCAAATTTTGACCAAATTTTCCCATAAGGACCAGTGCTACATCTTTGAAAACAAATCACTCCACCGGGATGTTACTTTAATGATTTTAGGATGACAATTGTATTGAAGTTTTTTCTACTCTTTAACTTGTGTTTCAATGCAAAATTTTGATAATTAACTTTTTTTCTCTCTCTTAGTTATTTAAAGTTTCTGGCAAGTTTTGAACTGTGTGTTTTTCATCAGACTTTGAACATATATGTTTCCCAGGCTGTTATTATTTAACAATGATTCACATTCTTAATTGAGGATCTTTTCGAGGAACTTTTCAGCTTGTTGATCATGATGCTACAGTTATGGAGTTGATTTAAATTTCTGACATATTTTAGGTTTTTTATTTGTTGTACCTCACATTCTATAGGAGACTATATATGTGTTATACAAGCATTCTCTAGTTACAAATGTGTAAGGTGTTTTATAGCTGTTATACATTATGTTTGTTTGCTGTTAAAGTTTGACAAGTAAGAAATGAAAAAATTATGTTGATGTTAGATACTACTTTGCTTATGTACAGATCATATATGTATGTATTTCCAGGACTACCTTCAACAAGCACATGAACTGGTTGTGAATGAAAACATCCTTCTACAGACTTTGGGTAAGGACTTACTGGCTAAGTTATTGAGAATATTTTTTATGTACCCAGGAGGAAATGGCAGGGTATAAGTTTGTACAATATGATCATGATCCTTTCTCCACCAAATCTAATTTCATTCTTTTTCATATGAATGTTTGCTATCAATAGAAAAAACATACAAAATTGTTTGTCACAATACGCAGTGTAAAAACTTCAATGTATTACTGTGTACATTTTCACTTAATTTAGCCTGTTTATCAATCTGACAAAAGCCACAGAGTTTATAACCTGCAATAGTACCTCTGACTGAAACCTTGAGTCCTGGGATGGGATAGCTGTTTCACTGGAATAATGCTGAGTGAAAAGCCAAATTTGTTTAATAGAATGATTTTTACTTTCCAGGGTTTGACCTGACTGTCGACCATCCCCACACCCATGTGGTCAAAACATGTCAGCTGGTTAGAGGTGAGTTTTGTGCTGAGTAGACAACAGTAATAATGATAAAGTGTTGTCAACACACCTAATATGTACTTCTGTGTTTGAGTGTCATTTGTTTGTCATGCTTTTTTTTTTAATTTGATACTTTTAATATACAAAAAGATGCTACTCTTCTCGGCCTATGGTTTTTACTGTAACTGAGATTTTTACTGTAATTGATGAAATTATATTTTGATTGTTAACTCATCAAGAGTTGAAATTCTTAGCTTTATCGCAAAGTAACCTAGAAATACTAAATTGCACTTCCTTCAGAAAACATCCCTGAAATTTCAGAAGCTGAAAGTAGTCATATTCAGATCATTGAGATTATTTTCATTAAAATGTTCTGATCAATTAAAAAAGACTGTATTCTTTGGATGTGTCATATTATTAGTCCTGTGTGCTAGTGATGACCAGAGATACTGTCTGAATCATTAAGTCTACATGTGTGGCAACACTCCTTCTGTCCTTGATTTGATACTCTGAGCAATAGATATTGTAAGGGAAGTTTTCCTCCCAAACAAGGTTAATAAATATATTAATATTTCACATCATGCAATCTTTATGTATATCATATATTTTAACGCTATTCCTCTTTTCTAAATTCTAAATTCTGACCAAAAGGGCTGTCTGAAATTTCTCCATTTCTCGAATTAGACTGAAAAAATCCAGCTTTTCCTCCTTGTGTAGTATTCTCCTAATTCTTGATCAGTTCATGCTATTGTGAGGGCAGAGTTGCATATTTAAGTGGGTTCTTGTGTATCACAGTACTCCATATATGATAATTGTCTGTTAGAATGATTAAGTGGCAAACATGTAATGTTCTGTTAACTTCTAATACTTAGCTTTGTCAGGTGGGAGGTCTTTGTGAAATGCTATAACAGAATTATTAGCACTTTGCTGGGGAAGTTTGGAGATGGTATGGAAATTTCTGCATTACAAAGTACATTTGTAAGAGCTCCCATAACATTATGAAGCTACATCTTCATTGCTTTGGATTGTTTTTCAGGCCAAGGTCACTGGCTAGAAATAGAAAATTAGTTTTTTCCTAATAATAACTATCCTTTGCCAAACCATCATACACTTAATTCAAAGTGCTTGCTTGGTGTTGCTTTTCAGGTTCAAAGCTCAGACAAGCTTGATTTTAAAAATATAGAAAAATCTCCAAAAATAACAAAAAAAGAATAAGTCGGTTAGGGAAAGAACCTGTCCACTATTGTGATGTTTCTTATTTGCACACAATTTTATGTGTAACATTTTCTTAACTTAAGAACAGTAATTAACTTAAGAACAGTAATTAACAGGTGACATATTTTATACCATTACAGGTGTAGTTTAGAATGCCATATGGAATGCTGCTTTACATGGATTAAAAATCAAGAGTGGATGTATTTGTTAATTTATGTTGATGTTTGAAATAAATGTTTGCGTTGTGATACCTAGCATTCACAGATATGTAACATGATATCTCCATTCAAATCTCTCTTGTGTGATGGATGAGCTCAGACATTATTTAAATTTAATGATTTTTGACTTCCCTGACTCATTTATTCTTAATTTGTTATAAACTGTTTATATAACAAAAATTTGTTTTACAAAGTTCAAGTCTTCAAAATAACATTTGAGTATGTTACTTTTCAAATAGATGAGATATCTGTAGTCAGAAGTCATTAATCAGTAAATAGTTTGGGTGTAGGTTGGTCAACATGGTAATATGCAGGAATTAAGACTGGTGAGTTTAGAGTTTATTGAGAATTTTCTGATTATTAATGTCAGCAATTCCTATTCAAAGAAAAGGTTTCAAATGCAAATAGACACTTGGTATCATGGTTTGCAGGATTTGGTAATTTTATGAAAACACTGGTAAACAAAATCAAAATAGTTCCCAATCAAGAAAATGTAAACCTTACCTGGAGAAGATTTCAAGTGCATTTTAAATTTAGGGGTGTTGTTGCACAGGCTAATGGTGGCATATGTTTTCTTTCTCTCTGCCCCCACACTTGTGTTGCCTGTGACCTTGACCTTGTGCCCATCACCGCTGTGTGTCGACTCCGATGTGCCTATCACAGCCACCAAGGATCTCGCCCAGACGTCCTACTTCCTGGCAACAAACAGGTGCTCACATCAATGTCACTCACCTCTCTCCAGCAATATTTATATAACGGGTCTAAAACATTTTCTCTATGTAGCCAATATCGGCATTTTCACATGTTCCTTCCAATGAGCAAAATGTTGGCAGTTCTGTTTATTGAAGAGAAAAACTATTAGAAGAAAATGTCAGATTTGGCTATGTAGTCTGAAAGTTTGAGTCCTGTAATTATTAAAGAAGGCAAAAAAAAAGTGAGAGAAACAAAATCATGGTTCATTTAATTTCTTGTACCAAGATGAATTTGTATTCTGTAAATTGTGAGTACTTCATTAAAGAAAAGTTGAGCTATGATTTACTTTTGAGAACAAGGTGGTGACTCATGTCCATTGTAGTGGACAATATCTTATTTGGAACTTTACCTCATCACCAAATTTATTTGAAAAAATATCATGATCATCTGTCTCATCATCTGAAAAGCACTCTAAATGTCTAAAATGAAAATGAACTCTTGCAAAGTATGCAGGCACTCAGACTTGAATGCATGTTGCATATTCAGAGAGATTTATTTCAAGATAAGATATTTTTTGTCTGAGATTGTGATATATTGATATTTATATACATCAGTTAAATTGGATTTATCATAAAATGTTGAATTTTAAATATGAAGTGTTTAACTTTATAATATAAATGGAGAGGGAACATATTTGATGCATGCTTATAATTGTTTGTATTTCAGATTCAATGCACGTATGACTGTGGCAAGCATATTGATGATTTCCTGTCTTTGAAGTATTCCCTCAATATTTCAATACTTAAATGTTAATCTTTCCATAAAGCTTCTTATTAAATTTGTGATAAATGTAATTGCAGCCTTCATTTGACTACCATGTGTCTGCAATACAAGCCAACAGTTGTAGCCTGTGCCTGTGTACATCTAGCCTGCAAGTGGTCCAGCTGGGAGGTAAAAACCTTCTCATCAGTTTAGAATATTATCTTGTAACCTTAAATGCAGCTATTCTACAATAAGACAATATTGTCTGTCTGTCTGTCCATTTGTTTCTTTGTTACTGCACAATATCTCGTTCTGTTGGACCAGTTGCTCTTTAAACTCCTTCCTGTGCTTGCTTGCAATTGCTTTTAAGGTCAGGAAATCAAAGATCAAGGTAACTGTTACTGTCCGTACAGAATCCTTTACTGCACAATATCTCTCATTTCTGTTTAGCTGGTTTCACTCAGATTTAATCTGTAGCTTTTTCATAGGAAGAGCTTGCTTCAAGTTGCTTTTCATGTTAAGGGATCAAAGGTCAAGGTCACTATTACTATAAATAACTGAAAACATGAAATAGATAATAGGTCAATTTAAGATATAGTGAAATTTGTAGTTAACTGATCCCCTATGGAAATGAGGCACCTATTTATGCAAACATGTTATTATGAACCAGAATGATTTGGGGGAGGCAGGGGGGAATGTGATTACTCTGATACCAATGTTGACATTCTGGTTCTTAACTGCTAAATAATGTTGTCTCTGGATAATGTATCAAAAGATGATTTGATGATGCAGTAGGATATCAAAGATAATAAGAATCTCAACACACAATTAATTACTACTTTGTTTGCAGTTTTTGATGTCAATATGCAATATGTCATATATATTTTGTATTCAGCACTTCTGAATGGTTATTGTTTTATTGAGGTAACCTTCCAGCACATGCTGCACCATTTTGAAATCACTATTAGTTTCATTTTGAAAAGAAACAATTTTAATTTTTGGATTTCTTTTGATTTAAAGATTCCTCGATCGAGCGAAGGCAAAGATTGGCACTGGTACCTGGACAAAAATGTAACGGTCAAATTACTCGAAGGTAAAGAATTTAATCACAAATTTCTAGATTTTAGACACTTTTTTTACTTCAAGCAAACCCACAGAATTTTATTTCCAAGTTAACACCAATCACATATACAATGCATTTTAGTGCTGTCCCAACCACCCACAAAGAAAAAAATTCATCTTGAAAAATACATTTTAAACTTTTCTTCAAGTAGATGCAATTGAGCTGAAAATTAATGAGGATGTTAAGGAACAGACACCAACAACAAGATTATTTTTTGAGAACCTAGTCAAAAAGTTCAATATGAAGACCTTTTTGTATCATGATTATGCAAATTTTTGTAACTGTTTTGATAATTTGATAACTTCTCCTACTGCTATTGTTGGTGTTATGTCATATATAGGTGTTTATAGTCCATGGGCCTCTTGCTTATTTTATGGTGTCACAAAAACTTTCATAAACTTGAACTTCTATATTCCTTATGAACTATTCACAGTGATATATTGGTACAAGCTTATGCTTTCCATGCATTTGTATCCCACCATCATCAGATGGTTGTCTGTTCAAATAACAATTTGTCAGTTGTCATAATGTCTTTATCCATTGTTAAAACAATCCTTGTTATTGCTTTTTCTTCGGAAGCACTGTATGGACATTTCTTTATATAGATATCTCTTAGATTTTGTATGTAGGATTCGTTTGTAATCAAATAATATAGAGGAAGGGGAAAAAGAAGGGAAAAGTGGAGAAAAAATCAGCCTTACATAGAACCAATAAAGATCATTCAAGGGTGGGCACCAAACTTTTTTCTGGATCCCTGGCTTTAATAAATGATAAAGAAATCTTAATATACTTAATATACATCTCTCAGTGCACTTTAAATTACATGAACATAAGTGTGTAAACAGGATACATTGTCTCGACTATACAGAGATAAAAATACCTTTCAGTAAATAATCAGTTTCTGAATGTGTAGAACATTTTAAACTAAATCTTAATATCTGATATTCATGAGGACTTTCATTCATGTAAAAACATAGGAATGAATATTTCCTAAACTAGGTAAAACATGTTCCATGAATTTCCCTTCAGGTCTGTTGTGTTTGCAAACTAACAATATAGACTTTGTTCTTACCAGAGGATCCAGTATTTTCAGTCATATGTGGATAACTGTTATAATGACATAGGCATATAGTTAAACTGACCACACTGGATATCCTAATTTAAAAAAAAAACAATAGTTTACTAATTATCTTTCAAGTGGTTGGTGGGGGTTATCTTCAATTGTTTCTTAATAATTGAATTTTTTTGTCAGTAACATTTTAGAATAAAATGCTCTGGGGACATACCGGTAGATACTTCCAAAGGAAACTTTGTTTGCATGTTTTGGTATCATGTAGAAATAGGCTATGCTTAGTGGGAAAATGGTTGAGGGGGAGGGAACAAAAAATGAGAAGATATTAGAATAAAAAAGGGGGGAGTGGGGGGGGGGGGGCAAAAAATGAAAAGTCAGGTTTAGAAAGCACCACAATCAGTTCCCTTGTTATCATTTACTGTGATGAAATTTCCTGGTCACTCTAGCACTTGTTTTTTAAATGTATCTTGCTGCATAACCATATTTACTGCTTTTTACTTTAATAAAAAAACATCATTTAAAACATGATCTGAAAATACCTTGAAGATATGGCTTCAGCTCCTAAGATCTTTAAATATATATGGTCACAAAGGTAATATTCACTTAGGTCAAATTTTTAACCTAAAGTTATACATCATATGTATCTGATACACAAAGAAATGATTACTCGGAGCTGTACAGATTCATCAGGTGTCTTGAGCATGAGGAATTAGTAACTGATGTTTGATTTTGTAATTGGGTTGTATGTTATTGTGTGTCTCAGTTATTTGGTTATAACTGAGCTATTGGGCTGTACCATGGTGTATGACTTTGTATGCGTTATTTTTGGGACTTTGTTATTGGATTGTACCTTTGTATTTGACTTATTTGGTCATTAACATAAAAAATAATGAAATACATGAAATACAGGTTTTTTTTTGTTTTTTCCAGATATGTCCCAGGAATTTCTCAATATACTTGACAAGTGCCCAAGCAAGCTTAGGAAAAAAATATTAACATGGAAGGTAAAAAAAAAAAAATAGAATTGGATTTATATGTTTGTCTTGATATAGTTGAGCTAGATAAAGAAAGTTTGATTAATTTTTTTGAAAAAGGGTCACATCAGTGATCCTAAAAGCCCAAAATGTTGAAATTTAGAATATCAGTAAGAAAAGCTGCATAAAGATATCTTATGACAATAAATTTACTTTAACAAAATGGCAGTAATACCAAGAAATTGTTAGTAAGCTTAAGATAATAGATTCCTTTTATTTGTGTTTGATGAAGTCTTGTATCTGTTTATTTGTTCCAGTCTGGAAAGGATCGACCTGAAGAATATGACCCAGAAAAGAAGAAATTACGTGAGCAGGCAGCCCAACAAGCAGCAAAAGATGCTGCTGGGGCCAAGTCAACATCATCCCATCATCATTCAATGACCAACCATGACCGGAAAGGAGACAAATCTCATCACATTAAGTCAGAAACATCGTCACATGGTAGTTCAAAACATCATACAGACCCAAGTGCAACATCTCAGAGCAGCCATCACCACCACCAGCGCTCTCATTCAGATTCTGTTTCATCCAAATCCATCCCTGCCCAGACTAGTACGGATTCTAACAAACATAGCTCAGACCCTCCTCAGTTGGGGACCGTTACAAATCCGTCCATTTCTGCTGCTGCTTCTGCTGTTACAACAGCAACCACCACTAGTACCACAAAAACAACACTCAAAGAATATTGGGAGAAACAGAGAGAAAGAGAGAAACGTGAGGCAGCTGCTGCAGCTGAAAGGATAAAACGTGAGCCCCATGAGAGTAGTGAGGAGAGGAAAGTTCCTACAGTAAAGCTAGAACCAGGTTTACATCCTGGATCAGAGAAAACCAAATATCACCACCATAAAGACAGGGAACATCATCGAGACCAGCATAGACAACAGCGAGATCTCGAAAAGATCTCAGAAACTAAAATCAAAATTAAGTCAGAATCTGGTCATTCTCACCATAAGGTCTCAAATGAAAGCTCTTCTCCTTTAAAACTTAAAATAAAAATGCCAAAGGACCAATCAAGTCATGGGGATAAAAAGCATTCTCAATCAGAACAAAAAGTGCCACCGTTAAAGATATCTTCAGGCTCATCTAGACATCGTGGTGAATCACATCACAAATCGCACAAGTCTTCACGACACTCCAGCAGTAACTCTGAACAAAGTATGAACCATTCAGGTGACGGTGGGGGTCACCACAGTGGGACCAATGGCCGCTCTGACCTCAAGCTCCACATTAACATGAACACGATGTCGTCATCGTCGAGTAAGTCCAGTCGTGAGGGAAAGGGAGAGAAACATCGGGACAGAAGTTCTCGGTCTTCCTCCTCGCACCATGAATCAGCCAAATCTGCCTCTTCCTCTTCATCTTCACACAGTCATTCAGGTCACCCGTGGACAATGTCAGAATTAATGGCCACAACAGCAGCTTCAAATTCAATGCCTTCATCATCACGGAAAAGACCTCATAGTCCAGCAACAGACCATTTAAATGATATACATAAGAACAAAGTGTCCAAATCAGAAACAAACTTGCGAAGGTCGTCTTCTAACCATTCTATTGTCAGTATGGATTTGTCCGATACTGGGTCTCTGACTGGTGGGGATGTGTTCAACACGGAGACCAGCATTGCACTGCGTGGGCTTGAAGGTGGCAGTCGCAATAATTCTCCATTGATAGACACCAGCAAAGAGAAGTTAGACATGCGAATACAGGAATTACAGCAGGTCATTGACTTGCAAAAGGCTCAAATAGCATTACAACAAACTCCGAGCAACCCTCAGGCACCTCCTCCACCACCTGCCCCCTCACTGGCATCACAATTTACAGACATGCCAATGCAGTCCTTGTATGATATGGACTTCCTTTCTGATGATGCCTTGCCCCCTCTACCTGGTGACATTACAGAGAAACCTCCAACCCCTACTCACTTTTGACTTAGGCCATACAATAGGCTACTGTAATTTTAACATATTATATATTCATAAGTGGAAATAGGAAACAATTTCTCTTCAATATTCCTAACTTTTATGAACTGAACACATAACTGCAATTTACAAATCATGCTTTGAACGATACTAGATACTTATATTTCTTTTCTAAGATTATTTCATCAGTAGCAATTACTAGTATTAGTACCATAGATCAATATAAGTGTTTTCCTGTGAATTATTTCAGATTTTCATTTCTAAATGAGTGCATGTTAAGGTTTTATTTTTTAATATTTTCATTAAAGTATGCAGTCCATTTCAGATTGAAAATTATTTCATCCAAAAAATGCTGACCAAATAATGGATGGATTGAGTACAACCATAGGACCTTTTGCATAAAATGTCCATAGTCTGAACCATAATGTTTTCTATTTTTATATGTGTATAGAATAATGGGCTCTTTCTTTAGCTTCTGGTCAAATAATTTTGTAAAAAATTCAATAAAAGCATTGCAAATGCTGTTAGAGATAATGATATTCTAGATTTTCTAGGTTATGTTAAATAGTACAGCTTCTTTACAACCATTAAAGGTATTTAACTGAAATATTCTTTCAGTAAATCATAAATAAAACCTAATCGCTCAAAAACAAATAGACTAACTCCGACTCTGTAATTCAGTTTAAAAAACGAAGAAAGTTTTGTTTGCAAGTTACGTGCCATAAACTATGCCTACCACTGGTGAATTGAACTCTTTTTGGGATTTGATGATTTTAGTTCTTAATAGTTAGTAAACTTTGTTCCATTGCGAATCATAATTCTTCCATGCATTAATTACAAAAAGACTGGACCTTGTTTTCATAATTATATTGTAAAGGAAGTATTTAGACTTCATTTTCTTTTATTTGATTTGTTTAAAACTGGGCATGATTTATATAGCATATCTTCATATTTCCATATGTGACTGGATATGCACTTAGATAAAGTTATTAGTATTACTATGAAGTTAAAGTAGTTGATTATGCAAAATTGGTGTTAAAATGCATTATCTTTCTCTCTTCATTTTTAGTTTGACCCAAAGATTGAACTATTTTTTTTATCAGTAATAGGTCAATCTAGGTTGGTAAAATTAGATCAGAAGTTTGACTACTTTGCTGTAGTAATCTACATGACAGCCAGATCAGCTGATAGTTGTTTCTGACTTTAGTGTTGTTAAGGTTACAATTTAAATTATTGGAAAGATAGAAATATGTAGTTTTTGTATTCATTTATTATGTCCATGGGCATTAAAAAAACAAATGTTATTTTATGTTGTTTTTTTACCAGAAATTTTTACTTTTGAGAGAAGAAAAAGGCAGGAAAAGAGTATTGTCAAATTTCAATGCAGACATTTTATTGGAAATATGTATGAAAAGGAATGTAGATGCATGTGTTAAACTAAATCAGATATATCATTTACTACTTCACTGGTTGAGAGTCTTAAACTAAATCTGTCCTGTGCTGCTATGTAGCTTAAGTCCTATTTGAATTGTTTTAAAGCTGGGCTACACTAGAATGAAACTAAACCATTATCAGATTAGAGCAATTAAAGTTTGATTACCAAGCAACATTTTTGGAAAAAAAGTCAGGTAATGCTGGTTGTAGCTAGTATATGTTTCTAATAATTAAACACAAACTTAAGATTTATTCATGTCTCCTTTATACTTTTATTACACCACAATATATTTACATTTTAATCCTAGCACACATTTTGTCATTTTTGATCCATGGCAATTTTGAATATAAATTCTCAATTTCTTTAAGCTTTCCATGGGTGCTGATTAGCTGATTTTGTTGAACACATGAATGACATGCTTTATGTCTCCTGAAAAGATTCTGTAGGTGGAAGTATGCACCATAGTAGCTGCATTGTGTTTATAAAAGGTATTATAATGTCCGGTGTTTCCCTCATTCCAGATACTGTTTTAATGGAACAGCACTTCGAGATGTTTTGATGATAATGGATTGATAAATGAACATTCTGTATTCCTATTGGAACAAATAAAGAAATATTTGTTATTCAGCTTATCTGTCATACCTAAATTTCATTGCTTAATTTAAATGTTGTTGCAGCTTGTATGTTTATATATTCATAGACATGATTAAGTAATAAGTATTCCCCCTTGAAACTGGGGGTAGAGTTTACCCCTAGCAATGTATTCATATAGTAGAGTCCTTAAAAGCAGGGGTACAAGACTTGAATTTCACCAATTTTGGGGGTTTGTACCTTCATTTAGGGTAATGGAGAAAACCTGTATTTGGACTTGTTCATTGTTTTGTAATTGTATGATGATGTAGAAACTCAATAACACTTTATACTACATGTGATTACAAAATTTACCTCAAAATTAATCATGAGTAAAAGAGTTCTTCATATTTATGTGTCATAAATAGTTTTGAAACCATTAGTAGTGTTAAATGGTGCTTTAAGTAGAAAGAACTACCCATAAAATATTTTTGAAGCTGAAAAATTACAATCACATCCCTTAGAATATTTCCTTTTTGTTTTTTGTTCCCATCAGTACTAAATTACTTATATCTGATAGGTATTGCAGCCTAAGTTCAGATTCTGACATTACCTGGTACATGTAGTTGAATTTTTAGGTCACCAAAGTCTCCTGAACCAATGGCAATGAATTTTTGCAAAAACTTTTCCTGGTCAAAGATGAACCAAAATAATTATAAGGACATCACCCCAGGGGCCTGAGGGGCATGGCCAAAAGCAGTCAAGTTGACTCCAATTTCAGAAGTTTTCTTCTCAACACTTAGATATGGTAGAATCAAATGCTCTCCGTGGATGAAAATTTCTTCAGGTGTATTACCAGAATTGTGAATTTGAAGGCCCCAGGATTTAACATTTCCCCCTTAGTGAAGTTTACAATAATTTTATAGTTTGCTGACCACCAAGGGCTTAAAACATATCAAATTTTAATTTAATCAATGTCGCAATGTTTTTTGTGACATTTGAAAGATATTGCTTCATAACGTTTATATTCAATATTGTTCACTAAAGGTGGCTATCATGCTGTAGGGCCTCTTGTCATCAAGTGTTTTTCAGAAGATTACATTTTGTGCTCTGGTCAGTTGTGTAGTTTCTGATGTTGTTTGAGGTTGCAAAATTTCCATACAGGAATATAGTATAATTGTACTTATTTCTGTAAATTTGTTAAGCAAGGTTACATAATTTTGATGTATGTTAGATTCCAGGAGGGGACAGGTGACCTTTCAATCGATAAAAAGATGAGCAAAGAAAGGAAGAAAAAAATGTTAATAGTAAAATTACAGCTTGACACATTTTGAACTGTGGAGACATGATTTCTTTTTCACCTTGTGTAAATATCTTGTTCTGTGCGCTTGTAAGCCATTAGCTAGAGACCTCCCCAATAAGGACTAGATACCTAGATAGTGTTGACTGTTATTTAGCGGCTATTTCTATGCTTTATCGAAATACAAATTTATGCGAGACCTCATGTTCTAAGCCTTTCTGGTTCTTATATGAGAAGATATCTGTTGGGTGATGTGTTGTCTAATGAAAGAGATCTGCCAGGTTGAAGAGGGGGTTTCTGTACAAACTTTATCATTACACTGGCTGTTATACACAGGTTACTGGTATCTGGGTTAATAAACGTTTTGTATCAAGAGGTGTTATATCATGTTGGCTGTTGTACAGAGGTAATCTGTCATGATGTTTATATTCAGGGTACCTATACAGGTAGAGTTATGTCCAGTGTACAGACTGTTTTGTGGCGATATAAAGTTTTACACTGATTGTTATATTGGGAGTATTAGGTATCATCCTTGCAGTTATGTTAGCAGTAATTAGTTGAGCTAGGACAAATTTTGTTCTGAGTATGATTCCATGTTTATCTTGGATTCTATTGTTATGTAGAAGGGCAGTCTGATATTTGGACTGTGAAAAATATCTCAATATTGTTCGTCAGTTGAAAGTTTTAAAATCACTTTGTTGGATTTCATGCTTAACGAGTAGACACCCATTACTGTTGCATTTTCATAGATGTAAACCTGTGTGTGTAGATTATTTTCATTTCGGGCTGGCATTGTTTCAACAGGTTTTGAAACAAAAGTTGCAGTATGAGAGGGAATTTGGATAATGGCTATTTCAAAATTTATGTGATCGAAATTGAACAATATAAAGAGTGGCAGATGTTAAGAAAACAATAGGAATAAGTGTGATTTGGATTTTCTTTCCTCTTACTTTGGACAGTTACATCCATGCTTTTAAAAGGGTCTGGCCTTGGGTTTGAGACGGTAGGATTACTCTTTCTTAAAGGGATATGGTGACGGCAAGAGAAAAATAATCATTCACCAGCTTTTAAGTTGAAGAGGGGGATCTCGACTATCTGGGAAAGATTCTGCAGTTGCAAATACTGGCCTTATAATGTAAACTTCCTCCTCTGACTGAGGTCCTCCTATTTTTAACCGAAAGAAGGTTAAAGTTTCTATTAATCCTACCATACAAAACATATTTCTAATAGAATGGCTTAAAGTTGCTCCAGTAATCTTAAGTTCTAGAATGAACAATACTTTAGTAGATATATATTAATATATATATAATATAAAAATATCGTACATTTTGCTTTATGTAAGCATTTTTCGTAACAATTAGGTTCTCAGTACCTACTATTTGATCTTACTATAAACATGTATATCATCTTTTTCTATGCTTTATCTACATATTCTCCTTGACAGGAGGTTTTTGTGGACATTTGTCTACAAGTCTGATACTGTTGTTTGTAGCAGTGTTTTCTGTGATCTGATGCATGGGGAGTTGGGAAACATTCTAGAGCATTGATTGAAAGCAGGATAAAAGTACAGTGTTATATGAACACTGGAAAGAAAGTGTCCAGTTACAATTAATGGGAAAGTGATATTTTGAAAACACCATATATTATGCTTGTTAGTATGTTTTTGTGATTCTCCTGTAATCGGGTGGTAAGTCTGCTATTATTAGTGGTATTTTGTACTTTATTTACAACATGACAAAATATGTTGGGCCACTTGTCTTTTTTTTATTTAATCATGTGTGTGAGATCAGCATATCTTTCAGTATTTCTATGAGTTGTACAGTAGCGTAAATTTAAATAAAAAAAAGGGGGGAAAAAGTGGCAGATGAATGGAGAATAAAATTGCTACACTATGTTGATAGGTTGGAAGTATTTACCTTGATTAAAAACATTTTAAAAATTGTCCAAGCTTTTTGTGGTATTTATAATTTATTGTGCGACTTGTTTTCAGTCTAAATTTATGACTCCAGATCCATGTCAGTTCTCCAACACCTTCGTTCATTAGGTCTCTGTTGCTATTTTTATGATGATTGGCTATTCAAATTGCCCTACATCCGTCGTCCTTTGTCGAACAATTTTTGTTCTTGCTATTTCTTGAGAAACACAGGATGGATCTTTATCAAATTTCATATGTAGGTTCCTCTTGGTCCCAAATTGTGTACGTTTGATTTTAGGAGTGATCAAAACTACAAAATGGCCAATAGATGGCCATCTTGCATTTTTTCAATGAATTTTGTTATCAATATTTCTTGAAAAGTACTTGGTCCCTAGCTGTGCCCATTTGATTTCTGGACTGATTTGAAAAACAAAATGTCCAACAGGTGGCCCTCTTAGATTTTGACTTTGAAAGTTTGTCATCGCTATTTCTCGAGAAATACTGCATAGATCTTTCTAAAGTTCATGTATTGGTTACTCTTGGTCCCTAGTTGTGCCTGTTTTGAGTTTTGGACTGATCAGAAAAATTTCTGACAGGCAGCCATCTTGGATTTTGCTTAGTAAAGGTTGTTATCCCTATTTCTTAAGAGGTATTCAATGGATCTCTCTTAAATGTCATATGTATGTTCCCTTTGGTCTCTACTTGTGCCTGCATGATTTTGGGACTGATCAAAAGAAATGAAATGGCTCCAGGCGACCACTTCGGATTTGGCAGGTAGATATTTTCATCGCTAGTTCTGCAGAGGAATGTTCAAATTTTCCGATCATGAAGAACAAAAACAGTAAAAAGAAGGGAAAAGAGCAAATAAAGATCAAACCATGGTTATAAAGCACCAAAGCATCTTTGAAAAGATAGTGTTCCAGGGTTGTTGGGTCAAGGTCAGCTTGACCATCAATTTTTTAGAAAATTGTTATTAGCACTCTAGCAGCTTTATAACTTATAGGATTTTGATCAGACTTCACACACAAATTACCATAACACTTTATTACACAATGTTGATGAAATTATTGCATTAGAGTGTCACTTGTGTATTGCATTCTTAAAATTATTTTTTGCCAAATTAACACCAAACAGCACTATCTACATCAATTGTTACAGTGTAATTGTTTGTAGATGACGTCTTGCTTTAGCAATACTCTGAATGCTTTATAAATTTCATTTTTGAAAAAGTAATAGAACACAATATTCTTTATCTTGCCCTATTTGAGATGCCAAAGGGACCAAGTGAGTGTATGCCATGATGTCTAGTTGTTGGCTTGACATATCTACCCAGCATCATTCATGTTGGGTTTAATTTGATTCAGATGAATGACTTTGACCCAAGTAAGTAGTGATTTTTGAGCTGACAATGCCATGGGAAGACAGGGTGGAGGGGGCAAACAAGCAAAAGAAGCAAAATTACCACCAGTTGATGGACAAAGTCTACAGGAATGAAGAACATGGTGTCTACCTCTTGAGGATGTTTAAAAGTGGTCATTATGACTGCTATAGGTCATAAACACAGACCATAAGAAACTTGTAGGCAGACAGTGGCTGCTTCCAGCTGGATATGGAGGAAGAAGAGTGGTCACCAGACATAGTGCTACATACAAAGTTATGAGAGGCTAGTAGGTAACACTGCCTGAAGGATTAGTAGATAGGTTGTAAACTTATGTATATTGCAAAAATCTGCAGCAAGCGACAAAAAAAACAACATTCGCCCAACTTGGTATCTTGGAGCTGCAAATTGATATAGCTCAGCTGGTTAGTGGATTGGCTTTTGTAAACTCAGGTGATGCTTCCTATCCCTGGAAGCTAAGAAGGAGATAGGTCTGTGCTAAAAGGGCAAGACACTTAACACTGTTTGTATTGGATGGCGAGCAATGTGCCTCCCATATTTTGTTCAGTGATCATTTTGATGTTTACAGGTGATTACTAATCAAGCAAACCTTGTCAGGCTTCATAACAACAGGTCTTTCACAGTCTCTTGTAAACAATATGTACATTTTTATCTTAATGCTTGAATGATTGTGTATCAAACTTGATAACAATCATCCTTTCCATGTGTGAATAGGGATTCATGTTTTAATACTTCACAAGTGGCTAACTTTGGGGAGTGGGGCCTAAAACAGGTTTGGTTGATTTTTTCCAATTGGGCCCTGCCCCTCAGGCCCCATTTACACAAAATTGTTTCCTCTTTCCCCAAGGATCATTCAAACCAAATTTGATTATATTCTGCTTAGTTGTTCATGAATAGTTGTAATGTATAGTAAAAGATAATGGGCACCGTGGTATCACCTTTGGGCCAGGCGAGCTAAAAAATTAAACTGGATAGAATACATCCAAATAAATTAAACTGCATCATACATCTGTTCATCATTCCAGGATTTTTAAGCAATGTTTAGGGCTTAAATACAACATTTATACTAAAGGAAACCCAGGATGATAAACATCAGCTGCTTTTCTACCCAATTCTTTTCTAGACAAAAACAATACAACTATGAGTCTTCTATTTGATCTAAATACTTTATTGGTGGGTAAAACTCAGTGTTATACATACAAAGAGAACAATGACATAACATTTATCACAGCTAAGAAATTTCATACACAGAAAATTTGTGGATGCCAAAAGCTTCCAGACTACGTTAAAGATATTGATTTTATTCAAATCATTTACCGGTACATTAAAATGGATCATTTTATTAATTTAAATTGTTGATGAAAACATATTTGTGATATAATCTACATGAGTCTGACTATTTTGTTCTTATTTAATATTTTCAATCCACATTCTGATCATCAAAAAATAAAAAGATAAATAAACGAAAAAATTAAAAAAAAAAGATAAATAAATGAAAAAAATTAAACAGGAAGGATAATATAATTTTTATTACATTTAACTTTCAAGTTAACTTGCAGGTAGGCAATGACAGTTACAGCATCATATATATATATTTTTTTTTTCTCTCTTTCTAAACCATACAGCCAACTCAACATTAATTAAAAGGTCTATAATGCTGATAGCCAGATTTTAACTTTTGAAAAAATGTATGATTTAATGAGTTAAAAATACAAACCAAACCTTACCCATGCAAATTCTACACATTAACTTGCATATTCAAACCACATACTGATATTAAAAAATATTACTATTATTTCCACAAACTCAAGTATGAAGTATTTACTGACATACTTATTTAACACAGTTCAAATGTCACTCCTGGAATTTTGAGAATGAATTACAACCAGAAATGTCTAGAAATCAGAAAGGTTGACATACCAAAGCCAGTTGATTGAAGGACTTAATGTTCCAAAGTTTAATGAGAAGTGGTTTGCAAATAAAAATATATGAAAAAAAATATATCTTAGGCATCATTCCTTTGACTATTAAAATTACCTGAAAATAGGGTATACATCATAATTATAATGAACAAAATAATAAAGAAAAAAATCTTTGTATTTGACTGCTCTTGGGAGGGACAACAATACTTTTGACATCCCTACCATGATAATTGCACTTGTACTAAAAACTTCTGAAATGTGAAAATACTAAAATAAAAGTATTGATCAGCAGAGTGAGCGAGTTGTATAATAGTTCTAACATAGCCAGTATGCACAAAAACATGCATATTTTTGGTAATATTTCAGTGACAATTGTATCTTTTCTCAAAACAAGAAAATTTTAAATGCCAAACAGCATCCTTAATACTTTGGTTGGATCAAAAGTGAAGCGAGATGTAAGATAAAATCTAGTTCTATGTGCTCCAGAAACTACTGTGCACAAACTGATAAACAGTACTTAGTTTGTGATTGAGTTATAAAGTGACTCAAAAAATGATAGAAAATATTTTCCATATCTATGGCAAAGTAACAGAAGCTGTAAAGGACCACATCTAATGCACTGTTATGTACCAGTAAATATGTGATATATATATAGTACAATAGAAACATAACTTTGACCTGGGCCTTTTTAACACCTTTGGGACAAATTACACTCGACAAAACATGAATGCTCTTTTTTATGAAAAAATCCTTTGTTCACTTTGTCAATAACATCAAAATAAATTATTGTTATATAAGTCACATAATAATGTACAAGTACCCATCACAGGATCAACTAAACAATTACAGAAAATCCCACTTTTCCAACATAATTTTGGCTTCATAGTTACATTGGTATTTCTATTTTTTTGTTTGTTTTTTCTTTTTGTTTTTGGTCAGTTTTTTTTTTTGTGTGGGGGTGGGGGAGGGAAGGGGAAGGTTGTTTTCATATGTGTGTGGGGAGGGGAACATGAGAGAGGGCTGATGATAATGGATAGCTTTCTACATATATTGCACAAACCATACTGATTGTTTTTCAATAAATTTTATGAAAGTGTATTTAAGATCAACTGAGACATCACATAAATTTTTGAATTTTTAAATCTTAATGCTCACATTCCAGCACCCTCACTACTACACCATACTTTAAAATATTGTAACTAAAATCTGGAATATAATTCTACCTATCTGAGAAAATATCTGATGGGATCTATAATACTGAAATCATCTCACTAACATACACAGGTATACACATACTAAAACACACATGTACCAGCTGGTATCCCGTGCTACTGATTTCTGATAATTTGTTACCTTCAAACAACTTTGTCTACCAAGTCTATGATCCATGCATAATTTTTTGTATAACGTACAGATGTTATTTAACAACCAATTTAGATTAGAGATCTATTCTGAACAGTAAAATTAGTTTACAATATCTATTAAAGATTTAGGTCTAGAATAACCAAATCAGTTCTAGATTTATCTATCGAAGGCTTTCTCTAGATCTGTAGAAATGATTTACAGATATTTATTCATGAAACAGTTCTGTCTAGAAAAGTAGAATTTAATATTTGTATAATTATCCAGAAATTCTGTCTAGATCAGTAGAATTAGTAAAAACATATACCTAGGTATGTTATTATCAAAGACTTTTGTCTAGAGCAGTTGAATTAGTTAACAATATTATATATGGTGGTAATTAATATTTACATAATCATCAGGGACTTTTGTCTAGAACGGTAGAATGAGTTTACGATATATGTATAACAATCTGAGGCTTTTGTCTAGAACATTTGAATCAGTTTACACTATGTATTTACCTCTTATTTATCAAACGTTTGTGTTAGACTAGAATACACCTCATTATCTATATGAAATACAAATTTATTGAATACAAATGATACAACCTAAATTCAATATCCTAGAATTTATACAAGATAAAAACAAAGGAGAAATATCATGTACATATACATTTGTGTAAACTTTTTCTACTGGAATGATATTGCTCCTCAATGGATGCAGTATTGTCTTGCTGTATGTATGTCACCATACAAATAAGTCCTTATTTGTTGGAGCTATTTGACAAGCTTCTTGTACATAAAACATAATAATGCTATTGTAATGCTTTTTGATCTAGGGGACCATCAGAGTCAGTCAAACTCACATCTGACAAGACCATTATGTCGTCACTTCCTGAGTTTGAGCCATCTTTGTCCTCCTCTTTTTCTTCCCTTTGATTTTCTTTTTGGTCTTCACCTTGTGGAGAATTTTCATTGGCTAGAATTTGTGATTCTTGATTCTGATTGGAAGTGACTTCTTTATTGCTATTTTCTGAATGGTCTACACTTTGTAAACTTTCTTCTGATTGGTTAGTTCGTTCATTAGTTTGTAATTTGTCTTCTGATTGGTCAGATTCTGTATCTGTTACAGATATGAAAGTTTCAGCCTCCTGGGCTTGTTCAGGTACCATAACAAATTCCTCTTCCTTTGTCGTTAAGTACACATCCTTTTGAATATTCTTTTCGACTTTATGTATTTCTAAGTTACTTGTGTCAGTTTTCTCAGGTATGTCTCCTTTTTCCATATCTAGTTTACTGCCTCTCCTTATTGGAGTGCCTGCCTCTGAATTGTTTCCCATTTTTTCTGCTGCAGAGCTATTCACCTTTCTTTCAGGAGTGTTGAATTCCGAGCTTCCACGTCTTCTCTCTGGTGACGTAACGCGCAGATGAAGTCGTCCATCAACGACTGTGGGATGCGTGTGAGTGGTGTCACTGGTCTCTGAGGTAAATGACCCTGCCATGGCGATCATGCTTTGAGTGTCCTCTTTTTGTGTGGTGGTTTCCACAACTAGTAACTGACCAGAGGCCTGTGTAGTTTGTGATCCAGGTATGGCCAATCGTGCAGCAGAAGCTGGAAGGGTAGAGCCAGCATCGCTACTACTGTAGCTAGACCTATAACACATAGCACAATATTTTACCATCAATTCTGTTAAGAATAGGTGCAACACAATCAATCCAGTACTGTGTGAAATTAATGGGTATTAAACAATACATTTCTACATATAAATATACCATTATAACTAAGTATTCCTTGTTATAACATATGAAACATTGTATTTCTCACATGGTCTGTGAACGTGATGCTTATATGTACAGAAATTTAAGCTTAATCAATTCCATAAACTTTAATTTTCATTAAATGCTACCACCTCATGTTTGTTGAAACCTACCCAATAATTTTGTGAAGAAACAAGGTTAAACAAATAACCTGCCAAAGTGATATCCTCCAGGACAAGAGACATAAGCATCAAATAACTATATTTGTATACTTCATGTTAGATAAGGACGCTGTGCATTTGTATATGACAAATAATGAAAATGAACATAAAAAAGAACAAATTCCTTAGGCCTGCCAACATTGGTTAAAAAATTTTGACAAAAACAACAAAAGACTAAAATTGTGTGCTAAAGTGATAATTTGAGTATTACCAGTACAAGCCTTAATGGAAAACCAGCCTTCTTTCATGGCTGCTAAATTTCACGATTTCCTTGTAGCAAGTTCACAGTGACTAACTTTCACAAAACTAACTATACATCGCTATAATCAGTGTTTACATCCCTGTTTTTAATTATCAAAAGTTTCTTAGGTGCAATCATAAAATTGGTAAAAATAAAATGAATGGGAAATAAATTTGGTATCAGTACTGTTACAAATTTCCAATATCCTAACAGGATAACTGTCAGTAATCACATGTACCATCCAAATGTTTCCCCAGAATTATAAACATCTTCCTTGTTGATATTTGACTGTCAGGTAAATCTTGTTTCAGTATTAGAATTACATATGAGTACTTGGTAGGTCAGCAGGATAAAACTGTAAATTGTGAGTATTTGAGGCAGGCTAAACCTTTTACCGTACCTGTGACTGTCTGAGGCAGGCTAGGATTATCACTGTACCTGTGACTGTCTGAGGCAGGCTAAAACTATTACTGTACCTGTGATTGTCTGAGGCAGGATAAAACTATTACCTTACCTGTGACTGTCTGAGGCAGGCTAAAACTATTACTGTACCTGTGACTGTCTGAGGCAGGCTAAAACTATTACCGTACCTGTGACTGTCTGAGGCAGGCTAAAACTATTACCGTACCTGTGACTGTCTGAGGCAGACTCAAACTATTACTGTAACTGTGACTGTCTGAGGCAGACTAAAACTATTACCGTACCTGTGACTGTCTGAGGCAGGCTAAAACTATTACCGTACCTGTGACTGTCTGAGGCAGGCTAGGATTATCACTGTACCTGTGACTGTCTGAGGCAGGCTAAAACTATTACTGCACCTGTGATTGTCTGAGGCAGGATAAAACTATTACCTTACCTGTGACTGTCTGAGGCAGACTAAAACTATTACTGTACCTGTGACTGTCTGAGGCAGACTAAAACTATTACCGTACCTGTGACTGTCTGAGGCAGGCTAAAACTATTACTGTAACTGTGACTGTCTGAGGCAGACTAAAACTATTACCGTACCTGTGACTGTCTGAGGCAGGCTAAAACTATTACCGTACCTGTGACTGTCTGAGGCAGGCTACAACTATTATTGTACCTCTGACTGTCTGAGGCAGGCTAAAACTATTACCGTACCTGTGACTGTCTGAGGCAGGCTAAAACTATTACCGTACCTGTAACTGTCTGAGGTAGGCTAAAACTAGTACAGTACCTCTGACTGTCTGAGGCAGGCTAAAACTATTACCGTACCTGTGACTGTCTGAGCCAGGCTAAAACTAGTACAGTACCTGTGACTGCCTGAGGCAGGCTAAAAGTATTACTTTCCCTTTGACTATCTGAGCCAGGCTAAAACTATTACAGTATTTGTAACTGTCTGAGGCAGGCTAAAACTATTACCGTACCTGTGACTGTCTGAGGCAGGCTAAAACTATTACCGTACCTGTGACTGTCTGAGGCAGATTGTTCTGGTGAAGTAGGGGCTTTAATGATGTTAACATCATCCATATCAACATGGCCACTCTGAAGCTTTCTCATCAGACTTGTGTACTTGTGGTGCTGCATTTCACACTGTCTCTTCATTCCAGTGCTTTGAAAAGAGGATATGCAAGAATTTTGAGGATAATGAAACAATAATACAATGTACCAAATATGTTCAGTCTATCAACAGTTATTTGTGTATACAGGTACTGACTGTTGTTTGTGTATACAGGTACTGACTGTTGTTTATATATACAGGTACTGACTGTTGTTTATATATACAGGTACTGACTGTTATTTATATATACAGGTACTGACTGTTGTTTATATATACAGGTACTGACTGTTATTTATATATACAGGTACTGACTGTTGTTTATATATACAGGTACTGACTGTTGTTTATATATACAGGTACTGACTGTTGTTTATATATACAGGAACTGACTGTTGTTTGTATATACAGGAACTGACTGTTGTTTGTATATACAGGTACTGACTGTTGTTTATATATACAGGTACTGACTGTTGTTTATATATACAGGTACTGTCGGTTGTTTGTGTATACAGGTACTGACTGTTGTTTATATATACAGGTACTGACTGTTATTTATATATACAGGTACTGACTGTTGTTTATATATACAGGTACTGACTGTTGTTTATATATACAGGTACTGACTGTTGTTTATATATACAGGTACTGACTGTTATTTATATATACAGGTACTGACTGTTGTTTATATATACAGGAACTGACTGTTGTTTGTATATATAGGTACTGACTGTTGTTTGTATATACAGGTACTGACTGTTGTTTATATATACAGGTACTGTCGGTTGTTTGTGTATACAGGTACTGACTGTTGTTTACATATACAGGTACTGTCGGTTGTTTGTGTATACAGGTACTGACTGTTGTTTGTATATACAGGTACTGACTGTTGTTTATATATAAAGGTACTGTCGGTTGTTTGTGTACTTGCTAATGACATTTTCCCTATTATTACTTACAGTTGCTTCTGAAGCTCAAGTATTACAAGTTCCAGCTGGTGCCGTTCTTTTTTTCCTTCCACGTCAAACTGGTGCACAGTGTTTATAAGAGTCTGTCGCTGATGTTGAAGTTGGTACAGTTGGTGTTCTCTCATACGTCCTAGCTCCTCCAGGTATCCCTGTTGTTGGATTAAATCTTAATTACAGTAAATTCAATAATGTCAACTAGGTCAATTCCTTAAGATACATACTATATAGCTTTTGTGACTTTGTGAATGTATTAATACTGTCTGCATTCAATATAAAGACAACTTTATTAAAAAGTCTTGATTTTATCAATTAAAACATTAAAGAATATTTATCTGGCATGTAACCATATCAGCTTAATGAACATCCTAAGAGTGTTAAAAGATACATGGCTAGAATGAAGGGAAAATGTTGGCATAAGGACTAAACTCAAAAGTTTCATGATGGCATCAAACAGGGATTTGTTAATGTCATTGGTTGTGTAGTTGTTGAAGATTTCTTGAAATTTCAAAGTTTTTCATCTGATTCATTAAAAGTTATTGTAATAATATAGAAGTAACCTTCTGCTCATTGGCTGTCTTATATTTGGTCTCTAAAGCCTTGAACTTGTTTTTCCAGGTGTCATCCCCTATAATTGTAATGTCTTCACTCATGATACTGCTCGTCATACTAGAGATAGTACTCAGTTCCTGTAGCTCCTCAGCATCACTATGGAGACTCTCCTGGCTAAACCAAAATATATTACATATTTGTGACTACTGGCACTAACAGAAAAGGTGTGTTTTGTTGAACTAAATCATTGTTAACAGATATAAGGTAGAACTGCCTTTTTGGGGACAAGACTACCCGATAAGTGCAAAGAATAAATGTATTTAAACCCATCTTTTCACTGTAGGAAAATTTAATGAATGGAGACAGTCACACCATGGAATCAGCTGGTCTGGTGAACTGATAAATGATACAGAAAAAATATTTGTCTTTGTAAATGTAGCTCAATTACCTCTGTTGGAACCTTAGGTATGGAGTAAAGTCTATTTCTAGTGGACTAGACAAAGCCACATTGTTTCCCTTCAGACAGAAACTGTAAACAAAAGGCATATTCAGTATTTTTATCATTACATTTTATTTGACTCTTAATTTCACAAACATTGAAATATTGCAAAGTTGTATTGTACAGCAAATGAAATAGTTTTGTAACATGCAGTTTGTTTTTTAACAGTGCCACTTTTAAGTAGAAACAAAAGTTTTCACATGTCATTTTACAAGGCGATAGACACTATCTGTTTATGAACCAATCATCATAGTTCCTGTTTCACTTGTTGAATACAATTGCTTTCCAAATGAAAATTGCTGAAAAGTTCAGCCTAATCTCAAAACCTGCTTGATGATGGAAAAAAAAAACATTGCCAACAAAAAGCTTTACTTTCTGATCAATTACATTTCAGAACTGAGAGAACTACCACCTATAAAAATCACAACAGCCAGTAACTACCAGGTAATCTCACTAAACTGTTATGGTGGTAAAGAGGTACACCAAGAGTGGGAAACAAAGCATAGAAAGAAAGATAAGATGGGAAAGGATGGTGATCCCAATTGTGGAATGGGAGAGCAGATCTGTTTTTGTACCTCCAATGGCTCCTTAGGAGAAGACATGGAAGAAAACCCAATGAATCCAAAAGGGTACCCACTTTAAGTTTTCACATACAATCAAACAGTGGAATGCAGCTCACCAAACCCTTGGGCCCTCTGATGTTCCCTGAACACAGACATCGGAGATACCATCCCCGATCTACACCAGGTACCCAAAAAGCATATTCTCTCACCACTCCTGTACAGGTGTCAAGCATGACCAATAAATGGCTTGTTACAGTATATGTACTTCATGGTTATAAGTCTTAATCATTTACACCTTATATAATAACCCACCTGAAGTCAATGGCATTTAGTCCCAGCAGAACACCGTTCAACATGTTTGCATCATCAGTTAACATCACAGCTCCCTCCCTGTAAAACTTTCTGCAATGAAACCAAATAATTTCCATTACGTACCAGAGTAAATCCTAATTTCTTCTCAATGCAGTGAATGCAGGTAAAATTGAAGTTCTGAAAGTGTAAGTAACGAAATCTGTTATCAACGTGTTACATGTGATACAAATCTGAAACTTTTCCAGGTGCTTAAAATTACCATATTTTTTTTCAAAGAAAAGTCAGATAATGAAACATTAACAATGTTTCTTCTATGCAGTGTTGCTCCTTTGCTTCCATATACCTGCCCTGGCTGCCAACATACCTGTCAACCCTCTGTAGTTTTAAAAGAGTCTCACTTGCACCCTGATTTTCATTTGATATTGTTGGTATTGCTCAGATTCTGTATACATATTCTAAAACATTGCTTCTATAATGAAGTTTTATTTAATTTAGTGCATCTATTTGATTCTGAAGGTTATTAAACTTGGTCTTGTACCTTCTTGGCCCCAAATTATTTGGAAAAATCACCTCTGCCTCAGGGAATGACAATTTTCCTTTTTGACCAATTATGTCCTAGACTACAATAGGTCAAAATGATTTCAGCAATTCTTGACTAAAAATGTAATGAAAATATCAACAATGAGAGGATAGATGAGTGATATGTTGTCAAGGCAGATACTCATCGGAATTATGAATATTAGTTTTTAGCTAAGAAGTAATTACTTGGTGATATTTGTTTGTTGTAGAGCCACACTGAGGTATTCTGACAGCCGCTTCTCCATCAAAACACACCGAATCCATGCTCGTCCCTTCACATCAAAGAAGTAAAAATGTGCTTAATATGCAGAATATGATACTTTTCTTAATCATGAATGAATCACTTGTTTGCTTATTTTTAATAGATACAATTGGTCAGTATTTTGCATTGTATTTCAAATCAAAGACAAGTCCATTAAAAAAAAAATCAATGATATGTTAATTTATAAGATTTGTTATCAACAACATACAATTTCACTTGACATGTTTATGTTTATCAGCTATTGCTCTGACTACATACCATCATTATGATTTTTTGATTATTCAGCTACTTTTCTTACCTTTGCCACAGGAGATTTTACATTCTCGAGGTTAGCAATACTGTTGACACAGTTATTGGGAACCTTTTTGCAGGCAACCTTGACATAACTCCAGAAATGTGATTGATCCTCATCAAGAGTAAACCAAGTTTTTTGAGCTGTTAAAAAGATAAAATAAAAAAAAATTGTTTGATGCTTAGATTTGTCTTTTTCAGATAGTACATATAATTTCATATACAGTTCTATAATTCATATCATGTACAAATTTCAATAGGATTATATTGTACATAATGCCCTTGACTCCCACATATTTGGTAGTAAGCTGAACACAAAGTTGTATGACTTTACATTTTATTACTTGCTACATTGGTCCACAGTTTATTATACTATTGAGTGGGATAAGTATAAGATAAATATATAGCAGAATTCTGATTATAAATCAGTAATTTTAGTAGGGTTGTTTCAGGCAAGTCCAGAACAATATTTCCAAATTCTTATAAGCCTATTACGGTACTTGTTAATCCTAAAAACTGAGTGAATCTCACAGGAAAATCAGGGGTTCTTGACTAAAAAATATGTGAAAAAACATGAACTGTTGGAAATGAGTGCTCACAAAAACACTCATCACACACCTACCCATATTTGATATTACCACAGGATAAATCTGGTAAGATCTACTTGTGCAAGACCGATCCAACTCTCTTTTCATTGTGTAAGTGAATATCTACATTATATATTGTATATTTGCTATCACGTTAACATGGAGTGGTTTACAGTCATTTCATCAAAGTTAGACAGGATGACACTTTCACAGATGTCATGAATGAATTTATGAATAATGGTTACAATAATGAAGCACATAACCATCAGTATGTAAAATCGTTATTCTAACAACTATTTCAGTTTAGTAATTATCTATCTATCAGGTAATTAATTGTTAAGTATATCAATAAAGACCCTGCTATTTGTGTTTAACTTAGGAGGCTAGTTAGATCAAGTAGGAATGTTTCTCAAATGCTGATTAAACTCAAACAATCTACATGTAATATACATTGTAAATCTTATGTAGCTTATTAAGTAGGGTTATAGAAAACACATGAATTTTTGTTTTGGACCAAAAAGAAAGTAATCCTTTTGTCTCCAGGTCATAAATTATGGACATACTGTTTTAGACACCAATTCATGGAAGCTTCATTTTAGATATTTTTTTTCGGTCATAACCTGTGCAATACATATTCCAGTGACCTCTGACATATCAACTGCCCTACCTTTTAACCTGTGTGAAAGCAGTTGTTCCAGAACTGCACAGAAATTAATGACCTCTTCACACTCATCATCAACAGCTGTCAGGGATGCTTTATCAATAAGACTTTTCACAGCAAATCTGAAGGTATAACCAGTCGTTGTAACGTAGAGTATGTTAATTTTCTATGAAGAAAATATGTAAATTACTTAAACTGGTGTAGTATAATAAAGTCAACAGAAAATAAGACAAAAGCATCACAAGATGCACAAACAAAATTAGAATTGACTTGAATTTACAGTTAATATCAATAATATATCAGTCAAGTCATTGCCAATTCAACATAGTAAAAAGGAATTTGAATCAAATGGCACATTTCAAGAAACTAGAAATGTTCAGACACAAATAAAGGAATAACAGGTGTATTGTGCCATAGCTATAGATGTACAAATTCAAATACTGGTAAAAGTCATTATGACCTGTCCAATCTGAAACATCTGTAAATTACTACCCTAGTATATTTGTTAAATATGGGGTAATTCTGTGTGGAGAATGTTACTTATCTCCCTTATGATATACTATATGTACTATAACATCATGGTCTTTATGATGTCATCAATGTAATGTTACCGTTGTTCAGAATAAAAGCGCAAATGCTTGGCACTCGGTTTGTAATTTACATATACATACCCATTGACAGATAAATATGACTAGACCTAAATATACATTTATAATAGTAAATCGTGATGGTACTATACAAGTAGCAATTATATTAGCATGAATTAAAACTACACACAGCGGCGGTAAGGAGCAAGAAAAACAAGGATTACAGTAATAAAATCGGGTCAAAATTCAATCCTCTTATTTCTTACATAATGCACTTTATTGTGCGACATTTTATCATCATTAACTGAATGCTAATTTCAAGCTCTGAAATTAAAAAAAATATGGTTTGATATATAAAGGTACTTTAATTTTGGCGATACATCAATGTTCAAGACCTTATACTATACTCGCGAATTAAATTCCAATGTACTCTTAATATGATCTGCTGTGAAAGATGATAATGCAGATAGAGCCATTGTTTTTTGAAGAGTTACCTGCAAATTTGAACCAGATTTCGTCTTTGGACAATCACTTGTCGGTTTTGTGTTCGGTTACACAAACTGTCGTGTATATCCATTTTAAAAGGGTTTGGTATTTCACAGGTTGAATGTTATCACTGTCACTCGCTCTTGTCAGAAAACACCTGCGGCCATTGTGGTGTCATGTGACTTCTATCCCAGCTGAGAGACAAATGACCTTCACCTTCTAAATAAAGTGCAAATAGGGTTATGCTGGTACATGTTCTTATTCTGTAAATAATCTAGACAATATTTTGAAAACAAGAAGTTGATATTTGTTTGTTTTAAACTGGAGTCAGATGACACATTGGCCTAATATTGCAACAAACACGTGAAAAACGAAATTGGTAAGGACTCGATTTGGGATCTTCATCATTTCCCAGGTGCGCATGCGTCAAAATTAATGTAGGACAGATCCGTCTAGCCTTCGGAGCTTTGTGTATTTTACTGTGATATTTCTTCCCGTTTCTCCGGAATTGGACCTCTTTGATGAACAGAATGACGAAGAAGAACCCCAAAACTTAGGTATAGTATTTTCCATGCGTTAAGGACACCATCTGGTTGAAATAAATGGGATATTGCACATATTCTAATCGCGTATCCCCAAAACAAGTCAGATGAACGATCGGTCAACTTCGGGGTTCTTTATTTATGAAGGCTTTATAGTATTTATATGTTTGATCGTTGACTTAAAACAGGGAAAAAAGTTTCCCGGAAAATGTGTTTTTTGGTTTATGAGAATGTAGTTTCAGTACTAAATTATATACTTCGTAATGTCAAAAATTTTCCCTCTCTTCCGCATGTCCTCGGTCGTTTACCCCGAAGCAGACGAAAATCATCGAGGGCAAAAAATATGACACACTTAGATGCGAATGTGCTTATATTTTTGTTGAAAACAATTTCATTCGTGCAGTTTAAGAGATTTATGCATATTTTCGGCACTCAAGAATAAATTATACCATGTTTCATTGCTGTTTTCATACAAAATTCGGACTGTGAAACGAAACGGCAGGTGCAATCACGTAGAAACGTGTTTAGTTGAGCTCGGCATGCTGTGTCTAACCTGTCATGTTAAGATCGATTTTCCCAAAATAATCCTTGTTTGACCTCCTGACCTATTTGAGAATAATAGGGTATTGACTCAGAAAAAACATGTTACCCAGTGTAATGATTCTGAGATGGTTTTAAGATAGCAAATAAATTCCTTTATTATTATTAGTGAAGTCAAATCTAATTGCAATAATTTATTGTAAATTCATGAAAATTAATATTAACACAAACCATTACATTTATTTGGCAATGCATGCTTATTTATTTAAATAGATTATCATTCATGTTATGTATTCACGAATGGAGCATATTGGATGATATTTGCCTAGGTTTTATGTTGTAATTACATACTTGGAACACATATTAGCATGCTTATCAGTTTGATATGTGTCCAAAGTGCAATTCAGTGTGACGATTGTCATCATTTGAAATTTCATTGTTTTGTTAATTTTGTCTCACTTTATAGAGGTTTTCATTAGATCCTGTTCTTGAAATAAACTTAACTTGAAATGTCATTTAACATTTAACTTGAAGTGATCACAACATGGATATTTTTTACTGTAAACCTTATATGTATTGCAATGGGATTCCGTTCTTTCTAGTTTCTTCAAACTGTAAGCCTTATATCATATTAGATTAAAAAATATGGTACAAAGTTAATATAATTATACTTGAATTATATAAAAGTTTTAGGGAAAAGTTAATTGTATTATCAAAATAAATTCATCCTCAATATCATGATTATTACATAAAGTACAAATCCTATTTTTTCTGGCAATATTTGTATAGACCTATCTTCCACATCCAATATCATGTGATGGCAATATTATTATAATCTTATTATTTAAATCTATTTTCTTACAAAGATGATCAATATGTATTACATGAGTAAAACTGCAACTCAAACTGCAACTCAGAATTACCTATCAAATGTTGATATATACATGTAAAGCCATTTGGAGAGTTATGAATATTGCCAAGCAACTCTTAAATATGGATTTCATTGAATTAGTTTCCAGTATTGATTTGTGTATTATATTTCTATTAAAACTACTATTCCACAGGTAACCAAACTTCAATTTGGCTAATTTTTTAATTCTTAAGTTTATATTTACAATCCCGTCATTCTCACCAAAAAGTCTTTGAAGGCTACATTCAATTGGGAAAGGGCAATGTGATATGATTACAGAAACATTTCTTAGTTGTACAAATTAGTAATTTATTCTGTATTAACTGGAATATTGATTAATTAGTTTGAATGGTAACAAGTACATTATTGAATAATGTTTATCACCATTTTTCAGTCTACATTAATTTCTTCTCATTATCAGTCCATGATTAATATAAGTACCTGGTATACAAAGCAAAATAAACTGACAATATACATAAACAGTCACTGACCATAAGTATTTGCATATTTTGGCAACTTCTTTGTTGTGTCAAAGTAAATTATTTTGATAAACAAAGAAGGTAATTAAATGAAATTTTCAATACTGTGTGATCTGTCCTGTTGCTCTAATTACACTTCCTAATCTTGTTGGCAGTGAATTGTATTAATTCTGAACAAAGCACAAAGGCATACTTGACCATATATCATTTACAACTCTAAGATATGTTTCGATTTGTACCTCCCCCAAACATATAAGAAGTCATGTTTTCAGTTTTTCACACATATTCATTCACATTATGAGCTGGACTGGATCAGAGTTCTGATATTATTTGCAGTTTATAGTTATTTTCCATATGTTAACTCTCCTCGAGACATGACAAGTTGGAAATCAAGAGTGCAAAATGTCTTGCAACAACAGGCCATAAATTTTCATTCAGAATAGAAATATAATTATCAGCGTTTAGTTTCCATCAGATGTCAGTATTCCGGTGCCAAGATAAGAAATGTATCCCCAAAATATAGCCGAGAAATGCACATTTTGAGCAGTGTTGGGCACAACCCCCATACAGTCTAGATAAAACAGCTCACATTTTTCGTCCCATGGACTGACAGATGACACTATAATCTTAGTAGGGGGAATAACTCTTAATTTTTAGTGTATACAGAAGTTCTTAACCCTACAAATTGGTTCTGTATTAGTTTTGTCACAATATGTGCGGGTAAAGATAGAGCTGTAAACAATAGGAATACACTCCATTTATTTAATGATGTCAGCACTATGTGCCATTACTTATGGCGAGTGATTGTATATATGTTAAAAAAATATAATAATTATTAAACAAAACTGTACATTCATTAACTATTTGCAGTCAACTGAAAAATGATAATATGTATGAAAGCAAAGATCATGATTGTATTTCAATAATGTTGTGAGAAAATTGATAGTTGATGTTAACTTACCAGTTTTAATGTGAACAATGATTTTAACAGGGGTCTATATACCGGTAACCTAATATAAGAGATTATGATTTTTCAGATGCACTCTAATATATCTATCTTTCGATAATAATTTGTTAAGCCAGGTCATATTTGTTGACGTTTTACAATTGCCAAACATCACATTTACAGTAAAACTCACTTGTGATGAACATGCTTTATTTGAGTACATCAGATAAATACAATGTTTAGTTTGATCCCTTTTTTCTTTTCATTATCTTAGTAAATTAAACACAGATGATTCGAACACGATTGAGTCAAATACTGTGTTGGTGTTGAAGATATTTTGTGGTCTTCCCCCCCTAAATTCTACCAAAATTTCCTTTTTTGCTTCGAACATTCAGGAATCACCTTGTTTCAGGTAAAAATTTCCCGGCTTCAGTCTGAACATCTGTGTTAACGAGCCCTATTATAATTTTTGATTGAACAGTAAATTCTGCCTTTACACAGGTGCACAGGTGAAAGGTAGAATTTATACAGAAATAGACAACCAAACTTAAAACAAAAAGCACTGTAGTCTGTCAACTGTAAACCTACTGTGTTTTGTTTACTTTTTTATGTGCATTGCTGCCAGAAACCAAAAGGAAAAACAAGCAATAAACACAGTGCCAATCAGATTAATGAAAGACTAGTTTGTCATTGACATATTTATTTATGATTTTAAATACATTTACTGGATATACATATACAAATTGCAAGTTTTGTTCTGTTGTACAGTTAAGCTCTTGTAGGTCTTCTGATAGTCGTGGTATATTCCTTAATGTATAAACTAGCAAGGGATAGGGGGTGGGGGTCTGTTGTAGAGTTAAAATTGAATAACATTATCAAAAAAGATATAAAGTTGTTCAAAGCAAATAGGATGGGACATACAGTTGGAGAAATCAATTGTTTAAAATACAACTTAATTGGTAAAAGATTTTGAGCAAATTTCATTAGAAGCATATATATCACTGAGAAGAGAGCTGGAGATTGTAGAAAACCTATCTGTTGTGCTCTCCTTATATATGGGCATGCACTTTAAAGGTACAAGTGTTACATGTGGGCCAAATTCACACATATTTGCCTGTTATTTATTACTATGTAAATTAACACTGCCTCTGATAGTTTAACAAATTAACCTGCAAGCATTGTTTTCTTAAATGAAAATAATCACATTCTCACTACTAACTCGTTAATTCATAACAATTTGATTGATTTACAGATAGTAATCAAACATTACTCTGATTCATCATGGAAATTTTCTAACTCCTTGTTTATCATAGAAATTATGTAACTCCCAGTATATCATAGAGATTGCGTAACTCCCAGTATATCATGGAGATTGTGTAACTCCCAGTATATCATGGAGATTGTGTAACTCCAAGTATATAATGGAGATTGTGTAACTCCCAGTATATCATAGAGATTGTGTAACTCCCAGTATGTCATGGAGATTGTGTAACTCCCAGTATGTCATGGAGATTGTGTAACTCCCAGTATATCATGGAGATTGTGTAACTCCCAGTATATCATAGAGATTGTGTAACTCCCAGTATGTCATGGAGATTGTGTAACTCCCAGTATATCATGTAGATTGTGTAACTCCAAGTATATCGTGGAGATTGTGTAACTCCCAGTAAGTCATGGAGATTGTGTAACTCCCAGTATGTCATGGAGATTGTGCAACTCCCAGTATATCATGGAGATTGTGTAACTCCCAGTATATCATAGAGATTGTGTAACTCCCAGTATGTCATGGAGATTGTGTAACTCCCAGTATATCATGTAGATTGTGTAACTCCAAGTATATCGTGGAGATTGTGTAACTCCCAGTAAGTCATGGAGATTGTGTAACTCCCAGTATGTCATGGAGATTGTGTAACTCCCAGTATATCATGTAGATTGTGTAACTCCAAGTATATCGTGGAGATTGTGTAACTCCCAGTAAGTCATGGAGATTGTGTAACTCCCAGTATGTCATGGAGATTGTGTAACTCCCAGTATGTCATGAAGATTGTGTAACTCCCAGTATGTCATAGAGATGGCGTAACTCCCAGTATGACATGGAGATTGTGTAACTCCAAGTATATTGTGGAGATTGTGTAACTCCCAGTATATCGTGGAGATTGTGTAACTCCCAGTATGTCATGGAGATTGTGTAACTCCCAGTATGTCATGGAGATTGTGTAACTCCCAGTATGTCGTGGAGATTGTGTAACTCCCAGTATGTCGTGGAGATTGTGTAACTCCCAGTATATCGTGGGGATTGTGTAACTCCCAGTATATCGTGGAGATTGTGTAACTCCCAGTATATCGTGGAGATTGTGTAACTCCCAGTGAAATGTACATGAATGCATAGTAAATTGTAAAAAAGGAAGTTAATAAATATGTTTCTGCTTTTAAAGTAAGTTAAATTATTACTTAAAATAATGAATGGTCTACACTGCTTTGAACTTTAACACTGGGTCAGTTTTTGTAGCATGTTGATAAATTACTTTTGTTAAAGTCATGTATCTTTTTACGAAAACTTGGAAAAAAATGGTTGTGAGATCTCCTTAATTTTCTTCACATATACATAAGTATATGTTTGTTTAACACTATATAAGCACAACCAGTTATACTGACTAGAATTTACATAATTTGACTACATTCAATATACTCTCCCATCACTTTCAATAGACAGATTTAAAGTGTACTATTATTTCATTGCCATAGATTTAAAGTACTTATGAATACTGTAATAGCTAAAACAAATTTTAGAATGTACACATATGCTTCATTAATCATTTAAACCAATGTCCAAATTACACATACCAAACTACTTACTGTCATGTTTATAGTGTAGTCATACTTTTCTAGTATTCACTTCTAGATTTGTTACACATGTTGTTCATACCTACAAGCTGTACAGAATTCTTTCCTGCCTTTTGGGATCTATCATTTTCTAACTTCTTAAATTTAGAGAAGAAACAATATAGGTAAATTGTGAAGAGAATTTTAATTGTAAAAATGCAAAAATTTTGGAGATGTTAAAACGTAACCTGGAAGATGTATACTCTCCAGCTTTGACTAAACATACGAACACTACGAAAAGAATGGTGTTGGCTCTATACCCCTACAGAGGCTCTTCAGTTTTGAATTTACTTCTAATCATGATTGTACTGAATGTTACCAATGCTCCATTTTACAAATCAGAATGTTTTGGAAAAAACAATCCAGGCTGAGAAAAAGGTTAAGGAGTGCGACACTATAGACTTAAAAAGTTGTACCAAACATCAAAGCCTTTGATACTGTAGTTACAAAGACTACCACTCTATACAGTACAAGCCTAGTCTAGAAAAGCTAGACATCATGACCTACTGGCAATTTGAAATATGTGCTTACAAAATGTAGTAGCATAATTTTTCACATCTTTCATTTAGATACAGCATGGGTGTGATAATTTGATATCAGCTATTCTTGAAGTTACACAGCATTAAACATTTTGTGTTGAGAAATACATCAGATTAAAATGGATAAAATGACTATCCCATTTTCCTTCTTCATCTGTCTATTTTTATTTAAATGTACTTTTTTCATTCTACTCACTTTCTTGTCTTTTCCTGCTTGCTGGAAGGTAAAAAGGGTGTAAAAGTATTGTTTAAAAGAGAAATGATGTATTTTGTGCAACAAGTAGGTCACTTTGATCTACATGTTGTTCTATACTATAGATTGATCTTTGGAAAAGTTTTTAGAAAACTTTTTATGGAAATGTATTTAATTCTATCAGATCTTTAATATTTCTGTGTTGGTACATCATGGAAAGACTTCAAAATATTTTCTGAAGGGGACAGTAAGTCAAATTGTTTTTGGTCGCTAACTCAGTCTGATCATTAATTGGAATCTATTAATCTTTGACGTATGTGGAAATGGTCATCAACATATCTGCTTGTGGAATGCTGCATCAAAATAATGTACCTTAGGTAACAATCATTCATGGCATTTTTATGAAATTTGCTGTCATCAAATTTCACACCATGAAAAAATCTAGTTAAAAGTAACAATTAAATGTAGCTATGCTAGATATAGGCTTTGAATAATTTTGAATAAGATCGTTCACATAACTGCATGTAATGGTGTCAGGTTGTTGCTTCCCTTTCAAAAATGAATTCAAAAGAAAAACATTTTATTTTTCACTTGTCATACATTGATATGTAAACAATAACTAAGTAGGAAACTTTCACTTGAAAACAATGCTAAATGTCTGTAAATGGATATAGGTGGAACTGTGTAGGTAAATAGAGTATCACTATTGTTGAAGTAAGACTTTGACGTCATGCATCGCATGACTTTGTTTCACGCTCAGAATATGCACATTTACCAGGCTAAGCCACAGGGGACAGGACCAGCTCTCGGAGTTGTCTGCATGTGCGAGGGAGACAGATACCACAGACTACATACATTAGTGCATCATTTTAGAATGAAATATTGCATTATGAAAAAATTGTGGCCGAAACACTTTAATCACTAGAAGCAATGAGGGAGGATGTTCTGTTGCATGAGATAATGTTAAAAATTAATTTAGTGTTGAGTTTATTTAACATGTTATGCCTGTGAAGTTGTCAATATATTTTCATTAACCAAACATTTTAGACTGTTAATATTGAAGCAAAATTTATTGAATATTTATTTGAACAAGCTCCAAGATTAGATTAAGATGATGCTCAGCATTTTGATATCTTTATGTCTGAATTTCTGTATGACAGATAACATCTCTTGAAGGTGAATATATATATTGCACTTGCAGTGTTCTTACCTTATAGATTGAAATTTGTTGTATGTTGCAGTATTATCAGCGGTGCCAGCTCAGGTATGTGGATGTAGCTGCCACAGAAGTCAGGTGTCTTACTGCAGTTGTACCTGTAGCCAGGTTTTAGTGGTGGGTCATTAACACAATCAAGCTGGATCGTGAGGCTACCTCCGCGCCCGACCATTCTGGGAGAATGGCGGTGACGCGTGTCCCAACACCACCACCACCAGAAATGTCCTGTCCTGTGGCAGAAAACTGGTGCTACACACAAGTATGTAACATGTATTTTGACTTATTCTTAATGGTATTTAATGTAAACCCAATCCTATGTAAAAATAAAAGAAAGAGAAAGAAAGAGTTAAAAAAAAAGGCTTTTTTATCCATACCTTTAGATTGACAACTCAGACTGCTGATTTTCATGTTTCGTTTTTTTCAACAGGTAAAGGTGGTGAAATTCTCCTATATCTGGACAATTAATAATTTTAGTTTTTGTCGAGAAGAAATGGGAGAGGTATTAAAAAGTTCAACATTCTCAGCTGGGGCCAATGACAAGCTTAAATGGTAAGTCTTTGTACAGAAGAAACAGTGGTGGAAGATAAAGATTTGTTGTTTAAGAACTTTAATTTATAGCACTAGATTTAAAAAGTAGGGAAATTGAAGAAAATAAGTGAAAATATGTTTTCAATGCATTAAGGCCTTTACTGAAATGAAATTGTTGCAGCTGTAGAGTTTTTAAAAACCATATGAGGTAGAGTAGGATGTATCAAATAGCTGTACCTTTCAGAACATGTTATACAGTTGGTCTCAATTGCAACTCTTCCAAGAAAAATTATAGTATTTTTTCATATGAATGTATCAAATACAAATTGGTGGAATTCAACATTTGTTCCCTGGTTTTCAGTTTCAGTAACACTTAATGTGCTGTTATGGATGGCTGTACCCCTAGTTTCAATAGTATGAAGGGAACATTGCCATTTCCAAATGCTTTGTGACATTTTCATTTATTGCAGGTGTCTGCGAGTGAATCCCAAAGGCCTGGATGAGGAAAGCAAGGACTACCTATCTCTTTATTTGTTATTAGTATCATGTAATAAAAGTGAAGTACGGGCAAAGTTTAAGTTCTCAATACTTAATGCTAAACGTGAAGAAACAAAAGCCATGGGTATGTATATCTTTTCTCCTGTATATGGATAAGACATCTTATATTGATCATGTTCCAGAATGTGTAATATAGTTATATGATAATCATATGCTCAGGTAGCTATGTAATAAATTACTTTACACCATCGCATGTCATTATCATAATGTTTAATGTTTTCTGGGTGACATGTAATGTCATCGTAGTTGTGAAGGCAATAATTATAAAAGGAGTTATGTTTTCTGATGGATTTTTGTTGTTTAAGTATTCACCAGTGATCTAATTTGTACATTCCTAGTACAAATGCAGTAAATGGAATCTGCCTGTAGTTTTAAGTTTCAATGACATATATTGCGGCGTTTTATGGGATATCTTTTAATCTCCACATACTTGTTGATAATATGTATTTTACAATGCAAGGTTGACAAAAATGTTTCACCTACAGAGAGTCAACGTGCGTACCGGTTTGTTCAAGGCAAAGACTGGGGATTTAAAAAATTCATCAGGCGAGATTTTTTAATGGATGAAACTAATGGTTTACTGCCTGATGATAAGCTTACGATATTCTGTGAAGTAAGTACACTGATATTATGGTATATCACTAATCCTTTTAGAGATCTCATGGTAGTTTGGAAGGAATTATAAATTTCAAGAAAGTGAACACATTTCCAATAGTCTGAAATCAATATCAAGCTTCATTTTGGAAATCTAAAGCCGCACTGATATTAATTGAAATAATCTCATTTGTAGAGTTCTATTTTTTTCACTTGTTTAGAGGGGCTTGTGGAATCACGGTAGAGATTCCAGGTTAGACTTAAGCTGAAAGTATTGTAATTTATGTACTCGCTTGTGACAAACACATTTAAATCGAATACATCAGATAAGTCGAATATTTTGTTCAGTCTTCATTTATTTTTGTCTTTATCTTAGTAAATTAAGCATGGATGATTGGAACACTATTGCATTTGTGTTGAATTATGATATGTGGTCCTTCCCTTCTAAATTCTACTAAAATTTCCCTTTTTGTGTCAAACATTCAGGCGTCACCTTGTCGCAGTTAAAAATTTCCTGGCTTCAGTCCGAATGACCGAGTGAGATCGTTTAGCCATATCTATGTTAACGAGTCCGATTGTGATTTTGGGTTGAACATTTATCCCTACATTTTACACAGATTCACAGATGAAAGTTAGAATTTATACAGAATTAGGCAACTAAACTTAAAAAAAAAACCACTGTGGTCTGTTAATTGTAAATCTACTATGTTTTGTTTACTTTTTATTATTATTCATAACTGTCATTTCATGCTATGAGTTAAGTATCTGGTAAACAACTGATAGAAATAGGATCATTCTTCGATGTACTTTTGCTTTGTTCATAGTAACATGGATAAATGTTATTTTATTTGGTTCCATCGACTTCAACTGAGCTGTGTTTTTCTGTAGTATGTATGCTAGCTCATGCATTTCAGTCAGCATATGCTGCTGTGAATAATGAATTTCAGTGAGCTTTACTGTTTTCAAACAGCTTTTTTTAGATTTAAATCACCATCATCAGATATTAGACTGTTCAAACATTTGAAGTTGTTGTTCTTAAATAATTCTTGTTATCACTATTTCTAAGTACTTGGTAGATCATGCTCAAATTTCGTAAGCAGGTTTGTAAGCAAGTTCTGCATTGTCTATCATTCAGATAGATCACAAAATTAGAATTATGGACAGATGGCCATCTAGGATTTTCACTGTATTAGTTTTGATCACTGTTTTTTCATTGTCTATTTTGGGGCTAATTAAAGAAAACAAAATGGCTGGCAGGTGGGTGAAATGGCTGACAATTTTTTACAATAATACTTTGTTATCGCTATTTCTTGAAGCACTGGAGGGATCTTTGTCTAGATGTACAGCTATTGGTTTGCTTTTGTGCCTTATTGCTCATTGAAGGATACCATATTCATCTTGATCAAGTTTGGAGGAACAGGGTCAGGTGGTGGGTGGGAATTGGAGTGGTATGTTCTGGTAATAATACTGAAAACCACAACCAGTCTCAGGCTTCTTGTAAGATAAATTTGGTAAAAACTTTCCATTTCAGGTGTCTGTCGTAGGAGACACTGTCAACGTGTCTGGCCAGTCCAATTGTACTCCTGTCAAAGTGCCCGAGTGTCGACTCAGTGATGACCTTGGCAATCTATTCGAGAGGTCATCATTCAGTGATGTAACACTGTGTGTAGGAGGCAGAGAATTCCAAGCACACAAGGCATTATTAGCTGGTAAGTACTTTATAAGATCACTCTCTATATTTTATAGAATTCAACTGAATTATTTGGAGTAGGGTCATGATGTTTGGCTACTGCCGGCAGTTTCCTTGGATGAAGTATGAGAAAGTTTGCAAAACTATGTCTAAATCACATATTGGACCAGAATGGTCTTGTGGTAAAGCCCTTCCATCTTTACAAGAAAATTTGAACTTGGCTTATGTACAAGATCAAAGTCAGAGTTACAACACTGTATTACTTTTTTGGATAAATATTCAGCATATTCTAGGGATGCAGTCTGACGAACGTTATAAGAAATGAACTTGACTCATAGTCACCATGTCAGTTACTGTGATAAATTCTGATTTACTGAAATAGTTAGTTTAAGAAAGTAGTCTTAAGTGTCCAGGCTGAGATGAATATTGTTTTGCCTGGAGTTTTAGCATACTTGTTTTAAAGTTGGTTTAAATGATTTTTAAGTCATTGTACCTCGATACCAGGTTAATGCAGACCCAATTAGTCACATGAAACAATATTGTTATAATTTTATCCATTTAAATTCTAAATTCATATTTTTTTTTATGTTACAGCTCGGTCCCTAGTTTTCCATGCAATGTTTGAACATGAAATGGAAGAACGGAAACAAGTAAGTACTTAATTTCTTTGAATTATATAATATATCTGAGCTTTAAAATCAATTCCTACCTGATAATTCATTGAAAGTTAAATTTCAGTTTAAATCCATGGAAAAAAATCAGACTTAAGACCTGAATTAATATAAATATCTTAATTCTGTCCACTACAGAACAGAGTAGAAATAACAGATGTGGATCATGAAGTGATGAGAGAGATGCTACGGTTTGTGTATACAGGCAAGGCACCAAATCTAGACAAAATGGCAGATGACCTTCTTGCAGCTGCTGACAAAGTAAGACATGTCAACCTAGGCATTATGTTATTTTAAAATGTAATGGGTAAACTACTTAATCTTTGTTTGTATTTATTGGACACAATGTCTTTTCATAGATATTTTCCAGTTGACTATTACACATATTTTGCTAGAAGTTAATTTAAGCTGTATCATGATTACTTTTTAAACATTAGAAGGATTATTCATTTAACATTTACTGAGTGGTCTTTACATTATGGAAAAAGTTTCCACTTCAGATAATACAGACGTTCCAATAGATATGGATACTTTAAAACTTTGAGATGTACAGAACAGAAATTACATTGACTTACAAAGTCTAGGAAAGTTCTGCCTGAGGTTTGAAAGACTCAAATTCTATTGAACTATAGACGCTGGAAAGTTTAACTGGAGATTTATAAGACTAAGATTCTGTTTTTACATAAATGCTGAAAAGCTTTTCCCAGAGGTTAAGACAACTGGAATTCTATAGAGATATAAATGCTAAAATTTTGCTGGAGGTTTACAAGACTGAAATTCTATTGTTACTCTATTGATGAATAATTTGTTTGTAATTATACCTTTTCCATCATCTGTACATAAACATGTTTTTTTTTTAATTTTCAGTATGCCCTGGACCGGTTAAAAGTTATGTGTGAAGAAGCTTTGTGTTCAAATCTAATTATAGACAATGTATGTGAAGTGTTAGTCCTGGCAGATCTGCATAGTGCAGACCAGCTGAAGACACATGCTATTGACTTCATTAATAGGTAGGTAAATCATGGGAGTTGTGTATTTTGGTGAATGTATTGGTCTAGAATTTTTTCTTAAAACCAGAAAAAAGAGTTATGTCCCATTAATGATGTATGATCTTTGGACATATTATTTGTCTACCTCAGTGCTGCTAATCTTCTCTGCTACTTTTTTTAAACACAACACAAGGTTAGTACCTGGTTATGGACATCTAACTTATTTAAAGTTTTAAAGGTTACTGTTAGACTTTGGCTTGGATTATTTCCTTTTCTGTCAGAGCTATAACAAGGACATGCATGTTTCGGAAGCATACTTTGCTTATTATTTCATATTGACCTGTGTATGCTCCCAAGGTTATAATCAGGATGGCATTTTTGGTCTGTCTGTTTCAAGATTTCTGTTGAATGACTTGAGCATTTTTTTCCCTATCACATTTCAATCAAATTTGGTATATTGGTGTAAATAAAGAAGATCTCTGAACAATTTGATATTGCTTAAAGTCTGTCAGCATTTGCCACAGTTACAGGACTTCCAAATCCTGAAAAATGACTAAATTTGGTATGTTTTATATCAATAAGACATGAGAAGATTTTGATATTGGTTATTTTTGCTTTCTTTCCATTCAAATAATTTGAATTTTTACTTTTGAACCAAGTAGTCTATTTGTTTATATAAGTGAGATCTCGGATGAGTGTGATATTGGTGAAGTTCAGTGACTATTTGTCAAATTTATTGGCATTGAAAGTTAAAATAGATTAATACTTTGTTTCTATCAAACAACTTAATTTATACTTTACAATTTAACCAAATTTGGTATAATGGTTTATATTGATAAGATCTCAGATTGATTTGATAATAGTCAAAATCTGTGTACATTTGCCAGAGTAAGTAAATTTTGTATTGTTTGATATTTGTGAGATATTAAATGAGTTCAATATATTGGCCAAAATCTGTCAATATTTGGCAGGGTTACAGAATGTTAATAATGAAGTTCACACTTCCTTTGATTGATGTAAACATATCTTTGGTTGTATTTCTCTTGATTTGAAGAGTATTTTCCATAATTTCCATGTCAAAATCAGCATCTTAAACCTTTTTAGAAAATGCTTTATTTAGCCCCAGTATTCCTAATGACTATTTATAGATTGTACTACATTTGTTCACCAGCACCTTCAATGTAATGCAATATTTGTAAGTGCTAGCCATTATGATTGGTTTCCCCTTGGGCAGTGTTTCTCGAACCTATCCAAGGTATACTGTTTCTCAAACATATCTTGTTTATTTTGGAGTCTAGGGAGTGGGATATTTGTTAGCCTATGGCTTCATTTGATATTCCTTGTTTACATTCAGGGTGTTGACAAAAGGGTTACATAAGAAAACTTCTTGATTAAAAAAGTAAAAGAAAGGAAATATTAAGTTGAAGTTCTTATATTACAACAAGTTAGAAAAATGTGTGTGACGATTTTGTAACTACACTGTTTGTGTGATGAATGTGACAGTATAGCCATGAAAAAGTCACACAATGTGCTAATTGGTTGTCATACAAGAACTGCTAATCAATATGTATTATCAACTTAAAGGAAGGAATGAGTTTTTACCAAAACAAATGTTTGTCGTTTACAGTCATGCAACAGATGTGATGGAGACGGCAGGCTGGAAGACACTTATAGAGAGCCACCCTCACCTTATAGCTGATGCTTTCCGTGCTCTGGCAAGTCAACAAAGTCCACCACTCGGACCTCCACGCAAACGAGTCAAGACTTCATAGTGATAATATCTGGGTAGGACATGAATGCAACTGACATTAATTTAGGTTCTTGTCTCTACACTCTGGATAAGTTAGTACATCAATGAAAATGACACCTACAGAATCCTGTCTCTACACTACGAACTGGGTAGGACACAATTGATGACATTGACATTGTTTAAATCCCTGTCTGTAGTTGTGATGTGAACTGTTGCACAGAGCAGATTGAAAATACTGTGTGTGGCTGTCCAGCATGTGGACTCGTGCATTTGGATATTAGAAATGTGCTAGTCTGATGCATTATGTATTCATCAAAAACAAGAAAAAAATTTACATTTACCATGGAAATTTTTTGTGCTTTCATAAGTTATAAAAAAAAAAGTGAAGTTTGCAACCCCCTTTTTACTCAACAACTGATATGTCACTCCACATGTATGGATGTGATGAAGATACATTGCATGGACCAGATGTGTAAAAGAATCATGACTGCATTTTACTTGACTAGGTTAAAATGGTTCCGTGTGGTCAATTTTAATTTATGGACAATTTAAAGAATATTTATATTTGATTTGTGTAGAGAAGTATATTTGAACCAGTTCAGATCAGAAATTAAATTAACTATAGTAATTTCTAGTAATTGTATCAGTCTATCTGGTATGTATTAAAATAAACGTTTTATCTGTTCTCAAACACAGGTCAAGCATGACCCTTTATTTATTGTCAATATTAATATTTTTTTGTAAATTCTTACGATTATAATGATTATAATATGATGATTTGTATGAAAAGATTGGCATTGATAAAAGTTGTTTTGAAAATGTGTTAATATATTTCCATAAAATCATTTAAACTTTTCAGCTCATCTTCTGGTAATGGTTGGTTAATTAAAGCGCCTTGTCCAGCATCTGGCAATTCTAGTCTGTCCATCCTTAAACAATATCTGGAGATACACAAGATAAATCGTTCTCAAATTTCATACGTAGGTGCACCTTGGTCCCAAGTTGTTCATTTTGGGACCGATCAGGGGGAGACTGACAACCATTGTTGATTTTGATGTAGTTTGTTATCATTTTAGGCGAAGTGTTGGATGGATCATTCTCATTTTCATTTGTTGGTTTATCATAGTTTTGCATATTCAATTTTAGGCTTGATCGAAAAAAAAAAAAAGGATGGCTGACATAAGACCATCTTATTGACATTGAAAATTCATTAATACTATTTCTTGAGAAGTATTAGATGGATCTTTCCCTGATTTCATATGGTAATGCCCCATGGTCCCTAGTTGTGTTTTGCCATTTTGATTTTTTGACGGATCAGAAAAACAAAATGGCCGACAGATAACCATCAGAAATTTGTTAAAGATTGGTATCACTATTTCTTAAAAGGAATTTTCAAATTTCCTATAATTAAAAGAAAGAACAGAGGAAAGAATAGAAAAGTGAGGAAAAGACCAAACATTTAAAGAAATCAAGATCAAACAATGATGGGTGTCACGATCCCTTTGGGAACTCATATTTGAATGTTTAGGTTGTACTGTTATCAGAGAAAACCATTACTTGTTCTAGTGCGAAATATGCTATATCTTGTTCCTAGCTCTTGAACATAATTTCATAATTTTTGTAGGAAAGAAACAAATGGAATATAAAAGAAATTGCTTTGGGCGGGAGTAAAATATGCATTGATATTGTTTTGGCATTCAAATAGTTAAGGAATTTGAAGTGTTTGCAATGTAATTTGATCTGAACTGTTTTAAATTTACTTCTGAAGTCTATAGAAGTCTTATGCTCTGTATCTTTTCTAGTACAGTGTATTTGTGAAAGGAAATAGTAAAGTAATTATTAATATACCTTATTTATGCAGCAATGAGCTCATGCTTTGTAATGACTCACCCTTTTATATTTTACATCAGCTGAAGTGACAACAAATGATTTATGCTGCTCTGCTATCAGTGAAATAATATCCCAATGCAGAAATTTCTGTAATGACAAATGTAACATGTCTGAGCGGAGATGTGATTGACTGAAGGTCATGTCACATGCTTCGTGACATCCCAAAAAAAGAAGAGAAAAAGAGTGAGAGTATGGCCAGTTCAGATTTTGAATTGGTTCAGTAATATGCTATTTTCACATATGTTTGTAAAAGTGTTGTGTCAAACAAACTCATACATTCATTTCTATTTCATTTGATTGATGAAACTCTTTCATAAATGCAACACTAGTGAGTGGGTGAAATGAATCATACTAAGACATGTTTCATGAATCTCGTATGAATGGAAACTCATGAAAGATCCTTTAACAGCCCACCTTCCTACATTGAGTCTGAGGCTGGGTGAGCTTATTTCAGCATAAATATGGTAATGCCAACCTTTTCTGTAAATTGAAATTAGTATATTGTATCATAAAAATTAAGTTGTTGATACACAGAAGAAGTATACAAGTTTTGATTGTCATTTATATGTATTATTTATTGAATGATATCCTGGGCAGGTGCTTGGGTCAAAGCAGATCTTGGTGACAGGGCACAGAACTTTTGACCGTTTTTGGTACATGTATTGAACTGATCTGAAACAAAATTTTTTGTCACATTGTCCAAAATAGTAATCATTTATTGTACGAAAACATAGATGAATTCCATTTCCTTTTAGAGAGAGAGGGAGAGAAATTGCATATTTTATTCTTCAAAAATTTATTCAATGAAAATACAATTATAGCATGAAATAGCTTTTCTTTATTTTGTGTCTAGTTCATAGGCTACCATGTGACATCTTGTGTAGGTTTTAATGTTACATTGAAAACATTTTTGGAGTTTCTTGCCTAACAATTTTAATCTTCATAAATTCAGTGTATTGTAAAGTAAGTAATTTAGATGAATGATTTGTTATCATTTTGTAATGATATTAATGTTTGAGTGTATGCTTACCTCCATTTCTGTAAAAAGCCAAACAAAAACTATTGTCTTTCTAGCAACATAGTCAGCACAAGCTGTACACTGATGTAATGCATGCACAAGGAAAACATTCAATATTTCTAAAATTTTGAAAAAGATATCTTTCCATTGTGTACTAGTGCTGAATTTCAATTTATATTTGCATGAACAATGCATGTGCTTTGCCTTGTTATGAAATATAATGAAGTCTTATTTTTGCTTAATATTTATATGACGTGACAAGTGTGTATGCAGAAAAGAATACTCTTTTTAAGTGGGAAATTGTTCAATGTGGTTAGAGTTATCTTTCTTGGGTCTTATTGTATGTATGATATAAAGACAAACCCCCTCCATCACATTTACATCCACTCCATTCTCCCTTACACATTCATTTTATAGAAGTAGAACTTGAGAAGAAAAGCCAGCTGAAATGTCATAAATGTTATCACTACTTTCCCATCAGACTTGATCATTTTAAGTGGTCCAAGACAATTTTCCATGTATTTAAAACTGAAAAAAATCTTCCCTTATGGTTGTTTAAAGACTCATCCTGTAAGAAAAAGTGTATAAAGCCATGTCAGTAGAAAATGTACACAGTCAGCAAAATTATGTAAAGACAAAGTAGCGATTACACATATTTGTATGAGTGTTCTGTATTGTATAAAGTTCTTTGTCAGTTGATTATGATTAATTTACCTTTTCTTTAAGAATGTTAAACCATGGCACTTGCTTATGATCAATTAACTATCCAAATGTACATGTGATTAATTCCTTGATCAGTGACAGTATCAGTTTCATGCAAGGTACAAAAAGTCAAAGACCAAGAGTCATTGATGCATTTAATAAAAGTGATGAATAGAAAAAAAACATTAATGGCATACAGAAAGAATTGTTATCATGCACATTATCAATTTATAATTTCATACGGCTGCACAAAGTGCTGAAATACAATATGATTTTGTCATACTTTACTACCTTGTGCAGGCATGTTATTTGGTTAAATGCTCAACACGTTCTGCATCTGTATCAATCTTTTAAAGTTCCATCCTCCATTTGATTTTTTTAAGTAATTGTTGTCAGAAGCAATGAGTATGAACTTAAACAAACATTTGAACAAAATTAAATGTTGAGCTCTACAAATGGTCACCCTAAAATTCTGGTACACCCAGTCTCATTATATTCTAGTTAACATTGAAAATATTCTCAAATACAACCATGAGTATTTGGTGCAATGCATCTTGATTTTTTAATTGTGATTAGAGATACATATAAACAAGTTAGTTTTGTTTTCTTGGTGCAGAAGTGTTTTCTATTTAACTAATGGTACTTGTTGCATATATGAATGATGCAATTAATTTATTTCATGAAATATTGTGGTATTAGTTAAGTACTAGTATCATTCCTTGTCAAGTTTTTTTTTATCTGATCATTGTTGTGTAAATAAATCAGTGATATCAAAGCAACTTGTTTTCATGTCTCGTGCTGCCATTACTAGATCAATTCAGCTTTCACAATTTAGCTGCCACATCTTTCAATATTTTCGTAAAAATATTTGTATATCAAATTACATATATAAGTTGTATGTAACTGACATGTAACTGAAAATAACTTCCAGATTGTAGGATAACCAATTTGATCTTGAGATAGCTGAACTTTGACTACATCATTTCTAGTATCCAATATGACCAATATAAGCTAGAAGTGACAAAAGTGTAACCTCTCCATGACCTTGATGTAGTTCATCAAGTTTATAGACCCTTTTCTAGAAATTTGTCAAATATGACTTATTATGGTCCATGATCTGAAATATTAAACCATACTGGCATAACTTCAGCAAATTTAGCAAGGATTAATGTTATCCATCTATAGCTAGTGAGGATCAGTGATATCCAACACAGGAACTAGCTTGAATTATCAAAATCTTTCACCCCCTTGGAAATGAGATTGTGGGGTCTAAACCATAGGAAAAAGATGATTTAGTTAGCAAAGACCAGGTGTTTGGAACTTATGAACCTTTTCCAGAGGGATGAGTTCCTCCATCTCACTAACAAGGGGATTAATGATTATTTTTCTTTTACAAAGCAAGCAGGCTTTACAAGGCATGTGCTTTAGTTATCCCAGTGGTTTGCTTTGTTGACATGAAGTTATAGATGGTTATTGAACTGTTAATATGATGTTGGTGAATTGTTACTGTGACATACCTTGGTCCTTACAGGGGAATCCCCATCATAACCTTAGGAAATCTCACACCACTATAAAGCGTGGATAGGGTAATAGTGCAGTGGTATCCGACTACAGCTGCAAAGGTTCTAGCTGTAATCACTGATATTCAATTATAGCTTCAATGCTTTCAAGTAGGATTATTGATATCTAAAGTCATCAAATGTCACAATCAAATTTCCTACTGGCTAGTTATAAAAATGTTTATTCAATATAAAGCTATAGCTAAGAAGGTTTTACCAGGAATCAATGATATAAAGCTATAAGTGTGTTCTATCTAGGAATATGGATATCCAACTATAGCTCCGAAGGATTAGCTAGGACCACTGATATCCAACTATAGCTCCAAATGATCTAGCTAGGATCAGTGATATTCAACTAAAGCTCCAAATGTTCTAGCTAGGATCACTGATATTCAACTATAGCTCCAAATGTTTTAGCTAGGATCACTGATATAAAACTAAAGCTCCAAATGTTTTAGCTAGGATCAGTGATATAAAACTATAGCTCCAAATGTTCTAGCTAGGATCAGTGATATAAAACTATAGCTCCAAATGTTTTAGCTAGGATCACTGATATAAAACTATAGCTCCAAATGTTCTAGCTAGGATCACTGATATAAAACTATAGCTCCAAATGTTTTAGCTAGGATCAGTGATATAAAACTATAGCTCCAAATGTTCTAGCTAGGATCACTGATATAAAACTATAGCTCCAAATGTTTTAGCTAGGATCACTGATATAAAACTATAGCTCCAAATGTTTTAGCTAGGATCAGTGATATCCAACTATAGCTCCAAATGTTTTAGCTAGGATCACTGATATAAAACTATAGCTCCAAATGTTTTAGCTAGGATCAGTGATATAAAACTATAGCTCCAAATGTTTTAGCTAGGATCAGTGATATAAAACTATAGCTCCAAATGTTTTAGCTAGGATCAGTGATATCCAACTAAAGCTCCAAATGTTTTAGCTAGGATCACTGATATAAAACTAAAGCTCCAAATGTTTTAGCTAGGATCACTGATATAAAACTATAGCTCCAAATGTTCTAGCTAGGATCACTGATATAAAACTAAAGCTCCAAATGTTCTAGCTAGGATCACTGATATAAAACTATAGCTCCAAATGTTTTAGCTAGGATCACTGATATAAAACTAAAGCTCCAAATGTTCTAGCTAGGATCACTGATATAAAACTAAAGCTCCAAATGTTCTAGCTAGGATCAGTGATATCCAACTATAGCTCCAAATGTTCTAGCTAGGATCAGTGATATCCAACTAAAGCTCCAAATGTTCTAGCTAGGATCAGTGATATAAAACTATAGCTCCAAATGTTCTAGCTAGGATCACTGATATAAAACTATAGCTCCAAATGTTCTAGCTAGGATCACTGATATAAAACTATAGCTCCAAATGTTCTAGCTAGGATCACTGATATAAAACTATAGCTCCAAATGTTTTAGCTAGGATCACTGATATAAAACTAAAGCTCCAAATGTTCTAGCTAGGATCACTGATATAAAACTATAGCTCCAAATGTTCTAGCTAGGATCAGTGATATTCAACTAAAGCTCCAAATGTTCTAGCTAGGATCACTGATATAAAACTATAGCTCCAAATGTTCTAGCTAGGATCACTGATATAAAACTATAGCTCCAAATGTTCTAGCTAGGATCACTGATATAAAACTATAGCTCCAAATGTTTTAGCTAGGATCACTGATATAAAACTAAAGCTCCAAATGTTCTAGCTAGGATCACTGATATAAAACTATAGCTCCAAATGTTTTAGCTAGGATCACTGATATAAAACTAAAGCTCCAAATGTTCTAGCTAGGATCACTGATATAAAACTATAGCTCCAAATGTTTTAGCTAGGATCACTGATATAAAACTAAAGCTCCAAATGTTTTAGCTAGGATCACTGATATAAAACTATAGCTCCAAATGTTTTAGCTAGGATCACTGATATAAAACTAAAGCTCCAAATGTTTTAGCTAGGATCACTGATATAAAACTATAGCTCCAAATGTTTTAGCTAGGATCACTTATATAAAACTAAAGCTCCAAATGTTCTAGCTAGGATCACTTATATAAAACTAAAGCTCCAAATGTTTTAGCTAGGATCACTGATATAAAACTATAGCTCCAAATGTTTTAGCTAGGATCACTGATATAAAACTATAGCTCCAAATGTTTTAGCTAGGATCACTGATATAAAACTATAGCTCCAAATGTTCTAGCTAGGATCACTGATATAAAACTATAGCTCCAAATGTTCTAGCTAGGATCACTTATATAAAACTAAAGCTCCAAATGTTTTAGCTAGGATCACTGATATAAAACTCCAAATGTTTTAGCTAGGATCACTGATATAAAACTATAGCTCCAAATGTTTTAGCTAGGATCACTGATATAAAACTATAGCTCCAAATGTTTTAGCTAGGATCACTGATATAAAACTATAGCTCCACTGATCATGAAAACTAAAGCTCCAAATGTTCTAGCTAGGATCAGTGATATAAAACTATAGCTCCAAATGTTTTAGCTAGGATCACTGATATAAAACTATAGCTCCAAATGTTCTAGCTAGGATCACTGATATAAAACTATAGCTCCAAATGTTCTAGCTAGGATCAGTGATATAGATCAGTGATATCCAACTATAGCTCCAAATGTTCTAGCTAGGATCAGTGATATCCAACTATAGCTCCAAATGTTCTAGCTAGGATCAGTGATATCCAACTATAGCTCCAAATGTTTTAGCTAGGTGTAAATCCAGTAAAGCTCCAAATGTTTTCTCGATATAAAACAAGCCATGGATACCAGTGATATAAAACTATACAGAGGATATAGAACTATACTGACTATGGGGGCGGAGGCACAACATCCCTCTAGGTGTAAATCCAGTGAAGATTAACAACCCAGGTATGAGTAGTAAAGGAGTAAGTCCAACACGGCAAGTTTTTCTTTAAAACGGAAGCGAATATCAACATCCGACTCTGAACAGAGCAAGCCTACATCGCCATCATAGGCACTACTGAACCATCTGGACTGAATATACGCCACTAAACAGCCGCATGTTTATTTCACAGACTTTATTTGAATTAACGGATAAAGTACTGTAAACGAAATCTGTCTTTATTTCATCATTAACTTTATCACTCTTTACGGATTATTGTCATAATACTACGCACTTATTTGTTACCATTTACTTTCTATTACTTTCTTGATTGTTTTATCATCCGGTTGTAAATGATGCAAGAACATACATATTTAACTTGAGTGTTCTCTATATACGTAAACCAATACAGGATATCAATTATGATTCTTATATAACCTTCGGGAATCATCGTGTCAGTTTATATTTAGATGTGTTTCAGGATAGCTAACGTTATACTATATTGCCATCCAAATTGCCTCAAATTTGTGTATCTATTTATGATGTCACTATCTTATATGTTTACACTTGTATTGATGACGTCATAATTCATTGCTCAGTTTTGTTGTTCTGAGATGGCTCACCTAGAGTCAAAACATGTAAACAACGCTCTGACATAATACAGATTTAAAGAAGAACTTGCCGTGTTGGACTTACTCCTTTACTACACATATAGGTATGATGGTTCTAGTATCCCAAGATATTGAACTATGGTTATGCTACAAAGATTGTAATATCTGAGGTATCTGCCACATATAACTAAGTTCCTAGTATGTATCAACTACCAGCCATGACTTAGGTGAAAGGTTTTGAAATGTCAGACTATAGCTGAAAATTTTTTGTAAACTGAAATATCAAGCCATGACTGCTAACTAATTTTTTTGTGAGATATCTACCACGGACAAAATATGTTCTAGTTTCTCATCAGGCTACACAGTTCATTACATTGCACACTGGATCGTTGTTAGTATCCAAGACACCTAACTACATATACATATACCAGTAATCAGTGAAAAGATTTGACACAATATCTGCAGCAGCAAAGCCTTTTTTAGTAATCAAGGAATATGGCAGCATGGCTACAAAGCAACTAATTACCAAACATTTTATCATAAATCACTACAACTAAAATGAAGGTGCCAGTATCTGAGATATTGGCTAAGACTACAATGCTAAAAAAAAATTATCAAAGAAATTGAAACATGACTATTGAAAAAGATCTAGTCAAACTTTCTGATTATGCACCCTAGAAAATTTAATATCTGAGCTGCTGAGGTGAAGGTATACAGATACTAGTAGCTAAGATATCCAACCACAGCTACAAAGGGCTCAATAACAAATCCATAGAGGGCAACACCAATACAGAAACAAGACATCCATTCCTGAATCTGGGTGACAGTCAAGGAGCCTCCAATAAGAGTGACATAGACAAGGCAAAAGACTGTCAGACAGAACAACACAAAAGTTGTCAGCCTCCCAAAACAGCTTGGAATCATCTTTGTGTTTTCCTGAAGAATGTTCCATTCTAACTGCTGAAGATTATCATTTGTGAGTGTAGTGTCTAACATGTCAGGGTCTTTCTCAGAGTATGAATCAAGAACATGTTGTAAGGTGATCAATGCAAAGTTGTTATGTTTTCGTTTATATCTATCACGGAAATTAGCCTGTACAAGTTCTCTGGATATTAGTCTCTCCCATTTGGTAACACCAGTCAGGTATCTTCTCAAAGGTAGGAAATCTACAAGTGAAAGCATATGCAGAATTGGTGAGTGTAAAACAGGAATATATATCATATATTATATACATGCATAATGCAACATTTTTCGTCATGAAAATACCTGTAAAATATAAGAATACATGTTTAAAGTACATGTAAGGTTAGTTATGAATCATTGGAAGATCAGGCTAATATTAAAAGCAGTCATCTTGAAAATCTGAGAAAAAAAAAAAAAAAATTCCCCTCTACTTCTAAATGGATTTCAATGAATTTTGGAAAGCAAAACCTGCAGCCAAATTATCAAGATATCATCAAAGGACCAATAAACAAAATCAAGTGTGACTAATAACTGTTGATTCAAACAGACCTCAAAAGTATCCAGTTCTTCATTTCCCATAAACAATAAAAGCATATTTAATTGAGGTGTAACAAAAAATTTACATGTTCTTACTTAAAATGAATAGAACTAGAATCTGCATAAGAATTTCAGCGGGAAAACTTCAAATCTTTTAGAGACAATAAGACCTGAAATAAATATTAAGTAGTTAACCTCAAAAGTAATCACAGCCTTCTTGAACATTCCAAAATTTTGGTAGATCTTTGTGAAGAAATTCAGTATTTGATTATAAATATCATACAAATGTAAATGGAAGATGTGGCTGTTCTTACCTTTGATGAGTTCTGCTGTGTCTATCTCATAACTGGTTACAGTTTCACTTTCATCAGCTACAGGAGTCTACAACAAAGCATTCTTCAACATCTCTACCTTTATCATTGTAAAATTCTTATCTACTAAATCTGGAAAGTCAATACATGTAAAGGTCTTTAAAAAAATATAGGTTTGTCTCTTTTCCTCTCTGTTATTCCAGAAATAAATGAACAATGTCTAATTGACATAAATAACCTAAAATATATTAGTCCTAGATAAAAAAAACAACCAAACAAAAACCTCTACCATGGAAGAATCCTTTGGAGAATACACATGTAACAGAGGTCATTTTTCATCTCAATGCCTCCGCTAGGAATCGAACCCGGGACCCCTGGCTTACTAGTCTGACGCTCAACCAATCGAGCTAAAGAGAAGTTCTCTCTAGCCGAGTGGTATATTGCGGCTAGTATTTTACCAGGGTTACATACTCCCCCTTCAGGAAAGAACTCGTCCTCGAGTTTCCAGGGTTCACAGCGGTACTTGTGAAAGTAACGCTGGTGGTACTCGAGTTTCCAGGGGTTACAGCTACGCCGGTGGGGCATGGCTAAGTACTATTCCCGGGTCCCTACATGGGCGCCAATGTAACAGAGGTCATTTTTTATCTAAATGCCTCCGCTAGGAATACCCGGGACCTGACGCTACCAATCGAGCTAAAGAGAAGTTCTCTCTAGCCGAGTGGTATATTGCGGCTAGTATTTTACCAGGGTTACACACATATATTGATATTTTAAAGGAAAATCCTAATCAGCACTGAGTTAAGTGACAATACCTTTAGTGTGTCTAGAGCCTTGCTGACAGAATTCTGCATAGCTTGAGTAGCTGTAAAATTGACAAACTCCCTGCTGACAGTGTCCCTTATGATGCTGTCTAAGGATGCCAACATTTCCTTGCTAGCAACATCAACCTAATCAATTGAAGATGTAAGTCAAAGTGAGGGAAGTATGCTTGGAGACCTAATGATAAAAACAGACGTTCATACCTGTGTTTTAATAAGAGTAAGATATATGAAGTAAATAACTTTTGTCCTTTATAGATTTATACTCATTGGTACATTTATGAACTGTACAGGAAATAGTTATAGTTTTAGTGTAATGCTCCGAACAAAACTCAAGTATGAAAAATAACAAAGGGCAATAACTCCTAAATTATGAGAGTGATGGTCTTGTTGAATTGCACTTTTCCATGTTGATACTTATCTACCTATTAAGTTTTATGTTGATACATCGTATTGTTATTTTGTATTATGCTCTGAACAAAATTTAAGTATGAAAGATAACAAAGGGCAGTAACTCTTACTTCTGCAAAAGAGAGGGATGATTCTGGTGCAATGCACTTTTCCTTGTTGAGATTTATTTACCTATAAAGTTTCATGTTGATGTCTGTCAGAGTTTTAGTGTAATGCTCTGGACAAAATTTAAGTATGAAAAATAACAAAGGGCAATAACTCCTAAATTATGAGAGTGATGGTCTTGTTGAATTGCACTTTTCCTTGTTAAGATCTATCTACCTATACAGATTTATGTTGATATCTCTCACAGTTTTTGTCTTATGCTCCGGACAAATATATGATGGATGGACAGACAAATGGACGTCCAAAGCGAAGACTATATTGATCTCCCTTCAGAGAGCATAAAAATCAAAATCTTAAGACTTCAATAGTTGGTAAGGAGACCTGATACATGTAGTATCAGATTATTATTTTTTAAACAGCTTATAATATGATTGTAAACAAAAGTAGACTTCATTAAATTTTCCCATTTAATGTGTAAATATAGTTATATGGAATTCCAGTTTTCAAAACTTTCATTTGAAGAGTTAATGACTTGCAATATTAATACATGTAAGATATTCATATTATAAGACAGAGCCAACTGAACCAAATATGCAACTTATGTAACAAGATGTTCTTACGTAGACAATCGAGCAAGGATAAGGATCGAGTTTTGAGGTTCTACAATAATGCTGGAATACTAACCACAGCACAGACTTGGTCTCTGGCTCTCTCAGTGTTAGTCCCACAGTCAACTGCAATTTGTTGAATATAAGGACACCATCTCTCAAAACAGGTTGCTGCATTCTTTTCAAGTTCACCATAGAGTTCTCTTTCTATCCTATAGAGGCATGAAATATTCCCCAGGACCAAGTTCTCTGTTAATGGTGTTGGTTTGTGTTGTTCCTCTTTCACCAGCTTTGTCATCAAAGCTTGCGCCAAATTTTTGTTTACATTCAAACTATGATGAAATCCAAGCTGGTGCCACCTTTTGTCAAGACATGGAATCAAGGGATGCAGTTCCACAGTCTCTTTAGTTTCAGATGACTCCTTGGTATCTGACTTCTTTGATAGTAAAGTTATTAAAGCCATTTTTGACTTTCTCACTAAGCTCAACTTACGGGATATAATACCTGAGAATCTCGCCAACTTTTCACTAGGGGTTGCTCTCAAACTTATTTTTTGTCCCTCATCTTCAACAGACTGGTCCTCTAAATAACTATTTCCAGATTTATTTTCATGGACATTTTGTTTAACATTTAGAATTTCAATACTTTGAGAATCTCTGGGAAAAATTTCTTCATATGCACACAGATCATTGCTCCAGTTTAGCCTGGTTTTGAGCTTATCAAGGGTAACTGCCTGCATGAGAAATGCTGTGTAGACAGGAATGGGGTCTTGATACTCCAGCCATAATTCTTTCATGGCTCTATCTAAGGCAGTCCTATAGAGCTGTGATTCCAGGGAGAGCTCCATGAATGACTTGGATAACTTAACTGGGTTAAGTAACACTTGTACTTCATCCTGATCTACTGTTGAACATGTGGGCATTGGTATCACAGATACACTGAAATTATTTCCTTCATTCTTTAGAATACATCTCTGCACACAATCTATGTAATAGGAAGAAAGTTCATGTAGACGTGTGTCCTCAGCTGATTTGGATACCACTGATTTTGGGAAACTAGCATTTTCTGTAGATAGAAGAAAAGTCAAGTTAATGCGCATCAATACACAATGTACTTTCATTGTAGTAAACCAGGTTACAAAAGATCCAGAGGGAAACTGGTGCCCACAATGGTGTGATTTTTATTAGTGCTTTATCAGTTGGATATTTTCCATTCTTTTCTCTTCTTTCCTATCAGTAACAAAATCAAATATTGAAAAAAGGACCATGGGGAACCTTCTCCAGTCCCCCCATCATCCCCCCACCCCCAAAGTGACCTAATTTTAGTACATGATATACCACCTTATGTATGTTCACTGTAGGTATAAAGCTTTAATGACAACTAAGTGTTGGCAATAGAGCTCAAACATCTAGGGTAAAGACATAGATCAAAGTGATCCACTTTGGTACATGATACACTGCGTCAATAGATGAACCCTAAATAAGTTCCAATACCATGTAGTGTAAGAAATAGAGTTCAGACAAACATTTCATTTAATGTATAAGTTAAAGGCAAAAAAATAAGTCGCAGTGACATACTTGGTACCTGACACATCACCTCACCTGAGTGAACCAATGCCCTAAGTATAAAGTTCCAGTGCAGGTAAACTAGGGGGCAGATACAACACAAACCATAGTCAAAAAATAATATACTGAACACAAGAAGTTAAGGATCATAAACATATGCATTTTTTTTACCATTAAAATCAATTAAGCTTTTGAACACTGTTAGATCACCAATGTATGCACAATGAATTTTTGGTAATTATTTGCCCATGCAACCTACAGTAAACATGCGACAAGACAATGTTTAAATCTTATTGTCAATTTTGGTTTTATTAAAAGTATGTGTGGACTTAACATCAAAACAATCGACAAATTTTTTATTTCTTCTAAATGTCCTGTCATTTTGCTTCCTGTTTTGAACAACTGTTAACATTAGACATCACATGACAGCTACAAAGTCTGGCAAAGTAGTTGAGATGCTGCAAGCAGGACAATCACAAATTGTGTCACAGAGTGTCATTTAATGCCTTAATGGAATCAATACGAGATAACCAGATATGAAACCGAGAGACCTGAATAGGGTAGACCAAGGTGTGGGACAGCCCATCAGCATTGTTACTTAAGCACTCTTACTGGGCGAAATCAGTTTGCACATATTGGGTAGCTGATAATGTGAATTTGCAACTGCATTAGTGGCAGCCTATTCATTTTATGGATGAGTCCTGGTTTTTTGTGGACTTTCATGATGACAGGACACATGCTTGACTTGAAACGAGTGAGAGTTATGCTGACTGCTGCGTCACTGAGCATGACCGTTTCGGTGGGGGCTCGGGAATCGTTTGGGCAGACTGACTTGTACAAGGCCATGGTAAAGTGAAGCATTTCACTTTTTTTTCTTCCTAAGTAACTTTTTTCAGCAATTTCTTTTTCTAATCTCTCTTGTAAATTCATTTAAACACATAAACAACAAAAAATAGGGGAAATGGAGGGTGGGGCAGAGTAAGGGTGGGGGAGGTGTCATTTCACCATGGCTACGGTAAAGTGAAGCATTTCACTATTTTCTTACAAAATCATTTTTTCATCACTTCTTTTCTTATCACTCTGATTCATTCACATAAACACATAGATAACAAAAAAATGTGTCTTGGGTTGGGAAATCTAGATGGGGTCACTTCACCATGGTCATGGTAAAGTGAAGCATTTCATTATTTTCTTGCTAAATTTTTTTTTTTCATAATTTATTTTCTAATCACTTATTTGTGTTTTTATATGATTGAATCAGGGTGATAAGAAAACAAAATTGTTGAAAAAAATTTAATTTGTATTAAAGTGTTTTCCAGAGGTTGAGTATGAACACCAAGTAACTGATCCTACACATACATGTACCTTTTGTATCCATATTTTCTTCTGTATTATAACGGATGAACTGACACAGGTCGTGTTTTAAGTCTATATGACATTATGTTTACGTGTATGTGACTAGTATACTGATGACATCACTGCTGTTGAAACAGACATCTACCTGGGGACGTCTACCTGACAAGGAGAGAGCAGTTCTACTACAATGTAGTGAACTGTAACATTTCACGTCAAGGAGCCATTGAACGTGGCTGTGTGTATTCTGCTACCATGGCCTTAAGCGACTTGTAGGGCCATTGTGTGTTATGAATTTATGCATTGATGCTTATATATAAATACATATGAATGTATGTGCATGAATTGTATTTGTGGAATGACTGACTGTGTGATGTGTTTTTGTAAAATGCCATGAATAACATGATACAAAAAGTAAATAAATCTTGTATATATTGTAGACTTCTCAAGTACTATACTTAATGATCATGCTCAGGTTAGGTAACACTAGACTATATCTATGTAAAGATGCAATTTGAGAATGACCCTTTCAGACCTTCACAAGAAATACTGGATAACAAGCTTTTGATATTTTTGCAACAATAACATTGAAATAAAAATATATACTAATATGATGCTCATGTTATGTTTGTACCTCAGTCACTGTCAGCATTAAAATATTCATTTCATTACAAATGATCAGAGAATCATGAATTCTTGGTAAAGTGGAAGCCACTAAATGTCACATTGGTTAATATTACTTTCCGGTTAACATCATATTTTCTTGAAACATCAATTTTTGCTCTACATATTCTATGTAATCTTACATCTGATAATGTCACTTATTTTTATAAGGGCAACGGTTAAATTTCACTTCAATTTGACAACTATCACAAAAAACTAGAGGTAAATCATAGGTAAGTGATGAGGACAAGAACTATGAATTCATGCCTCAATTGCCAAAGTACCAACTTTTCGCATATTGCAACTCCATAGATTGACCCTTTTACATGTAAGGGTCAGCTAGGTCTAGGGAAGTCTGATGCATTTGGTTTTTTGTTTAATTGGCTAGCACAATGCAAGTGTTAAAACTGGTCAAAAACCCTGTGTCACATGTCATGATAGTTAGGCCCTAGAGTGAGTTGGTGCTATGCTACTCAGTTTTCCAACATGCTGCCAAAACTTCCTGAAAACGATGCAGCATGCACACTGGGATCGATTTCAAGACAAAAAAGATTGTTTTTCAAAAGATATAATGTGAGAATAATAAAACAGGAACAGTGATTTACAATGGCCCATGGGACATCAAACAGCAGCAATTATGAAGCAAATTAACAGCCGATGACACAGTAGTGTTATGTATGAATTTGACCATGTGTAAATTGTGACTATTACATGATTGTTCATGATAATTTTAGCAGGTTAGGTATTTCAAAGAATAAAACAACAAAAGTAAGGAAAACACTGTTCTTGTGGGAAAAATAAATCTATTTACAATTTTGAGTATGCTATTAATTTCTAGTCATTAATAGTCAGTTTGACACATCAGAAAGTTAACTGCCAGGTTTAGACAAACAAAAAAATGTGTCAAATGTCATGTTCCACTGATTCTATCATTTTCCCCTGACAAATGGAATATGATATCAAGCAGTTCCTACTGTATCACGAAAATTACTACATCAGATAAATTCACAAACTGGCATAAGTTCACTGATGACTTTGAGACTTAGGGAAAACTACATAAACAATTTGTGATGATTCATTGAGCGCTTTTTAAGAAATCATGCTAACAAACTGTAACTGCCAAAATCCAACACTGCCATCTATCAGCAATCTTGTTTTTCTAATCTCACAGTCAAAAAATGAGCAATGAACATGAAACTAGGCACCAAGGGGCACATATATATGAAATTTAATAACGATCCATCCAGAATTTCTCCATTGATAGCAATAACATATACCATATTTGAGTCTTGCAAAGATTTTTAAAATTCCAGCCAATTCGATCCCTTTTGGTCTTACCCATCGACTGCTGGGGGTAAACAAGGGTCATTGTGTGCACACTATAGCCTAAACTGAATTGATTTGACCCCTTTGGTCCCACTACTCATGCTGCTGGAGAGCATGTAATAAAAAAATTTAATTCAACTTTGACAATAAATGACTCCTGAACAATTTCATTGAAATTAGTTCTGGAGGTTTTGTGCAGAAATCAAAAATATCACTTGTTTATGTATGGATGATGCACAATGAAAGACAAAAGATGAACACATTAAGTATAAAAACAAAATAAACATTCCTTGGGTTCACATAAATCTAATTCTGCCCTCTGGCATATTTATTTCAAAAGAGGTAATTACTGATCTGTTACATCTTTGTTGATTTTATCTCCCAGCCACAGTAATTTTAAGGCTGAGGCCTCCTTGTTGTAGCTTGTAACCATAACACTGAACAACATCAGAGAGTCTGTCACATACCATCCACAGCAACTGGGATCAAGTGTTTTGGCCAAGAACATGTTTCAATTTCGGGTCACTGAAAAACATAAACCCGAATGGGTAGGGAGCATCAAACCACAAACCTCATTTTCACCCGAGACATTGTAATACTATGGTGAGAATATAAATTAGGGCAATGTGTTCACCAGAATAAAAAGTTAATTAGTGAGAAAATAGTGAAATGCTACACTTTACCATGGCCATAGTGATGAAATGAACCTTGGTTCTCTTCACCACGATCATATTTTGACCCTGGATTATTTTACCATGCTTCACAATACCATGCTATACTGGGTTTAGATGTCAAATAAAACATGTCAACTGTTAATGTCACTTTCCACCTATCATCACATTTTCCTCTGACAAATGGAACATGATATTAAGTAGTTTCCACTGTACTGATGTTAATCTAACATTCTTAGAGTGGAGAATGGATTCGGAAGCCAGCCTTTTCTATGAAACATCACAAGGTGCTTTGATTAGGACAATGCATTTTTCAAATTTGTACAACCAAATGACTCTGCATGGCCTATAAGTTGTGATGCTTTGTTGCGTGTTGAGTTCACATTATTCACATTTAAATGGTTACCAAATAATTCTGGGTTCAAATAATTACCTCTTCGCTGCAGTACTGCAGCAGCTGATTGAGACACAGGAAGATGAGGAATCACCAGATTGTCAGCTATACTATCTTCATTAGAGATTGACTGCCATAAGGTGGTCCTGTTACCAAATAAAAAATTCCAATATGAGACCAATTGATAGTCTTGGTGAGAATATCAATGATGTTGTTTCAATTCTTTGCACTTTTACAAAAACATTAATATTGTAGATTGCTAAAAATGACAGTTTCTAGTGCAAGTATATCTGATCAAACCTGGGGGGGGGGGGGGGGGGGAATTTTATATATTATTTAATAATATTATATCATTGTATGAATTAATAATGTTGTAAAAAGTAAACCTACCTTGCAGTGTAGAATTCTGGCTATAGATAATGGTAACAAAAACAACAAGAGGCTAACCGGCCTTAACGGTCATCTGACTATAAAGACTTACATATGAAAGAGGCCAAATAGGCCTAAAATAAATTGCTAAACTACTCTACAGCTTACGAAGAAGATATTGTTGGTTCATAAAAACATTTTCTGTACACTTGAAACCATATTCTTTATACATGCTACTACATTAATACCATTACTCCGAACCAATTGCTTGTCGCAAAAAGAAATTTTAAGATCTCACTTCACTTAACCAATGAGATCTTGAATATCAAGGTCAATTATTTGAACCAATAACCTTTACCTTTCATTATTGAGAGGGCATTTGAAGACTTTTGACACATTTGACCCCTTTCCCCTTTAAGAAGAGAAAAGGCCAATCACATGAACAAAATTGGTAATAATTCATCATTCCACAGGCCCAATTTCAGCATCCTGGACTTTTTGGATAAAGAGAAAAACTTGTTTGAAGATTTTGACACATTTGACACACATGACCTTGAAAGTGGGTCAATGTCATTCATATTTTTTCAAACTTTGTAGCCCTCTATCCCAGCATTAATCATACTGGCCCAATATCTGCACCATGGGCCTTTTGGTTATTGAGAAGTTGTTTAAAGGTTTTAACATATTTGACCCCTGTGACCTTGAAAGTAAGTCAAGGTCATTTTTATTAACAAACTTTGTAGCCTTTCATTCTGGCATCATATTGGCCCAATTTCAACACACTGGGCCTATTGGTTATTGAGAAGAAGTTGTTTAAAGATTTCAACATATTTGACCCCTATGACCTCGAAAGTGAGTCAAGGTCATTCATTTTAACAAACTTGGTACCCCTTTCTCTCATCATGCTACAGGTACAATATCAGCACATTGAGCCTTTTGGTTACTGAGAAGAAGTAATTTAAATGGAAAGTTTATGCATGGTTGACAGCATAGGATGACAGACAAAACACGATAGCTATAGGTCATCCTGACCTTTCGCGTCAGATGACCTAAAAATAAAAGCAAAAACAAACCATTTGGAGCTTTGATTCAGATGGTCGAAGAACTGTTGAGTGAAATTATGGAGGTGATGTGTAAGAGTGTCTTGTATCTGTCTTTCTAATCTTTGCCTAAAGTTGGGGTGTCTAGGGAGAGCCATGACCTCACAGACAAGCTGTATAAACTGCCGGATACACTGCTCACCAAGAATTTTGCTCTTGGACCATTCCAACACTTCATTACCCAGACAAGATATCTTCACAGCAAGAGGGTCTAGCATCAAGAAAATAAACATACAGGATAACATTAAAAGGATATTAAAGCTACAGGCTTTTGAATTCACGTCATTGTAAAATTTATTGCAGTGAAATGGACAATTGATTCATCATACATCTTCCTGTTTATGAATATTACACTGACAGAATACTCACTTTTATTACTTTATTAAGTGTCAATGATGAACAAAATTTTAGACTGAAATTTGTTGGCAAAAATCTTTAACCGACCAATATGATTTAACTTAACCAATATTCTAAACATCTGCCAGAAATAATAAAATCAGTTTTTATATCAATTATACACATCAGACAACTCAACCTTTTTGGATTGCTAGTATCCTGTTTCTGAGTAGAACACTGAACACTTGTTCTTCTGTTACATTGGTTATCCATGTATTTAAAGCTGATTTTGTCTTGTTGTATATGGTGCTGAAATGGGCATGGATATGTAGTAGACGACGCGTCTCACATAAATGTAAAAGAAGTTGTGAAGACAATGTTCTTGCTGTTACTTGGAGTTGCATACTTCTTCTATGGATTTGCTGCTGTACCTCATCCGATTCTGAGGATGTACTATTTGTCTGTCTTTGAGGCAGCAAGACAGAGCGAGGACCAGTAGTTTCATCCTTAACCTGAAATTCTGATAACGAATAAATGCAAAATGATCACACTTATATCAGCATAGATATGTGGTTTGCACTTCGTTCAAAAAATCCTAGAGTGTATATAACAAATTAATAAATAATTTTGAAAGAATGTGGAAAACATTTTAGAATTAATTGTATTCATATTTCAAATCAATTGAATTTAAAATTTATTCTTAAACACTGCTTAAATTCTGTCATTTTTTTCTTTTTTTTCTCAGGAGATTATTTTTTTTGGCAAAATAGGCTTGTATTGCAAGGGCTATTCCAAAATGAATATGGAATGAGTGTGAGATTTTTTTTCTTCTATTCCATCAAAGTTCAAAATAAATAAAAGAAATTGGATAGCAAAAATAGCTTGTAAAGAGCAGATCACTCTACTTTCGATGGGAGTGCTATAAAGTCCCTAACCTGTTATTTCAGAACCTGGACTTATAAAAATTGAAGAAAGAAAGGCCTGTCATTTGATGAGATCATAATTTATCATAACTTTATAACTAACCTGAATTAGTACTCTGCCTGTCAAAACTAATGGAACTGTGTTGGTGGTCAGATAACTTGTTTTCTATCTCGAAAAAATATTCTGCCTCATCCCGAGACTCATCAATGTTGTTCATTTCAAGGCTGACCTGCCTATGTGAGAGAAGTTCCTCCCTTGTGTCGACCGTCGTACTTTCCGGTGATACATTCTTCACAGGAACAACTTTTGTGTATTGCTTCTGTTCTGTGAAGTCTTGTGCCTGACCATATGCATTGTGGTCATAAAAAGGGTCATTTGATTTAGGAAAAATGTTTTCCTGATAGCCTCTCTCATTTGATTTTGATAAAGAGCCACCTGCATACTCTTTGGTTTTTGGTCTGGAAAAAGAACTTTGGATACATTTTTTTGTCTTGTTAAAAGTGTCTTGTGCTGCACCGTCCACATAGCCTTCTGGCAAAACATTCCCTTCTGCAGGTTCAAGTGTTTGTCTTTGTTTCACTGTATGATTGCATGGCAGAGAGCGACTATAAGCACAAGGCTTCATACTCACATCAACAGAACTTTGCCACTCATCACTGACTGAATGTAATGCTACCTGTTGGGTTATTTCAAATTCTGAGTCAGCAACATCTAAGAATGCATCTGATTCTGATTCTATATCCAAAAATGGAGATTCCTCAAGCATCTCAGTATTGAATACAGAAATTTTTGAGGCATAATCTGCATTATAAGGACGAGTTAGTTTTTTAGCTGGATCATGATTAACCCTTTTTCCACCATAAGCGTATTTCTCTTCATCTTCTACTGAGGATTTTGTGTTTGTTCCCCCACTTTTTTTTCTTGTGTTTGTGTTTTGGCTGTCTTTGTCTGCTGAGTTATTGCTATCCTGTTCTGTATATCTGAATTGATCAAGTGAAAGAAAGCTAGTGTTCATCTCTAAATTCAATCTCCCTTCATCTGAAACATTAAAATCCACTTCATGTGAATCCCCCTCTAGAGGATGTATTTCAAAGTTAGTACTGCTTCTGAACACATCCCTGTCCTCTCCTTCCACATCATAAACATCAATACCAGTGTTGCTTTTGAACAAATCCTTGGTCTTGCTGATGTCCTGAATTGATCCTACCTCAGTTGTGTTCACATGTTCTCCAAGTCTTTGGTAAGATTCAGGTATATTTATTTCCAGTTGATCATTGTCACTTTGTTCTGGCTGTAGAAGACTTAATGAAATGAAGCTCTTGAAATTTGTATCTGATATTTGGTTATCACTTATTTTTGCATTTTGTAAGGAGCTTCTGCTTTGTGCTGAAGAGAAATTAGTAATACTGAAAGAAACCTGTGAGTTTGACTTTTTCTCATTATTGCCTTGTTTCTCAACATAGCTTTCTTGATTAGTTATACTGTGATAAATGTTATCAGATTTAGGAAACAATTTGTCAATCACTTCTTTCTTTCCTGATTTCACATTCCTCAGCAATATATTAAGAAGGTACATGACAAGACTGACAGCTACCTCAACAACTACTGTCATGATGACAAAGTCAATTTCCAAGCAGAAAATGTCAGCAGCATTATTGACTGTCAAGATGTAACCCACCAGGGTCAAGGTCATCAGTAAGGTCAAGGCTAGGAAGACAAGGCTGGTGCTGACAACTGATGTGAATTTGCCAAATCTTAAAGGCACGTTGAAGGGAGATAACCATGGGTGAAATGTAGCAATCCTTCTCAAAATGGCATGGCAGCTCCAAGATTTCCTTAAGAAAAAGCATGAAATTAATAATGAAGAAACTCGTACATAATAACTATAAAAATGTATCATGAAAAGCTTTTATGAAGGCCACTACAATAGATTCAAATCTTTAATTTGTAACAGATAAGAAATTTTGTTGAAATCGAAAATTAAACACATTATGTGAAACAGTATTTTAATAACAATCTATTGAGACCTAGTGCCTGTATAATTTACCTGTTTTAGATTTCACAATAGCATAATGAATCATTTTCCCTTTTTGACCCTGCATCTCTTTCCCTAAGAAGTGAGACCCTTGCTTTACATAATATTAAATCCCCTCCACTCAGTATCATTCAGACCAACTATGGTTAAATTCCCTTTATCTCTACAGAAGAAGGATTACAATTACTGATCTCTATTTCCCCTATTGGGCACCAGTCTACTTTGGTCTTTTGCGTTATGAAAAAATCTAATACATTCCACTCAATAATGCTCTGGACCAAATAATCAAATCTCTTTCATCTAACTAAAATAGGAATGATTTCAAGCTTTACCTCTGTTTTGTCTATTGGGCTCTGTCCTTCTTCCCTGTTGGTCTTGATCAAATTTGGACAAAATTCAATGATTCTTACGAAGGAAGTATTTCAAAGATTTACATATATTTCCCTTACTGGGTCTCATCCCTCAGAACCCTTATGGTCCAGACTCATCATTTATAGTACACAAAGCTGAGTCTTCTATTTGACCCTGTCCTCAAGCCCATCAGGGATCTTGAACCATTGTCTATACAAAATTGAGTCACCTTCACACAAGGCCAAATTTAGCTTATGTTTTTTCATCCTGACAAAAGAAGAAGTATTTTAATCTTACTTACTCTTACTTTGTTTACTGGGTCCCACCCCTCTGCTTCAAATAGGGGTCTGATCCATAGTTTAAAAAATACTGAGTCCCCTTCACCAATTCTGTTTATAAATAAGAAGGGATGGGGTAAAGCCCAGAGTTTTATAATACAGAAATGAGTCTCCTTTAACCAAGGAAATGGAAGCTATGTCATGGTTCATGCTCACCAGTCCAAAACTTCATCAGAAATCAAACCTGTTATCAGCAAAAAAGACATAGTCATCTCCATCTGTGGCAGTATTGTTTGCATTTAAAAGTCGACAGTCCACAAAATAGGCCTCCCCTGATGTCATGCAGGTCACTGACACAGAATTGGGTCTCCTATGCCATAAAAAATAAGATAAGTGATTTCATGTAAGTAATGACCAAAGAACATTATATCATACATTGAGCAATACCATCGCACTGAGTTTTTACTGTTTCTGCTGCATTGAGATCATTTAGATTACAGATTGGGAACTCTGGATTTGCTGTATTTTTGAGTTATTTCCCCTGGTATCATTCAGGAAACACAGAGTATACTCTCTCCTAGTGTTAAGATAAAACACAGTTATTACCTGGCCCTCACATCAGTCAGGTAACAGACTGTTTGAATAAGAAATACAGTGGGCTATCTCCCCAGTTATCTGGAAACAGCCTGAATAATTCTCCTGTAATGCTTAGCTTATAGTACAGATGAATATCTCTTGTTAACAGAAGGAAACATTTATGACTTAACATACACTGGATTACCCCAGCTTGCCCAACTCCCTCATTCTCTTGTATGTTATGCCAAATATGCTCTCAATTCTCAAATGAATTAATTTCATAATATGGTCAATTTTTTCCTAAAGATTTCCTTCCCATTTGATCAGTTTTCTTTCTAAGATGATATGAAATGGCCATTTCCTAATTGAGTGGGAGTCTTGCAGTTCTCTGTCCTTTTTCTGCAGTAAATCAACTTTGCCAACAATATTTCTAACAAATGCAATATTGTTGTCTCATGCTGTCAGTGTTACAATGTATAGTGTTACTTTACCATTACAGTTAAAAAAATATTATTTCACCATTAAAGTTAAACAGAGAAACCTACTAGAAAATCAATACTTGTATGTTTCCAGAACAACACCTCCTGAACACTTTGTATCACATGTACAATAACACAATGTCTGTGTTATTTCCCCTGATAGAGATTTCAGTCCAGAAGATCTAGTGATAAGATCCAATGGCAAATCCAGACACGGACTGATTTTGTGATATCTTCATATACACCTTATAATTTCCAAATGAGAAAACAGTAAAAAATATATCATTCTTTTACCGTTAATGAACAGAATAAAGGACAAAGTAGTGTTTGGTGAAGAACTTCACTTCCACATGACTATGAATTTAACTATTTACTATCATACATTGTAAAAAGATATCAAGCTATTTTTTCCTATTTAAGCAGTCTTAACAAAAAATATTTTTAACGTTAAATTTAAACCTATAACATTACGAGTGCAACAGAAAAACTGATAGATGGACAGATGAATAAATTAAAACAGAAACATATTGGTCATTTCTGCTTCACAAAGTACACATGTTTTTATATTTACACAGCATATCACATAATATCTTATTGGTAAAATGTGGATCAAGTAAGCAAGATTTAAGAAGATGGGTCATATATGTAATCATGTGCATGAAAAGAAACGCACAAAGCTTATCCTATTTCACAATATTTTTCTTTATAAATTGACCCTGCTAAAATATTGATTTGGGTAATCAGATGTTACTGCGATTTTCATTTGAACTTCCATGGATTCAAACCTGTATAGAAATTGACATTAAATCAACATCTAATCTCTCCTTTCTTCTTTATGACTATAATTATTTGTAAATCATTCACCAAAATTATGTTACTAAACACAAATTACATCTGTCAAACCATTAAACTATTGAATAACCTCATCCGAATAAATGTTCAGAGTAATATTGTTCTCATAAACCGATGCATTTCACCATGCAGCCTCCCAGCAGGGATTCATTGTCACTTGTCTTGTGTTACACAGAGATTACTACAGTAGCTGGCCAATATGTCTTTGATACACTGGGCAAAATCAGGAAATTGGAAGCAAATTTTTGTCATTTGTTGGTAAGACAAGTTGGATCCAAATCACATGTATATACATCCTTTCAATTATGCATTAAATCTAATCCAACCAGAATTACATTAATTTATTTAATGTCTAAATTTTGAGAGATTAATCTCAACACAAAGATAAAAGTACTGATAGAGTCCTCAAATGACAATAAAATTACAAATCAATTTTAAAAAAAAAGGATGCATCCAGAAACAGTATGTCCTTAACTTCATAAACAAGTGAATAAAGGGTCTATCACACACCTGGCTTCATTTGGCTGAAATTGCTTTATCCAAGCTAACAGAAAAGGAATTCTAAAGGTTTTTATCTATTTTACCATTGACCCCAAACCTTTGCTCACAAGGTGGTCCGCAAAATCATTTATACGAAAGTCTCCTTCCCAAAATTTCTTCTGACCAAATTTGAACAGAATCCTGTCATTCCTACAGAAGAAGGATTTCAAAGCATTTGCTCTACTTCCGAAATTGGGGACCACCCCTCCCCAAAATTGATTTCACTTCGTCACAGGATGCTTCAGACCAAATTGGGATAGAATTCATACATTCCTGCAGACGGAGAATGATGTTCAAGAATTTGTTCTGTTTCCTCTTATGGGTCAAGACTCTCCTGTCACAGACGGCCTTTACCTACCATTTACACAAAACTGAATCCCTTTCACCTAAGGACGCCTCAGACCAATTTTGAACAGAATCTGTCCCTGGGGATTTTGACCCATAATTTATGAAATAATATTATTCCCCTTCAGCCAAGGATGTTTCAAACTACCCAAACACCCCCCACCCCCCCCCACCATCCCCATGGGGTATGAAACCCACACCATTTATATGAAAGTAAGTTTCCTCCATCTAAGGATGATTCTTACTAAATTTGTCAAAACCTGCTTAGTCATTTATGACTGCTAGTGATTTAAAAAATTGATGACAGATGATGGATGACAGATGCCAAAGTATAGCAGAAACTCATCTTGGTGTTAGGCTCTTACCAAAGTACTGCAGCTTCTGTCTCAGGAAGACCCCTTGCATACTTACAATAAATCTGAGCCAAATAGAGTGATTAGGAAAATCTGAATCATATAACTTGCTTTACAACAGTTCTAATATTGATAAAGTTAATACTTCCATCAATTTGATTGTACTGTCAACTTTTGGCAATTTGACAATCAACATTTATTTTTCCCAGAAAAAGAAAATCACCTACCATGAAACAGTCTTTAATCCAGATACAACAACTTTGACTTCCTCCACAGGACCCAGGTATTCTGTCAATTATAATAGTTTTCATTAGACAAATGCTCCACCACAGTATTTTATTGTGTTACTGAGATTGAGGTTTAAGAGCATTGAAAACAGTTTTGTGATTTCATCTTTCTCAACTTTTGCAATATACTTGAAAACTGGAAGATTCCAAAACTATGGATATAAAAGCATACTGAAATTGAAAACCTTACTGGAAAATACATGCACTAGGTTCATTTACCTTTCGTGCGTATCAGAAGTATGTCTTTATTGCCTCGCTGTAACAGGAACCTGCCACTGGAGAAGACCTTAATCATGTAGTAATTGGATACAACATTTTGACCGACTAACTGTACAAACACCTTAGCATGGGATGGGCAGCTGGAACCTGGAGAGAAAGTTTCTAATTATTGTCATGAAAGTTTTAAGTTACTGTCTGAGAGGAAGACACTTCAAGTAAATACCCAGATAATTACAATGCATAGCATTTTCGCATAAAATTTTTTTTTAAGTAATACCTAGTACATGTTATGTGCAATCTTACATCTGCACATGAACAAATTAGGATATAACTTCAATAACACTAAGTAATCTACATGTGTGGGTGACATATTCTGAAGGGACAGCTGTTGCAATGAAATGTAGTAAATACTGAAGATTATCATATCTTTTTATAGTTTACTTGAACATTGGTATTTTAAAAACCAATGGTGATATAAAGCAAGTTTATTCTTCTTAATTATGAATTGAACATACTTTTTTAAAAGGGTTTCATGGTATTACATGATTGGTACATCTTGGTCTCAATGTATCAACAGCTAACATCACTGTCATAACATAATCTTCTTAAAGAAGGAATCAGTATTGAAATTGGAAATTATTTCTTTTAAGTATCTTTTTTGTATTTAACATTTATCTATCTAATACTAGTACTAAAAGTAAAGGTGCAAATCGTGTCTTAACGTCCTTACCAGGTATAAGTGATGTCGTCAATACTAATAAATACTTGTGAAATGATTTCTCATCTTCAACTTCTTCATTGGGTGGCACTATAACTATGCTTGACTAAAGAAACAAAACAAAATTATTTTCTTTTCAGATTCCCCTGCCTGCTTAAGACAAGAATTCAAAAGTTATAATCATAGATTATGACAAAAATAAACTAAATAAGACAACCAAACATGGACCTAAACCTTGAAGCTACAAACTATGGACAGACAATCTAACCTTGACCTTCTTACCAGAAATTGACAGTTTCAAATTGACAAGGATTAACACTGAACTTTTATTGAAGTAAAAAGATTTTAATAAGGCTAACTAATTTCATGCATCTTAACTAAGCACTGTTTGCTGATAAATGAAAAGATTAGTTGTCCAAAAATTTTAATTTCTAACTTCAAGTTCTGTTAAATTCTTCTTCATAAACCATCATCATCCTTGGTGAAGAGATAGCCTACTGAGTATGATTTTGTCATGTTTGTAGCTTTTTAATTTGATACCATTTATACCCATATAAACCATCAAAATTAGACAACATAAGTTATTTTGATACAAGAGACTCAATTGGCCTGATTCACTCACCTGTTCTGCAACTTACAAAGAAGATAATGTCACTTCACTACAGCCCGAAAGTTTATTCTCCATGTGCGCAACTACAGTACTATGACCCTACGGATATGGCTTTTATCAAAATAAGTTCTTGGCACATTTGACATCTGTGACCTTGATAGTGAGCTAAGGACATTCATTTGAACAGATAGCCATTCATCACAGCATGCTACAGGCCCAACATCAGTACCCAAAGTGAAGCACCATAGCATAAAGCCACTTGTCACTTTGGTAAATTAAAAGTAACAAGAGGATCAACAGAATGATTTACTCTTTGTCACAGTACATACTTTTTGTACATAGCAAAGGTTTTGTACAAGACATCTTATGAGTCCAAAATAGATATGATCCATATTTACATCAATGTATGGTAACAAGTTCTATACTTGATTAAATTCTGAAGGTAATTGATCTAAGTTGAAATGTTAAATGTCACACTTGAGGAAGAATTTAGCTTACATACACATTTCCTGATTAGGGGGTTTGATGTATCTACCTGGAAATTCGAGGACCTGCTCAATTTGAGTTTAGTTCAACTGTGCAAAGGGCAAGTGATCTCATGCGATAGTGTGACACCTATCTTCTATCTGTCTTCCATCAACTGTCTAGAATCAACTTTTCCCTTGCTGGGATGAAGTGCTACTAAGTTTGTTCAAATGCATGACTTTGATCCACTTCCAAGGTCACAGGGGTCAAATGTGTTGAAATCTTCAACACATTTTCTAGATAATCATAAGTTCTACAGTACTAATATTGGTTATTGTAGCATTGTAGCGTGCTGGGAAGGGCTAACAAGTTTGTTCACATGAAAAATCTTGACATATTTTCAAGGTCAGAGGGGTCAAATTTGTTAAGAACTTGAAATTTCTTCTTTTCAACAAACACAGGTCTTGGGTTATGGTATTTGTGTAGTAGCATTCTTGAGAAATAGGCTTTCAAGATTTCTGTGCAAGTTATAAACCCAAGATTTATTCAAAAATTTCTAGTTTAAATCAATTTAAGGGTGTGTATATGGTTACAGAATTTGGATATTCTGGTCTATAGCCTGAATCAATCCTATATAACATGATTCAATGTTTCTTGTTGTGTCCAGTAATTTAGTTGAATATATGGTTGTTAGGAAGGAATCTCCACTTTTCTTTTTATGACCCAGTAATATAAAGTCAGGAATAAATCTATGTTATATAGCAGCTGCATGGTTAAAAAGTCTAGATATACCAGCATTTTCTTGCATTTGTATACCTTTTTTCCCACAGAGAAATAATCTTGACTACAACTTTGAATGTAGGTCAAGGTCAATCATATATTAGTAAAATTCACAACACTTTATCTCAAACCTAGGTATAAACTGGACACATATTGTTGTGACAATGGTCCTTCAAAAATTTATCACCAATTCTAGTTTATATATATCATTGATCCATGTGCCTGTGCTCAAAGTTAACATTTACTTGAACACAGCATTTCCTAGCTAATAAACATAATGCATATCATCACTTATACACTATTGTTATTGACATGGTGCTAAAGATGTTCAGATGATAAATGATCTTGTCCATCCAAATTTTCTTTAAAATAAGGCAAACTATTTGACCATTGCTAGCACTCAAAGATGATCTTTGATCTAAACATAACAATCAAATGCACTGCTGGTTTACATAACACATTAAAGTATCATCACTCTACATCTTAATTTTCTTTTGTAGATGTGGCAGGGTTGGATTTTTATTGAATTTATATATATGTATATGTGTTATTGTATATGTCCAATAAAAGGGTCATAGGTCAAGAGTGTGACGTCACCGTCTATCTCTTATTTGACTGGTCAGTGTGTTTGCGCGTTATCTTTTGTGTGTAGACATAGAGTTGACAGAATGACAGCAGTGACGATGGACACTGAAAGAAGAGAGGTATGATCTTGATTTCAGAATTAATATGTTCTAACCTGTTATACTTGCCCTTTATCCCAACCGGCGCGCGGTATTTTTCCAAGAGTTCTTGGTATTATTTGTACGTACGTGTGGGGTTTACCCGAGTGACCGCCATAAAACAGGCCGGTACAATCGTGTTTTTATTCAATTTTATTTTCACTATCGTTTATGTATTTACAGATGTCATAGTTGTATTCGTATCAAATGAATTAGCTGGGCAAGTAGCCAAGGCCTTCTGCCACACAGAGGTGATTATCAATTTAGTAAATGAGTTATATATTTGTGTCCCTTTTATTAGTGTAACACGTTCGTGAATGTGATTTGCCATTCACGAGTATCAATAAAGAAGTATATATTGTAATGAGAAGTCCCTACACTTATGAAATATGTGTAAAGGTAATTTATAATTGATTGAAATAATAGTTAAGGAAATAATTATATTATATGTTTCCAATTTATTACTTGTTATTCTATTATTCCCAGTTAAACGTACGTATTTTATGGATAAGTGTTAACAGTCAGTCCGTAATCGTCTATGTAATATGTGTATCAATAATATTAACCGTGAGTGTAGTAAGTCTTGTGTTTTGTATCGTTTCAGGGTATTCTTTTGAATACTAAAATAAATTGACTGGTCAGGAAAAAATTCTACTGAGCTGAGTTGTTTGTTTCACACTCATACACCCCTCGGTTTCATAAATATTGTTTGAAGATCTTCAATATATTTCAAAATTGACACCTTTGTCCTTAAAATAACCCGTCAAGATCAGCACCACTAGCTACTAGAATGTCTTGGCTGAAATACTATGGGTAGACTTTGAGAAACGGAAAAGATCTCATGAAAATGTTAATGTTTGCAGCATCAATTAACTTGTTATCATCCATCTGAAAATTTGCAACAGGTTTTGGCGAGTTGTATAACTAAAGATGATGTTTTGTTTATATATTAAACAAACCTGTCCTTTTATCAAATGAATTTATAAATCATGCAATTTAACAGACATTTTGGTTTTATAACATGTCTTACCATGATTAACCAAGTTCTTAATGGCAGTTGAAAGATAGTGGTAGGTATGGGAAGACTATTGTCTGATATGTAAGTCTGAGCTTTACGTCAGTAATCAGGCCAGTAAAACACTGTGACAGTGATAAAAAAGATATGTATATCTAAAAATAATAAAAATCACCAGGACTTTCTCTGTCAAATAGGGTTTGAGAAACAGTGAGTAAATCCCTTGAGCTATACAAGGAACTGCTAATCCACAAATAACAGGAACATTAGCACAACCTAACTAAGAATAGAGGGAAAAGATACCACTGCAGGGACTCATCATCAAATCCATAACACTAAACATTAATGCTTTAATCTAATAGATAGATATATGTAATGGTTAGAGGAAATCACACAACCATGAGGCAACACAAAATTAATGTTTCATTTCATCTTACTTGCTCAAGTAGCTATGTTGATTTTAGCAGGTATCAAATAACTAGTTTGTTGCATTACCCAGAACAAGTAAAAAAAATATTTCTGGGCAATTTACATCAGATAGAATGAAAGAAAAGTCAGTATTAGAAGTCAGCATTTTTTTTCAGTTAATAAATGACATTCAGGCAATAGAATGAAGTTGTGTTCATAACATGATTCCTACCTTGGACAAGGTATCACTTAACATCAATAATTTTATTTCTTTTTATATTTTAGTAGATTTATCTTTATATATATATATATATGTGTGTGTGTGTGTGTGTGTGTGTGTGTGTGTACATTTATATAGCAAGAATTTAATACAAGGATAATTATTTTCAATATTTTAAAGAATATAACTTATCTAAATCAGAAAAAGAT